TGACCGATGATAATGACGACTGATAGTGACTATAATGATTAATAAATTCAAAAATATGAATTTATAAGATTTATCAATATCCGGAAAATGTTTTACTCTTCTCAAGAATTGTAAGTTGTTTTCCTTAAAAAATGACTTAATTTTCCTTTGACCAGAAAAATATTTTCCATGGACTTATTTTTCTGAACGCCCCAAATAAAGGAAAGTTATGAAAAATATTTTTCTACAAGTTATTTTACAGAAACAAGCTGAGCCTTAATATTAGCAAATTTTTCAATATATGAATGATTAACCTTAACCATAAACAAAAATAAAGCAAGATCTTAATACGTACAAGACAAAATTACCCTCTGCCATCTGATTCTCCTTCGTTTAATTTGTAAACAAAACCAAAACTGAAATGCATTTACATCAACAAATCATAGTTATCCAACGAAAACATAAACAAACCAGCTATCTATCTATCTATTTTTCTATCTTTCTACAGTGCCTGAAGATAATGAGGACGACGAAGCAGAGAATGGCGAGGCAGGGGTACCCGACGAAGTAGAGAATGACGAGGCAGGGGTACCCAAGGAGGAAACACGAGGCAAATTTCGACACAAGGGGCATGTCGCATTCATTTTAAGCCATTCATCAATGCAATCGGCATGGAAATAATGGTTACATTCAGGTATAGTCCTTAATGTTTCCTTGGGTTCATACTCACATAAACATATAGGGCAAGTATTGTCATTAGGTTTTGGCAATCTTCGACTTTCACCGAGTAAAGTCTTTGGGTATAATTCTATGGTTGGTAAGTCAAGACCTGCCGCCGCCATTCTTGGTGGTGTTTCCAGAAATGTGATGGGAAGTTGTGTGGCGGAATGGCCGCGGCTGCTCCTGCTATAAGTTCTGATTCTGCCACATAAGTAACAAACAAGCCCAATTATGCACAAGAGTCCTGGTATTCCAGCGCCTATTATTATCCCATATTTTGCACTTCTTGGGAGTCCTGTAAGGGCAAATTGCAAATTCAAATTATCTCCAAAGAATTCTACCGTAATGTAAATCCAAAATGCTAAATTTGAAATACATAAAGCTGAAAGTTTTGGAAATGAAAGAAAAGTAAGCAAATGCCATACAAAGAATAAGAAAAATTCTAAATAAAAACTTGACGCCAAAAAAAGAATTGCAGAATTTCCACAGCACTTGCCAGGATTTGACAATTATCTCATGTCAAATAATGAACATGTAATGCCCCATTTTTCTGTGTATGAAATAGTAATTTATCGGTCTGTGCATAGCACCATCGATCCGGGAATTGGTATTAGTTTATTTACTATATATGTTTTATATTTCATTTAATATTTTTGAAGTATGTATACATGATTTTTATGGGTAGAAAGTAAGTAATGAATTTAATTGTAGAGAATTTAGATAATTAGTGAATAGTGAATTATGATATTATATCAATTAAGAAAATTTGAGAAATTATTTTTATGGAGTAAATTTAAGAATTTTGAGAAGATAAATAATATTTTGAAGTAATTTAATTAGAGAATATTTGTAGCCATTAATAATATTTTGAAGTAATTTAATTAGAGAATATTTGTAGCCATTAGATTAGATTACTATTGACTCAATCCTGGCTCTGCATAATAGAGTCAGTTTGAGTGTTTCAGCCATAAGTTAAGCTATATGTCTAAATTGGATACAAGAGGAGGGGTTAGAAGCTAAGAAGTATACCTAGAACTTTTATGAAGGGTTCATACACAGATGGAAAATAAAAATGATCGAAAAATAGTCTTTAATCTCACCCAATAACACATTTCCCCAAATTCAGCTTACTTTAGTAATGAAAAATAACATGAAAGGCAAAAGATACAAGGTAGAGATTTTTACCACATACTAAATACTCATCAAACCTCATTTTTAGAGCATAAACCAACAAGGAAAACAAGAGAAAACTTAAGCCCTTTACCCCTAATAGGTTCGACCACTCTTGGAAGAAGAAGAGGAAAATGTTTTCCTCAAAAATTCAACATATAAGCATGCTTAGAAAACACCCAAAAACACATTCATACAACAAAGGTTCAACAAACAAATCATTTCATACCAAATTCTCAATTTTCACAAAGTAGCACAAACTTCACAAAAAAAAAAAAAAAAACAAAAAAAAAAACAATAAAAAAAACAAACTGTCTATAGGCATTGTAAAAAACATCTTTACAAATCAAAAGATTCTCTTTACATATATATGTTGTGTGTGTGTGTTGTGTGAAACAGACACACTTTGATGCAATTTTCTCAATATTTCCATAATTCAAAAGATATAAGATTTTCAAATTAAGTAACATTGGCCCTGCTATGTTTTATAAGACATAACTTGAGTTATCAGGTCTGCAAATTGAATGAAATGTAATTTAATTAGGAAAGCTAAGACAAAATGCTTACAAATATTTCATGAAGGAACCATAGCAGATCAAAACTGTAAAGATGGTAAACAAAAGCTAGGAACCACAGACCAACAGTCCAGACCGATTCAGGCAGAACCAAGTCCAATATTTATTTTAAATTCCTACTGGTATCCAAACATTCAAATTAAAACCCAATTCCCAAAATCAGGAAAGTCTTAAGACACAAGGGATGGTAAACAAAAGCTAGGAACACAGACCAACAGTCCAGACCCGATTCAGCAGAACCAAGTCCAATATTTATTAAATTCCTACTTATCCAAACATTCAAATTAAACCAATCCAAAATCAGGGAAGTCTTAAGACACAAGGAAACAACTTTCATGAAGAACTCAGAACTTAATCTTGCCATTATAGTGGTCAAAATAGACACTAAATTCAAAAATATATAAGTTTTGTTGTGTAGCTTAGTTGTTATTGGAGTTGTTGAGAATTGGAATTTGGATTAAGAAGTGTTTTGGTATTCACATTTGGTGAGCTCAGTTTAAGAGAAACTCTTGCAGCTAATCTGTAGGATTTTTTTTTTTTTTCCAAATTGTTTTTCATAAGTTATATATATATTTTAATAACAAAAAAAAATTACTTGCTAAACTTGTGAATAATTAATCACTTCTAATTCATAATTTGATTTTATGATTTATATGTTAAATTAGAACAGTGTCTCCGGTACCGAATGTGGCATCTGCAGTCTCTGAGGACTAGGCCGTGGGTGTTACATAACACATCTCGCAATTCCTAATTCATGTGATATCTATTAGAACATATAGAAAATGCCAATAATCTTTACGTCAATAGCAAGCTGCAATCTTCTCTAATTATTTTTTATACCATGTCTTCCTAGTTCGTATGGTTAAGTCTAATACTGTTCACAGGACGTTAGGCTCATAATTGAATAGCACTCTCAGCTAGAATTTTTTGTAGATTTTTTCCATCTACAAAGATGAGACGCTCTACGACCTTTCTTCTCAAACTAACACATAGATATCTGTTTTTTTTTTTTTTTGACCACCAAAGTTCAATTATTCTAGTAGCAGTATATTAAAAAACAAATTTTCTTACTTTTTCCACTTTGCATAAAGACACCACGTGTCACTGCCACTATAAGACACATATGTCTACGTGGTTGCGCCAGCACGATTGTTAAAGAAAAAACAATGCATTAACGGGACCCATCATCCATCAACTCTCTCTGACCGTTATTTTGACTTTAATAGTATCATTATCATATTGATATCATGTTGACTTTGATTTGGGACCTTCGTCTTCCTTCATCCCAACATTTCATTTTTTACTTGGGGCGTTGGATTAACAGGAGTTGATTACTCTTTGAGATAGATTTAATCGCCATCATTAGAAGAATTTTACTAAAACTCTAAGAAAAAGACCCTACCTTTGATATTGTCAATCTTGAACTCAGATTGAGATTTACTTCTCTCTTTGATTCAATTATGATAATACTATCTTCTCTTCTTAACATGAGACTATATATACAAATCATAAATTGATAAACTAAGATAAGAGTTGAAGCTAAATAAATGTAATTAAATGAAAATTTAATTGAATGATTGATGATTGTTAACTGTTAAGCATGAATTTGGATTGAAAATTTCGAAATGCGAAAAATTTGATCAGATGGGGATAAGAGAACATACCACGACGTTTGTTGCTTGGTAGATCGTAGCACCCAACGTCAGGCCTGGCATCATCTTTGTATCCACAAGTCCCGCCGCGCTCTTCGCATGCTCTACAGTCCGGTGTGCTCCACACCAACATAGTATCCTCATCAGTCCAAGGATGCCATATGACCGGAACATCGACGATTGGCTTAATCACCTTACAAGACGGAATCGACGGCACAAATCCGTCGTAATTGGTGACAGGTATAGCGAAAACGGTGAAATTACTTTTGCTAAGGCAAGGAACCAGCCGTGACAAAGGAGGCAATGAGGAGAAAGGAAAATACGAAGAGCAATTAAGAAACGAGAAGGCCGGATAATTTTCAGCCATAAAAGGTGATCCAGAGAGACTGAAATTGGAGAGGAAACGCTTAGGGAGGCAATGTTCAGGGTCTCTGATATATATCTCTTGAGTTTCATAACGGATGAATTTGACGATGAAGTCGCCGGAGCGAGGGAGAGTGAGGATTGTGTCAGCATTTTTGTTGCAGGAGAGATTGAAACCTGGAAAGCTGCATCGATCGTTGTTTTTAAGTCCGAAAGGGAATCGAACTGTTGGACCGGAAACGCCGCAGGATCCTTCACAGATTTCAAGACTATCTGATTTTCCGGCGAAGAAAAGAAAGAAGAGAATTAAAACTGCCATTTTTGCTTTGCTTTGGGCAGAAACGTTACTTAAAAAGAATTGATTTGCATTTGTTTGTCTGTCTAGTGTTTAGCAATTGGAATGGCGTTTGAATATGGGCATTGTGACAATCTTTCTACTGTCCGTCTCTATCCGTTGATTGACTCCTTCTGTCTGAAAATGGAGTCAAAGGTTTACAAAACCATTAATGAAAATTGAAAAAGAAAATCATTTACTATGGTGAAAATAAAAATGACAGCGATTCGGTTTCTAATCAAAAATTGAATCAAACCGATTCATATCAGCCAAATTCGAATAATATGCTAGAAATATTATTATCAAGAATTGTTTAATTTTCAATATTTAATTCAATTACCGTATTAACTAATTCAATTTGGTTAACCTGATAGTGTTAGGTTCAAACACTAATCTAACATTTACATTTTAATCTAATTTTAAAAAGATTCTTTCTCACTCAGATTAATTCCACCGGATTACTTATAATTATTGTAAATTTGTAATTATTTATATATGCAGTAATAATTTTATTTATAAAATATTCCACGCTTATATTAACTATATGACTGTGATTGAAATATATAATTAATGTATTTTAGCTTGACTAAAAGTTTATTATTTTAATATTCCTTCTGTTTACTTTTATGGATTGTTTGAGATAAATAATTCTGTATATCAATTTAAGAAGATTGAAAAGTATTAATGTGTCTACTAAACATGATAATTATTATAAACCATTTTTTTAATATCCATCAATAAAAAAGATTTGAATAATTAAATGAAACATATATAATTTAATTTAATTAAAAAATATATTGATTAACATGGTTCGTTTTGGTTGGTAAATTATCTGATTTATTGGTCGATTTCTTAAAAATGTAAATTATTTTAGTTTTATTTATTTGTAAATAAATAATATAAAGAAAGATTCAAACCGTACAACTCATGGGTCTCTTTCTCATTGCTGGTCAGGGAAGAGGAAAATGTCAAAATTTTGTTCAGAATAACATTATGTTGCTATTAAATTAAATAATAATAATTGCAAAGAAAGATACTTTCTGGAATCATAGAACGAGTCAAGTTGGAAAATAAGAGAACCTACAAAATAAATAAATAAATAAATAAAAAGGAAAATAGTTGGCGGGCCTTTCGTACTTAGATTGAAGCCCACGGAGTTATCAATGGGCTAAACTAATGAGAACGGGCCTAAGTTGGAAGAAATAGTTGTTGGGCCTTTTTGTCAGTATGGATTTCCTGTAATTGGAGGCCCGAAAAACATCCATTTTTAACTTTTAAATATAAATTGAATGAAAAACAAGTGATTAATCATACTAACACATTTCTACACTTAGGATGGAGTTGTATTCGATTTTAGGTTTCTACGTATAAATTTCACCTGAGGATATAATTTATTTATGTTATATCCCTGAAAATACATCCATTTTTATACTTTTTAAAATATAAATTTTGAATTAGTTTGAAAAACAAGTGATTATCATACTTAACACATTTCTACACTTAGGATGGAGTTGTATTCGATTTTCATTGGTTTATCTAGCCGGTGCTACTGTTAAATTTCACCTGACGTATGATATTAGATGTCATTATATTATGTTCATCCATATATATAAATATATATATATATATAGGTATATATAATATATATATATTTTTTTTTTTTTTTTTGTTTTTTTTTGGGATGGCGCATGCGCACATTCAGCATCGACGTCGCGCATGAGTCCACCACTATAATCGACAGAGCTTGCCTATAGGCTGGTCGGGCTCGTTTAGTTATAGTAACGGAAAGAGGGGAAAAATACACGAAAAGAAACTTAGAACGAAATGGATAATAAATAAGGGCAAATTCAAAAAACAACTCAGATTCATTGGAGGGAACGGACCTGAATCTAATTACTTGGGACACGCACCCACTAAAACAATCCTGGCGGGAAAATGTCCGTGCCATTCCTTTTCACTCTCGTATAAAACCCTAATCATTTTCATCACCCCTAACGTTATATCACATCCTCTTCTCTCTTCATTTTCAAACACCTCTTATCTTGGTCGTATTTCAAGTCGATCCCTTACCACTTTCAAACCCGCTATTAATTTATCTGGAAATGGGTCTACTAAAACTGCGTTTTCGGGTCACTGCTTCGCCACACGACGGCGAGGAGACTCATTGCCGCCAACGTCTGTCCTGCAAATTAACTACACCAGACATCTGCCGCCAACACTCATGCGAGGGATTGGTGGTTCCCTTTTTGGACAGCATCGTCCCTTATTTATTTTCTTGTCTTGTTGGGCATATTTTTAGGGTTTCTTTATTGATTGGAACGCACTTTAATATTCCCAATGGAAAGATTTTCCGCTCTTTTGAGCAAAAATTTCCACTACTATCTTGATTTCTTATTGAATTTTTCACAAGGTAAGGGAGCTCACACAATTATTTGGGAATTTATTGGCGTTCTCACTGAGTGCTGACTTTATTGATAACTTATAGTTGCTATTGGAGCAAGGATCTGCCTTTTGATGAGACGAGAATGAGCAGAACTAATAACCATCGATGGGATCTTAACAAAGGTCGAAATGCTGAGGAGGTTTGGTAGATTCTCCACTTTTCTTTACTCCATGCATACAATTTAGGGTTTCACTTTATATTCTACTTTTCTTAGATATTAATTACGTGATTTTGCTTGTTGTCTGAGGACAGAAGAGATCGAAATGTTAGGGAGTATCTGGTTATTTTGTGATTCTATGTTTTTTTTTGTTAGTAAGAGGAATACGAAAAGAACTAGAACGAAATGGATAATAAAAAGGCAAATAAAAAACAACTCAGATTTGGAGGGAACGGACCATGAATCTAATTACTTGACGCACCCACTAAAACAATCCTGGCGGGAAAATGTCCGTGCAGTCCTTTCACTCTCGTATAAAACCCTAATTTCATTTTCATCACCCTAACGTTTCATATCCTCCTCTTCTCTCTCATTTCAAACCTCTATCTTGGTGTATTCAAGTCGATCTTACACTTTAAACGCTATTAATTTATCTGGAAAATGGTCTACTAAACTGTTTCGGGTATGGTGGTCATTTGAACATCTCCTCTTATTTTATTTTCTGTTTTTGGGCATATTTTAGGGTTTCTTTATTGTTGGAACGCACTTTAATTTCCCCAAATGAAGATTTCCGCCTTTTGAGCAAAAATTTCACTACTATCTTGTTTTGCTTTATTGAATTTCAGGTAAGGGCCTCAAATTTTGGATTTTTTGGGTTCTCTGCTGCTTTATTGAAAAACCTTAAGTTGCTATTGACAAATGGATACTGCTTTTGATGACGAGAATGAGCAGACTATAACCATCGATGAGTATCTTAACAAGGTCGAAGCTGAGGAGTTGGTAATTCTCCACTTTATCTTTCTCATGTACAATTTAGGGTTTCCTTTTTCTTTTTAGATATAATTACTGATTTTGCTTGTTGTCTGAGGACAGAAGAGATAATGTTAGGATTTGGGTTATTTTGTGATTATGTACACAACTAATGTTTGTAGTAAGCACGGATGCGTATGCAGTTTTTCTTGTGTCAAACGTGGGATATTGAAAATAGAGGCCTACAAGTTATTGGCTAAGTTTATTTAGCAGCTAAAAAGTGTCGTATTTTATTCCTTCCTGTTGGTTGTATACCATTACTGAATAAATTATGCCTCAGCATTTGATTTTCTTCAACAAGAATTCCTTTCTTGCCTTTCTATGTGGACATGTCAAAATTGAATGAGACTCATTTTGAGTTTATTGGCAATATGATAGGTGATGTAGATTATTGATAATAGAATTCAGCTTTTAATTAGATCTGTGAACTTCTTTTAACTAGTGCTTCTGATTTTCTTTGGGTATTACTTCAAAGGAAGCGGATTTGGTTCTGGGTGGAGATGAGGGCAAAGAGTGCACTTATACTATGGGCTATATGAAGAGGCAGGCTATTTTCTCATGTCTGACGTGTACTCCAGATGGGAATGCTGGAGTTTGCACTGCTTGCAGTTTGTCCTGTCATGATGGCCATGAGGTACTCTTTCTGGACTTTCTGTTCACTGTGGTTCATATGATTTCAGTATGAGGCCAAAAACTCAATAACAGAATTGGGATTGTATATCCAATGTTAAGAAGAAAAAAAAAACGCTTATTCATTATTCCGGTTCCTAGTTTCCACTGTCATCGGTAATTTCCACCTGTATATTTGGGATTGGATGGATCACAGGTTCTGTTTGTGGTTTTTACTTTATTACCGTTTGTGCTTGCAAAACTTAATTGCTTTGGATAGTTATTTTTATTTTCTCAATTTGTTTTGGTACATTCTAATAACTAATAAAGTAAATTATGGACGTATATGATTCATGTTGCATACCCTGTCTGAATTTTGGAGAGCAGTGATGTCTGATTTGCTGGTAATTGACGTGTCAATCTTAGTGATGCTTAATTAAGCAAATGGTTCATTTTGGTCAATGTCTTGTTCATTATACCGTCTCATGATTATATAGTCTTGTTAGATTTAGTTTGTTTGTTCATATTTAGTGCTGATTTTCATGGTTGCTACGTGCAAAAGGTTGTGGAGTTGTGGACCAAGAGAAATTTTCGCTGTGACTGTGGAAATTCAAAATTTGGGGAATTCTTCTGCAAGCTTTTCCCAAAGAAAGATGTTGAAAATGCAGAAAATTCATATAATCATAACTTCAAAGGTTTATACTGCACTTGTGGTCAGCCCTATCCTGATCCAAATGTTGAAGAACAAGAAGAGATGATACAGTGCATTATATGTGAGGACTGGTTTCATGAGGAGCATCTCGTTCTTGAGCCTTCCAAGGAGGTTAGTTGCTTGGACTATTTACTTATTGGTTCAATGTTTTCATGAATTTTTTCAATTCATACCATAAATCATAAAACGCAAAAAAAAAACCCTAAAAGCAGGAGTTGTACTTGATGCATGAAATATTGAAGAGTAGGACCATCTTCAGAGTTCCTACGACGCTAGTTTTCTGATATGTTATTGTTTTATTCATGATTGAAGCATTCTTTTGTTTCTTGCAATGCTGACTGGGTTTGATATTGAGCTGCTGATGTTGTCTTTGCATTACAGATTCCAAGAGATGATGAAGGGGAGCCTCTCTATGAGGATTTCATATGCAAGAAATGCTCAGCAATTTGTTCTTTTTTGACACTATATCCTCAGACTATTTGGGCAACTGGGGGACAGAGTGGTGATGTTACTGTTAATACCAGTAAGGATAAAAATGTGTTAGAAGATATAAATTCAGGCTCTGGATCTGGAAAGGAGGAGAATGATGGTTATTCTCATGGTTCTTTTGAAGAGAATAATGATAATGGTGATTCTGCATCTGTTGCTGAGACATCTGTTGTTGGAGAGAGTTCTGAGAAGAATATTGTATCAAATCAAAGCATAAATGAGGCCAACCTTCAGACTACTTGTGTTCTTGGATTAGATGCAGTGACTACTATGCCTATTTCAGAAAGCAAACCACTGTTTCTTTCCAAGAATTGGAGGGATATCCTGTGCAGATGTGAAAATTGCTTAGATATGTACAACCAGAAGTGCATAAGTTATCTGCTCGATAAAGAGGACTCAATTGCTGAATATGAGAAAGTGGCAAAGCAGAAGAGGGAAGAAAAGTTGCAGCAGCAGGAGGGTGCTGAGCAGAACTTTTTCAATAAACTGGGTCATGTAGAGAAGATGGAGATATTGAATGGCATTGCGGATGTTAAGGAGGAATTTCGAACTTTTCTGGTATGTCCCTGATAACATTCATTCCTGTGGTAGTTTGCCATTTTGTGAAGGAACTTATAAAACTAGCAACTTGTCCTGCCATTTCATATTTATGTCTGTTTTTCCAGATTCAAATATTGAAATATACATCACTGATATATGTAACTATCTTCTGCAGGAATCCTTTGACTCATCAAAGACAGTCACATCTTCTGACGTTCACCAGATATTTGAAAATCTTGCCAAGAAGCGTCGGCGTGTATAGTGATTTGGCTGCTGGTTTCTCATGTTATAAATGTAACCCTCTTATCTGTAGTTGGTATTGGAGTTGAACCTAAATCTAGATTCTACGATGTGCAGAAAACATGCGAAGTCTTTGGCCTTTTCTAATTAGAGTGCTTCACTTGTACGAACAATCTTGCCTTGTAGAAGTATGTGTTTATTCTCCTTAACATAACTTTGGATATTGATGTAAGGAAGTTCAAATATTTCCTAACTGTTGATGAACGATTGGACGTGTCTTTTACCCAGGAAGTTCAAGAACTAAATCCTTCTTACCTGCCTAACCAACTAGTTCTATAATGTTTTTATGATTGAGACATGCTACTGGTACTAATTAGATTGTTCAAATGTGGCTTGTGCTCTTTTCTCTTTTATAATATAAAATTTCTGAGTTCTCTCTTCTATATGACCATCCATATGCACTGTTATGCTTTAAGACAATGGAGGAAGCCCTGTGATCCATTTTGGAATTTATTTATGGTAATAATGATCGCTAAACTCTAAATTTTGATATTTTATTTGTCTAAAGTAAATTATTTTAGCCGAAAGATTAATTTTGTCAAAAAAGTGGGTCCAGAGTAGGTGATTAGTTCTTGAAGAAAGGAAATTAAAGGTTTGGATCGTGTGCCTCTACAGTTGTGGATGCGTTATTAAAATATAAACTAAATTGCTGGATTACCTAAACTTGGGAGAGTGTCCAGTGACTGACATCATTATTTCTCTGCCGCCGATTTGTGAAAGCGAACATGTCTTCATTTCTGCTGTTGTGAAGTTCTGTTCTTTTTTATAAAACAGAGAAATGGGTGTTGAAAGAAAATGATGGCTTGAGCTTGACCATTCTCACTCCATTACTGTCTTCTCTACTTTCCTTCTCTTTTTCTTGGTCTGAAACGTCATTTAGCATCATCATTAACTCATTTTCATGGCTTTCAATGGTAGCTTTTTGCAATTCCCTCAGTATTAGGGTCACTAAACAAAAATTGAAAAATTAGTGTTAGACATGTTACATCAAAATTGATTCTGAATTTTTCAAACAAACTAATATTTTTGACCGATACCAAGATAAGCAGAGACCTAATTGTGACTCGTAAGTCCAGAATTCAACAGAAAGATTGGAACTTTTATTGTTCTCAGTAGAAAATTTAGAAAGAGACACCACCTAACCTAATGATCAACATCAGGGGAGACATTTCACCAAAATAATAGTCTTTTTGTTTACCATATCAAACCTTGATTATGCTTAATCTAATATTCCTTAATGTTTTATTGTTCACACATGATTTTGACCACCAGGATTAATTCAACCATACAACAAGGAAAAAAATGATTTAATTTTTGAAACCTGGGTGAAAAAGGAGGTCTCAGTTTGATTTTTTTTTTTTTTTCAATGTGATCATAGAAAATATACCATTGTGTCTTAATTAGGAAACAAATATAAATTCAAAGTTATTTTGTATTTTAATTCCAAATGAAAATAAATAAAATAAATTTACTATGAACAAAAGCTACTCATCCTCTACCTTCTACCCTTGGTTAGAATTGATTTAAAAAAATATATACTTTTTTAAGTCATTTAATTTGACAACAATGTTTTTCCACAACCCTATATATATTAGGGTTTGAAAGTTTCAAACTTGCTGTTCAATCTCTTAGTCACCTTTCACTATTTCTCCCTAAAATATATAAAAATAAATGAAAGATTGGAGTGAAAAAGAAAGGTCAACATGGGTGTTACTATTGTTATTACCAGAACAATTTATTTAACTATCTTTCCACTATTTAAATTATATTTAATGAGTAATGATGCAGAGTAGGTAAAGATAGTCTAAGTACGTAAAATGCTAATTATGCAACTTTACGACTAATTAAGCAAGTGTAAAGACAAACATATGATATTATTGTAGAGCAATCATGCAGTAATATTATTAAAAAAGAAATGTGTTAAAGTGAGAGATTTTAATAAATACAGGTATATGATTTCCAATAGCTCCATGCATGAACCTTTAATATTACTAATACTAATGTTAAATGTCGAGATTGGATAATAAAACGTTACTCTCATAATATTTAATTAACATCTAGTAAAATAGTATTGAAAGTTATTATACCGATTAACATATACGAGAACAAATAATACAACCTAACATGTTTTTTTTTTTTTTTAAAGGAAAATAAAAAAAGAAAAATTAAGTCACAATTGTTTTCTTTAGGAAGGTATCTGTTATTTTTCATGTATAACGTTTATTAAATTCTGATAGGAAGATACGAGGAACTAAAGTGAAGCATAAATCTGTCGGGCAAATTTTGTTTTATAAAAGTGTGACAGACACTCACCTAATCCCTCCATTTCCTAAGAACTTTCAATTTTGTCAGCTTTGCTGCTTCTTTTAATTAAATTTTCACTAAGCAATGACATCACCCTTATCATCATATTGTGGTTATTAATTGTTACACTGTGAGACGGAGGTAGTCGGAATTCAGCGGACTTTCAGTTACCGGTGATTATAGAAAAATAACATGTTAGAAATAAATACGCCTTTAAAGTTTGAACAAAAGCCTAACTAGCAACAATAACTCATCTTCCTAGCAAGAGCTCATAGCCATATGGTATCTGTTTGGCCAAGAAATTAATGGATATGTCTTTTCCTGTCTCTCCTTTCATATGTCAAATGTGAACTGCTAAATCAACCTTTCTGTATAACAAAGATTTAATTATTTTTAAAATCTTATTTATAGTTTCATCTATTGATGTATATGGTAATAATCCGATGTATCTGAAAAGTATAATTATATATATAGACTTTAAAATTGCCTACCGACAGTCCGACGTATCTGTTTTCAGTTTTTGGACAGATTAGTGATTAGAAAATGATAAATAACATCTCATTTCTGAGCTATAATATATGTGAGTGTGAGCCAGCCTTGCTGCTCATCCATGGCGGTGCGTGTATACTTTTTGTATAATTGAACTCTGTATAATCTTTGATCAAACAATCCGGTATTTGAATTAATCCGGATTCATGCTGGTAGACCTACAAAGAGTTAGAATACTCACTTTTAAATTTTGAAACTGTTTCGTATTTTGGGTTCGAACTCGAGAACATTGATCAATAATAAATTAATGAGGAATACAGGATAATTTTAATGTATTCTGTATAATCTTGGTTAGACGGTTCGGGTTCAACAGGTTGAATTAATAATATATAAACTCGAGGAAACATTGATCAATACATAAATTAATGAGGAATACAGATTAATTTTATGTTATTCTGTATCAATCTTGGTTAGACGGTTCGGGGTTCAAAGGGTTGAATTAATAAGTATACTATATATATTATACCTATATATATATAGTATAATATATTATATATATTTTTAAAAACCCTTTAATAATTCTTTAATAAACTGGCATTTATTTTTTAAAAAAACCCTTAATAATTCTTTAATAAACTGGCATTTATTCGTTGAAAAATAAGTCTTGTCACTTAGCAAGCAAGAAAAATCAAACCTCGTGAAGGAAAGAAAGAAATTATATGAGCATCTAAGTCCTATGGCTATGGCTATATATACCTCTCCATTTCCCCTACTTAACATGTACAAATTGCAGCTCAAGAATTAAGCGAACCATTTCTTCTTCATCAAAGCACTTCCCTTCTTTTTATTTTTCTTTTTTTTGTAGTCCCTAATTCCATTTAGGGACTGTTATTCCATCGAAAGAGTGGTCTTTCTTTTTCCTCTTCAAAGAAGGGTTTAGTTTTCTTTTCTGTTTCACTTCAAGAATCGAAGGGTTTAGTTTTTCTCTTCTGTTTCACTTCAAGAATCGAAGAGTTTAGTTTTCTTTTCTGTTTCACTTCGAGAATCGAAGCGTTTAGTTTTTCTCTTCTGTTTCACTTCAAGAATCGAAGAGTTTAGTTTTCTTTTCTGTTTCACTTCGAGAATCGAAGGGTTTAGTTTTTCTCTTCTGTTTCACTTCAAGAATCGAAGAGTTTAGTTTTCTTTTCCGTTTGACTTCAAGAATCAATATTAAGAACATGGGAAACTGCATAAAACCAAGTAGCATGAAAAAGCAACAAGAAGAGGATTTTGAAATGGAGAAATACCGAGATTATGGTGATGAAGAACAAGAATTTGAGAAAGAAAATGGTAGTTTTGATTCAGAGAATAACAGTAAGAATGGTGTTAAGGTTAAGATAGTGCTTACAAAGGAAGAACTAGAATGGTTGATGTTTCAGTTAACGGTTAGCAATGGAGGAAAGAAGCTTGCAGATGTTTTGCAAGAGATTGAAAGAGAAAGAGTTAAAGGAAAAGTTAGAACTTGTTGGAAACCTTCTTTAGAAAGTATCATAGAAAGCCCTGAAGGTCTTGACATGGAAAGATAATTGAACACTGCTAATTCTGCTGTTATGGCTTTTTATTTATTTTAATTCCTCTTTAAATGAGATTTTTTATTTGGGTTTTGATTTAACCCAAATATATGTAATTAATTAGAATGTTTGGTTCTAATTATATATTTCAATAACTTAAATATTTATTAATTTGAAAAATATATATACAATAACTATTGCGCTGAAAACAAATTAAGTTAAGAAATTGAATTGTAATTGATACAAAGATTGAAGACTGAATCAAACAGAAAAATAAACATAGACTGTTAGACTAAATTTATGAATAAGGTCTGATGGCTTTGAAAGCAAGCTTCAGAATTTTTTTTTTTTCTCCTAGACTATTCTACTTGATGACTTTTAACGAGTTTTGACACATTTGATCATATTGTATCTGCAACTTCTCATCACTACACTCCAATACACATTTAATATATTATCAATAGGAGAAATTTTTTTTTTATATATAATTTTTGAAATTCTTATGAATTTTGGATTTTTTCATGACTGAAAATTACGTTATTAAACGAAAGGCCAACTTAATTTATTAACTTGGAATTGTCTAGAATTTTCAAATAGCTAACTAAGTTTGAATTTTCAGATAGTTTGCTCAATAATCACAGTAAGTAGCACATATACATCAGTACATTTATTGTAATTTCACATAAATGAAGACAGATTGCAAATTGCTACTATAGAAGATAGAGCCGTATTTAATTTCCTTTTATAATTTTCCACACATTTATTATGTATTGGTGGGAGAAAAAAATATCCTTTTCCATTTCTCTTTATCGACAGATGTCAGCACATTCATGTTCCACCATCCTTTCAGAATTAAAAAAAAAGAAAAAAAAAAATAGTCCTTATTGCTTTTTAAATTAGAAAATGAAAATGATGCTGAGAAATTTCCTTTTGGTTTTGTTAAAAAGAGAGGCAAATTGGAGTTTCGGAGTGACATGGATGGTAAAAATTTTTCTTCAATAGATATCGAATTTGCGAGATCTGAATAAGTGGTCTTTTTAAACATTTGGAAAAGAAAAAAAGAGAAGCCAATTGGGTTCTACATAGCATAGCTAAAAAATGGTTCCTTTCCCCTTCTGCATACATGATAAAATTATTTAGAAACAGAAATAACTGCAAAAAACTGAATATTTATATTACAACATTGCAAGATGTACATGATAACTGCTGACAGTTCAGCTTGTAATTAGCTGCATATAGTAGCTAGTATCTGAAAAACTAACAAATTAATAAGGAAATTCATGATCTTAATTATAATTTATCATCTAGATCTCTTCAGGAATTGTCTTAAGCACACCACCACGGGCAGGACCAGCAGAGCAAGAAGGCACAACTCTAACACGATTTACAGGAATTTCTAACAGTTCATGAGCTACATCTCTGAACGAAAGAATTCCACCATCTTTACACTTTGACATTAGACGAGCTGCTTCTTGTTTTGTCATCTTCACTTTCACTCTAATCACACCGTTTTCCAATAATTCTTCTCCCCCATAGCTTCTCTTCTCCAGATTCTTCTTCTTATAAACATTATCGATTTACAGGAATTTCTAACAGTTCATGAGCTACATCTCTGAACGAAAGAATTCCACCATCTTTACACTTTGACATTAGACGAGCTGCTTCTTGTTTTGTCATCTTCACTTTCACTCTAATCACACCGTTTTCCAATAATTCTTCTCCCCCATAGCTTCTCTTCTCCAGATTCTTCTTCTTATAAACATTATCTTCTTCTTTGCAAAGCAGTGGCTCTTTATAATTACTTGCCAAGAGATCACCTTTCTTTACTTTCTTTCTTGATGGGTTCTTGCTCAGATCATCTACATGTATGAAACTTGTGCTTTTGTTCGATCCCTTCAGGCCTACTATGGCGTCAAACAGTACTTCTTTCAAAGAAGCATTCAACGAGCTCCACATTTTAAGAGATAAAGAGCAGTGAGAGAGACTAGCTAGGGTTTAGCTCGTGGTGGTGGCCGGAATGGCAATTGCTTTAACTTTTGTGTAGGGCTAATGTTTAATTGTTTATGTTGAGATCAGATAGGGTGGCTATATATAGCAATTTTCAAGCAAGATCCCAAAATTACCATTGTTAAGATTTTTAGAGCATAAAAGATTATTCTATTGAATTACTTAATTTATAGCATAAAAGATTATTCTATTGAATTACTTAATTTATTTAATATTGAGATGCAAAAATTGATTCATAATAATCTTTAGAAAAAAAAAAAAAAAGACTGAGATGGGCAGACACATGGGACATGTGATATGGAGATGAGATGTGTTTCACCTGTTAGTGGACAACTAATGAACCAATAACCATATAGGCATTAGCCGTTAACTACACGATACAGATTAAAAATTAATAATAATAATAAAGTCTTCATTTGAAATGTTTCTTTCAGTCAATACAGAGCTATCACCAAGTAATGGACTGGACCATCAAACTAAGTACATCCCTTAAGAGACGATTACCGTCTTTGAAATTGTCAAAATAAGCTTGTTAATAAATTAAGGAATTTTAAAAAAATATATATCATATCATAATATTGATTGAATTATCTTGAAATTAAAAAAAAAAATCTTATTAGCAAAACCTTTCATTTTGTTAAATACAATTATCTCTCGTATTCATATGAGTTCAAATGAATATAAAAAAATAAAATTTCAGTAACATTGCGATCACAAGCTTAAAATTACAAATCTTTTCTAAGGATTTAACTATTGGATTATTAGGAGAACAAAATAAAAAACTTTAGTTCTAAAATATCATCCTATACATGCATGTATATTACTCCATCTGTCCCATTTTATTTGCATAGTTTGACAAAATACGCATATTAAGAATTTAGTTAATAAAAGTTATTTTATCATTCTTTATCCTTAATAACTCGTTAAGATACTTAAAGTCCTTCATTCAATGCACAATTATAAAGGTTATTATAGAAAAAATAATTATTTACATGTTTAAATTTAGAAACTTTACAAATATTTTGAGACATCCAAAAAAGAAATAACAAGCAAACAAAATGGAACGAATGAAGTATTATTTTTCGACTAACATTATAAAAGTTTTCAGTCAATCTTCTTGTAAGCAAAAAAACATCCACTAATCGTTAAATTAGCACATTCGAATACTAATTCTTTGCCTTAAAGTTGGTTCAAAGACTCAAACTAGCAACTTAAAGAAGAAGAAATAACACGACAAGTGGTAAGATCGCGACCTTCATCTTGAAAAAGAAAACTTGATGATCTTTCAATTTAAGTATCACAAGCCTGTGTTGCCAATTGGCCGTATCATGGAAATTCTTGAGAGACTCTTCTAAGTCTTGACTGGTTCTTTTTCTACGCGGTTTTGTTTAAGAACGGAATTGTTTAGTCCAAATAGCTTACTAAAAGTCTTTAACTTGTGGGTCGATGTGCTTATGAGTTATTTCTACGTTCAAGTTTACCAATCAGCGATTTGACAGTTTTTCTGTTTCAGTCTAGTTTTTGTTTCTGAAAGCATAGTTCAAGAACTTTGTTTCTGAAAGATGATGTTTAGAGTCTTTAGATCATTTAGGGATAATTTGGAATTTCCTATGCCCGAGTCAGTTTAGAGTTTTACTGTATGTATCCGAATCTATTTAGAATTTTAGTAATTGCATTTAGGAATGAGGAAACGGTCGATTCGATTTAAACCAAATCGTAAGAAAGCTAGAAAATGCAAACTGAAGTTTTTGGACTATAGATCGAACCAAACTGAAATTAATATCTAAATTGAAATCAGTTAGTTTAACCAGTTTTAAATAGTATTTACCATATCAGTTTGATTTTTAAGCTCAAATCAAACAATAAATTCGATTCAAATTGAATCCCGCTTGAATATCTGACCGAACCAAACCAAAAATGGATCAGTTAGATTTTTGATTTGGTTTGGTAAGTAGTTTTGTACACCGCACCTATCGTAAAAACCTGTTTAAAGTACTTTTTAAATGGGTATGATGTATGCAAATTTCAAACGTATAAATTTATTACTTAAGATATCTTATTAACTAATAATAGACAGAATAATTATCAGTACACATGACCAAACTTGTTTAATATAGCGAATTACTGTATATTTGTATCCTTACTCATCATGATAATAATTTCACGATATCTTAAAATACGTAGTCCTACTTTCATCCCTAAACAAGACTGATAATGAGCCCAGAAAAATGAAAATGGGCTGAGGCCCGTTATTAATGAATGGTCTTTGAATTTTAAAATTGTAGGTTTTGCTAGTTTGGGCTTGGTTTATATTCTTATTGGATTGAATAAGTTGACCACACCGCAACAATTCTGACGTGCGTGAAGATCAACGGTGTGGATGATAAACTTATGATACATCTAGAAACACCTAAACTCAGCCACCTTCTAAATGGCTCTCGAACATCGCGTCGTCAAAGCACGGAAGCTTTGTTTTCGCTTCGCCTTCAAGCCGAAAGAAACAGAGAGATATGGGAGGAGCTCAGGCTTTGAAAAGAATCCCACGCATCAAGTTTCCAAAGAGACACCCCAAATCCTCTGGTATGTCTTCAAAACTTCTTCTATTTATCTGTATTCATATGTCTTTATCTTTAACATGCATGGTTTTGATCTGAGCTCAATCTCAATCCCAATCTCTCTGATTTGAGACTTGTTTTGTTAAGGTCTCTGAATGAGAATTCTCGATTGCTTTTCCCTCACCTCGTTTTGCTTGTAGATATGCGGTTTGGCTTGTATAAAACGACAAGTTGTTTCGTCGTTAAGCACCTAGCCTTTCCTAAACGGCGTGTCTTCAATTGTGCAAGCTTTCTTCTTCTTCTTCTTTTTTTTTTTTTTCATTTGTAAATTGGTAAAATGCAATCTCTGCTTTAGTTGTTTCTTGGAATTAGAGATGCTATTTGAGAATTCTGGGTCTTACAATGTAGAAATATTGAGATATATGCATAAAATTTAATCTAAGGGACGCAAATTGCAGGGTCTCAAGAGGCATCTACCACTGCAAATGCTGATGAAACTTTCTTCTCGAGAATAAAGGCTTCCTCAATGACTGTTGGAGGGAAAGCTTCTCTTCAACCTAAACGGACTCCTCTCTCCAATGAGGAGATTGATGCAATCTTGGTGTGTAGAAAGCTTGCTTTTCTTCCTTGATTACTGTTAGAATTGCATTTGCAGTGCTGTCATCACGTAATGCAGTAATTTTATTACTGAATCATGTGATTATGGTTATTTATTCACTAAGTGAGCATCAGGAAGCTGAGTAGTGGCTGTTAATTCTGTTTTTTCCGGGCAGTGAAATACAATGCTGTCTAGTTGTAGAGCATAGTTTGTAGAGCATAGTTTTAGTAAGTCAAATATTTATCCACAACTGTTGGGAATACATTGTTGCATCCTAGTTGCATACTAACTAAGAATGTGTACTACTTTCCGTTTAAAATGAGACTTGAAGTTGAAGTAAATTCACTGGTTCTGCATCATTTCCCGCCTCCTTTGTTAATATAAGGCACTACTTCGTTAATATAAGGCAGAAGACTGATTGTCTGAGATTTTGGAAGTCATTCTCGCGTTCAGTAAACCTCCATGTTTTGTTTTGTATTTTCTTTTTCTTTTTCTTTTTTTTTTTTTGGGAGAATGTTCTGATTATCAAAATTGCCTTAGATTAGCTTATTGTTGCTGTTATAGCTTAGTGTATAGAAAAATTCCAGATGATCCATAAGCAGTTTAGCATTGTGTGTTGACTCTGTTATTGGTCTTTAATTTGAATCAGTATGCATTTCTTGTTCTTTAAGGATTCTCTTGCTTCTATTACTCTGTTTAGATATATTGCTGGCTGCTAATTTATTTGGTTGGTTGTTCTTTTGCAGTTGGGTGGCTGCATCTAATCTTCTCATGGAGCTTCAGTAAGGGGATTGGTCTCCTTTTTTTTCTTTTTTTTTTTTCATTTTCTTGAAACACCGGAAATTTTTCTAATGTTTTTGCTTTATATGCAACCTTTTCAGGTTTATTCATCAACTAAATTCTCAATGTTAAACAAAACAAAAGATACTGAGAAAAGAAATTAACTTCCTTTTGTCCATGTTGTCCTTGGTTGCTGTTTGATGTTGTATGATCTTTACAAACATAATTTATTTCCTTCTTAGTTGGAACCCTCAAAAAACATAGACAATGCATATGAACAAAGACATGAATAAAACAACAAAATATAAACAGGAAGTTCATTGCTGTTCCTTTTGCATTAGCTCTTCAATTATAACAGACCTGGGGTTTTTCCCTGGAGGGCCTTTTTCCCTGCGTTGAAGCTCTTCAAGCCGGAAAGTAATTAACCGATCCCAGTTTCCTCCTTCGAATAGAACAGCTGCCTTTCCATCAGTGATTCGCTGAACAATGCCGCAGTACTTATAATATGGGCTGTTTGGATTATCAACAATAGCAATCATACCAGGCATGAGCAATGGCAATTCAGGTGGTTTTGGCTTTTTCGAAGAAGTAACCCCCGCTATACTTGCTGAACCTGTAGATGACTGTTTTTTCGGAGGTGGGTTTTCCTCTAAAAATTTTTTTAGTCCCTTTTCCCCACCAGGAAATCCTCCAGTTAAACCCATAAGCTCTTTTTCAAAAGCATTCTCTGTGACATCACCAGTCACTGATGCTTCCGTGGTGCTGGAATTTTCCTCATTAGCAGAAACTGACGGCGATAATGATGATTCGATGTCTTTCTTTAGTTCTTGTTGGATACCTTTTTCTCCATTACAGAGTCCTCTGCCTCCCAGGATTTCAAATAGATCGAATTTCGCGCATGGCTTTAGCTTAGACCTGGATGATTCTTTAGGAACCAAAGATTGTGACTTGTGAGGACGATTAAAGAGGTTATTTTGGCCAAGAAACTGGGATCTAAATAGAGTACCTTGAAGAGAAACAGAAGAAGCCATAGCTAATCAGAAGACAAGCTTTGGAAAGGAGGGGAAGGCTTCCTCTTGTAATTCTGGCCACAAATTGGATTTTGTTGGATGGTGCTGTTCTATCTTTCACTTATTGGCTGCTACAATCTACAAACAGGATCATTTTTGTCAATTAGTTGTGAAATTGTAATCCATATTGCCTAGAAACTATTTTGGACCAATCTGTGACGATGATTTTGCCGAAGCACCAATTGATAGTAGCCGCGTGTTCGTGAACTGTAATTCTGTGTAAGTTGTTAACTGGTAGGTAACTCGTGGGAAGGATAAAACGACGCCGCTTGTCATGAGAATTTTCTTCTTAATTGCAGAGTAGTTATTTTGTGGAATAATAATTTTAATAATTTCAGACTTAACTCAGTGTTTTTTTTAATAGTTTCATATTTGAATTTGTGTTTTAAATAATATATACTAATAACTTATATATAATTTTCTTTTTTTTCATTATATTTGTAATATGTCTATAAATATAAATAATTTTAGAATAATCTATAACTATAAGCCGTTTTAAAAATATTTAGAAGTGATTAATAAAATTTTTTAATTTTACTCATTTGTATTAAACAAAATAATTATTTTTACAGTTTTTCAAATAATTATTTTTCTAATCACAATAATTTTAAATAATTTATATTTACCTAGAACCGTATCAAATTTACAAATCAAATACTTTATAATAAATAAATATATTTCTCCTAAAAAACAAAAAAGGATTGGCTAATCCATGATGACTAATAAATACAGCAGAGGACAAAAGTAAAAGCTATAGGGTAAAAGAGTCTTTTTGCATAAACCATAAAAAACTACAAAGTTCGTCTAATCACCTACCAGTCACATCGTATATATATACCTTCGAGGGGTCAAACAACTTTCCGTGAGCTGAAGCAGAGACCTCCATTACATTCTCTTCTCTTCTGTCTCTTTTAATTTTTTTTTTTCACCGTCTAAAAGAAGTCTCTTTACGGTAAGTAATCTATATCGTCTTTGCTTTTTCCTTTTTAAATGATTTGAGTGTATCCTATCTGTTTCTTCCCGAGATCCCACATGTTTTTTATGTGTTTTGCTACTTACGTAAGTTTTATTCTGTTGTTAAAGAGTTTAGATATTATGAGTTCGATTTAATTGAATTGATGTGTTTTTGTAGCTCTTTGTGATCTTGATGGTGCGCAGTAGTTTTGAATTGATGTTTTGCTCAAGTTTGCCTTGTCCTTGCTGTCTTTTTGTTCTACGAGGAATTTACTAAGAAATTTCAATTATGTGATCTGAAATTTTTTGACTTGTGCTTAATTAAGCTTTCTATTCTTTACTTTGTATTGAAATACAAGTTCTTGAAGGCTTGTTGCAATTTATGCTTGATGTAGATATTTTTTGGGGTAAGTTCTGTTTCATGTATTTCTAATCATTGGAAGCAATGTATTGCTGCATTTTAAACCATTGATCCATTTGATTTTTATAATTTGATGAAATTTTTAGCTGCTGCCCTAAAATTTGTCGTCTTTGAGCTTTTATGTTGAAGTCTTTTGTTTTCACATTCAAACTGCTTTTGCCTGCCTTTCTTTCTCCGCCATACCCTCTTGTAAAGGCTGTTCTTCTAATGTATTAACTTTTTTTAACACAACAGTAGATAGGAACTGCTAATGTGCTGCTAGTGAATCGCCATTTTTGTGCTCTACTTTCATTTAACAATTAGGATTGCTATCTCTCACAAATGGTGTCCTGGACTGAGTTCATAGCTATGGAGGACTTCTTAAATCATTGAGAAAAATACATACCCTAGACCAGTATATCGTTCTAGATTACTAAAGTCTAGGAAATTTTGCAGTAATTAAGGGTCGTATTTTATTTGCTGATTTAAAGTTTCTTATTTTCTCAAACTATTTTAACTAGTGCCTATTTTCTTATTATAACTTTGTGTTCCGTGTTCAAAGGTTTGCACCATTTTGAAGTGAATATATAGCTTAATGGATGATGGTCCTGGGAGAGGGAAGATAAAGATAGTCCCAGATCACTTTCAAGTCTTAACTTCTAGTGAGAACTCTTCACAAACCAGTATTTCATCTAATCTGCAGCCAAGAATTGATCACTCAAACAGGTACTTATTTTTTTTCCGTTTAAGAAAAGTAAAAGTAGAATAGAGTGCTTAAGACATTTGAACTGATTTCAATTCAGTTTTTTCTTCTGATTTAGAGCAGCTCTTGTGGCCGTCTCTGGACAGGAAGTAAAACTGGAAGAAAACTAAGGACTGCTGCATTCATGTTGAATTTGTTTAGTCTGCGGGGGCTGCCATGGGGTTCTAGCAATGATGGTCAGCAAAAGGTTGATTGAACATTTCTTTAATATTCTTGTAGCTGATTTTAGATTGTATTTATTCTTTATCTGAACAAATATTTTCTTTTTGCAGGTTGAGTTGACTGTGGCAGAGTTAGAATCCCTTCGATCAGAACTTGCTGAATTAGAAGAGAGGGAAGCTCACTTGAAAGCCCAGTAAGGACAACTTGATCCTGCATATGGAAACTCCAATATATGCTTTTTCTTAGCAATATTGAATCTGTTAATTATTTAATTGGAAATGGTTACCTTTATCTGTATTTTGATTGTATCATGAACAATAAATCGCCAAAAAAAATGAAAAAGTTAGGGTCTGTGACCATAATACCATTCTATATACTGTCAAAAATGATAAACCATGCTGTATTCTATAATTCAGTATTTGCTTCTGGTTTTTGATAAGCACATGCTGCGTTGTTCAGAAAATATTTGTCTTTTGCATATGAACAATTAAATCCTCTGTTATATAGGTTGGAACAAGTTGATGAAATTCTGCGGTCTGCTCGCTTCTCTGGCTACTTGTACATTCGAACTGTACTTAATTTCTCCTTCTCACTTGTCTTATTTTCTATCAGTTCATGCTGCAATATCTTGTGCAAATTGCCCTTAAAAATATGTCTTTTTCTCTATTTTATTCTTACCCCCTTTTACAGAGATGGACAGCTTTACCTGGGGAGCCTCCCCCAATTGATGATACTGAGGTTGATGACTGGCTTCCTCGCTTTGTTGTCCTACATGGGCCTTGCATCTTCTTTTATTTGTTGTGCACAGGTAACTGGTTTTCCAGTAATCCTTCCTGACTCACATGCATGTGTGGCTCACTTATGGTACCAAGCGACCCACTAATATAAGAGAAATGAGTAGCAACAGCCATGGTCTATGCAGTAATTTTTTCATGAATTTGTTCACTTGCTTTGCAGCAGTTTTGGGAGATCCTTTTGATAGATGGACTTCCCCATTAGAATGCCCCCTATATCGTTTTTTCTTTCTCTGCTTGCTGCTGTCCTCAGAGAATTATCAGTTACTTAGTTGACCATCCTAGCTTCTCATTAGTTTTTTCCTCCTTTTGCTGTAACCCTGTAACCAAACAAAGGATGCATCCGCATGGGATAGGAGACTTCCTTATATCCAAAACATCTTTTTTTTTTTTTTTTTGAAAAAAAAAAAAAAATGGCAGCAGCTTGGCGAGATCCTTTTGATAGATGGACTTCCCCATTTATGAATGCCCCTATATCGTTTTATTTCCCTTTCTCTGGCTGCTCTGCTGTCCTCAAGAGAATTATCAGTTACTTAGGGTTGACCATCCTAGCTTCTCATTAAGTTTTTCCTCCTTTTGCTTGTAAGCCCTGTAACCAAACAAAGCGGATGCATCCGCTGGGATAGGAGACTTCCTTATAGTTCCAAACATCTTTTTTTTTTTTTTTTTGAAAAAAAAAAAAAACGGAGAATATGAGGTAAAACTCTGAGAATAATGAGATGATTCTTGGTAAACCTAGTCGTACTTCACAAAAGCGCATGTGCTATTTCCAATTAAGTTTGCTTTTTTCAGTATAAGCCTGAGTCTGCTACATTTTGAATCCCTAAAGTTTTTTTTTTTTTTTTTGAAAAAAAAAAAAAAAGGAAAAGGAAAATACTCTGAGAATAATGAGTGTTCTGTGAACCAGTTACTTCAGCAAAGCGATTGCTAATTTCCAATTAGTTTGCTTTTCAGTATAAGCTGAGTCTGCTACATTTGATACCCTAAAGACCTCTTATCCACTAACTCCAAGGCTGCAGCCTGACACCCAAGTTAGCCTTACACAGCTAATTGACTTACTTCCCTTTTCTCTACATTTAAGTTCTCCATCCGTGAACCAAAAGATAAGAAATTATAGTTTTGGTTTAAGAAAATCAGAAGGAATGATCAACTGTTGCATACACACTATTTTTCCCCAAACTGCACTTTAATTGCAGGCTGATGGGAAAGATTTTTTTTTTTTACCAGATTTGAGCCCTCAGGATTCAACTTTACTATCCGACATTGTTGAAGTGGGTTCTTTGCCAAGCTTTACACGAGAAGATGATGAGACACGATATTCTTTTTATATCTTAACTCACCATGGCCTGCGATATGAGTGCTCAAGTATTTCTAAAATACAGGTACTTAACAGTATTAAGAAATATAATTATTTCTCGATGTTGTAGTCATTTACTCACACACAAACAGATCTTATTCTTGCTACTCCTCTTACATGAGTCTGTTTTGTCCCTTTCTTACAACTATATCATGATGCACTTTTTTCCCTCTGAGGGTGAAAGAAGGCGGTCCAGCTTGGGGAGCTCAAGTCTTTACCTTCATAACAAGCTTTCATGTTCTATTTAATAGAAACTATTATGGAGGCAACATAACCTTTGAATGGTTTAAAGTTTACAACCCTACAGTTCCGCGACATGTTTATTCATGTTGCTCCAGATTGATAGAGATACTGCATTTAGTACAGAGTCACTGTCCACAGGATTTTTTGATGATATAAATCTAAGAAAATGGTTTGTAGTGAAAAATTTTTTACCATTCTCGAGTGAGAATCTTACTGTATTATCATATATAGTCATATTGGTAAGAGGTTGCTCTTCTGCTATAATCAAGTAATCAACCATACACTTCAAAAATATTTCCTCCTTTCCTCAGGTGGATGCATGGTTGGCAGCATTACAAAGTGAGTGCAAGTCTGGGTCCAATACAAAAGCTCCAAATGGTTTAAGCCAAGTGTGAAATATATGCAGATTTTTAAACCTGTAAGCTGTACATAGGCCAATTTGTTAACCTTAGATCAGTTACATTGTAGATTGGAATTTGATGTCACTAACTTATTCATTCTGTTTTGTACATAGAATGACAATACACGAACAATAAATTATATTGTGCCAATCATTTTATTCAAGAACTGTCATTCAGCCCAGACAGGATTAATTCACGTTCTTTAAAAAGAAAAATTTAAGTCTCAGGTACTTTTCATTATTCTCATCAAGGAGGGGAGAAGGAAAGTAAAAGTAACGAACCAGAAAGAGAATAAAGTAGGCTTTCTGTGCATCTGGCTACAGCGAATAGAATTATAGTTAGGGCGAAGGAATAAGTACAACCGGTCGCCTTCCATTCGAGTATTGGCCAGTGAGAGATGTTTCTTTCTCACTTTCCTTTCATAAAAGGACCTAAAAGGTTGAAGCATCCCTTCAATTTTTAATTTTTAACATGACCTTTTTTTATTTTTTTTTAAAAGAAAAAGTAGATTATTGAATGGAATTCTTTTTTCTTTTTCATGGTTTATTTTAGAAAAAAAAAAAATTAAATGTTACAATACATCTATGTTAAAATATCTTATATATTAATTATCAAATACTAAAATTCACGTATAATTTGTTTTAATGAAATTTATTTTGCAAATAAGATGATATTCTTTGCTACTTTGTGGTTTCCAATGTTTGAGGAAGTATAATCATTACCTTTCTTATTATGAACTCTTTTAAATTATCGTTTAACGATGCCACATAATATGGATGTGTTGAGCTTTAAAATCTTTTTTTTTTTTTTTTGTAATAATTGTTTTAAATGAAATTTAATTTTGCAAATAAGATGAAATTCTTTGCTACTTTGTGGTTCCCAAATTTGAGGAAGTATAATCATTACGCTTCTATAATGAACCTCTTTTAAATTATCGTTTAACGATGCACAATAATATGGATGTGTTGACTTTAAAATCTTTTTTTTTTTTTTTGAAAAAAATAAATATCATCTATTGTGGTTTTTTAGATTTTTCTAAATTTTAAGGTGCTAAAAAAAAATTACTCGATAAAATATTTATCTAATTAGAAGATAAATTTTTTAGAGGTAAAGTAATTTTAAAAATAAATCGGTAATATTATATAATAATACATTATTCCTAATTGAATTATTCATATGTGAATTTGGATGAATTTCCTCAATGTTTTTTTTTCCCACTATTTGTTTTGTAATATTAAATTGATTTTCTTTTTTAGTACTTACCATACAAATGGGCCTAAGGCGGCAGGTGCCCGCCTCGCCGGCGGCAGGTGCAGCCGGAGCCGCGGGCATGTCCGCCGGATGCGGCGGCAGGAGCCGCCGGAGGCCAAGGGTGCAATCCAGGGTTCAGCGCATGAGATTCCATTTAATTGGTTTCCAAAAACCTTAAGTAATCCGAGGCCGGACGGCAGGTGCCAGGCCTCGCTCGGCGGCAGGTACCCCACTCAGTGGACACAAAATCTAAAGCCGTTAGTTAGATTGACGCGCGGATTATCTCTACATTCTTCGGGTAGGGTTGACCTGAAGCTGGACCACTCAAAAACCAAACCAAAGCCAAATCAAACCGTGGATTATTAGGCTGTGACTTGTACCAGCACATAGCTTCTCACTTCTCTACTCTTATCAGGGGCTATCAGCTGTTCTTCATTTCGTCTCTTTTCACTTCGGAAGGCATTTTCGGTGCTCTTCGTGAGCTCTCAGCTTCAAACGTCTCTATCCTAAAAACGATCGCATCGTTCAAGTCAAAGATATTATTGATGTCGATCTGCTGCATCCAGAGCTCGTAATCCAGGTCGTCTTCGAGTCCTTTCAGCCTTCTAAGGGCTCTCGCCTTCTACTCTGGTACAGACATTCCCCGGACGTTTTAAGTACCATATTGTCCACCTCGCATACCTTTCGGACGAGAGTTTTTTCCCTAAAAATCGTACCTTAAATTTTTCAGTTTTATCTGAGTTTTTATTTTTTAAATCTGTTTTCAACATGATTGTAATCGTCGGTGGAATCCTCATATGATAAATTTCCTTCGTGAGCCTTGATAATTTGGTTGTTCTGGTATAATCTCTTTGAGATCAATTTTTTGGAGAAATCTATGCTCTAATATTTTGTAAGCATATAATATGTTTTTCCGAAATTATAATTTGATATCGCTGAGGTCTATGGTGAAGCAGTTTGAAATATTTCCTGCAATTAAAAAATCAAAATATGAGTTTATTTTGGGTGTTGATGAAATCTCTTTAATATATTGTTTCTTGAATCTATTTATTGTAGAGTAAGGCACGAAGCTGTGGCTTGCGAAGCGCTCGCGGCGGTTGTCAATTCACCTTGAAAGCCAGCTCCCGTATACAAGAAGTAGTTCAATCGCCTTTTGGAAGTGACTGCCATGTTATCCACTGAGCCTCAAAATTGAGAGTTCACTCAATACGTGCATCTCTGCACAATGGAATTGCAAGGAGTCACTTTATACAAATTTGTTCTACCCTACTGTTGGTCTGCATCTAAGGTTTTTGGATTCGCAAAAAGGTTAAATCTTTCTCCACTTACATGTGGACTTTTTTATAATAATTTAACTGTTGGGTACAACGTACTTCTTGTCAGCTATTTATCCTATAGAAACATTTTTGAATTGAGTGGAGAAAGTTTTCTAAAATATACTTTGATGACGTGCATAACTTCTCTCCTACCTTTCAGTGTGTTGCGAGGAGTGAAAGAGTAATGGTATCGTCTGAAGGGAAATTCTTTGGCATCTGAAATGCATAACGAATGCTGAGAAGAGAAAGAAAGGTTAATATGAAAACTTAATAACAGATAAATCTCACTATTGTCTTATGAGTAGGAAACTGTTAGTGCATTTGCGGAATGGAATTTCTAGACTATGACTGATGATGTTCTCAGAGCTTTAAAATCTTTTTTTTTTTTTTTTGAAAAATAATATATCTAGTGTTTTTAGATTTTTCTAATTTTTAAAGGTGCTAGAAAAAATTACTCGATAAAAATATTTATCTAATTAAAGATAAATTTTTTTTAGAGGTAAAGTATTTTTTAAAAATAAATCGTAATATTAATATAATAAATTACATTATTCTCTAATGATTATTCATATGTGAATTTGAGAATTTCCTCAATGTTTTTTTTCCCACTATTTGTTGCAATTAAATTGATTTTCTTTTTTTAGTACCTTACCAAGTACAAATTGCAATCATGTTCCAAATTATTTAATTTGGTTTTCAAAAACCTTAAGTAATCCCTCAAACAAAATCTAAAGCCGTTAGTTAGATTTGACGGATTATCTCACATTTCGGGTAGGGTTTGACCTGACGATATCAAAAACCAAACCAAACCAAATCAAACCTTATATGTTGTATCCACACATAGCTTTCACTCTCTCACTCTTATCAGGCTATCAGCTGTTCTTCATTTCGTTTGCTCTTCGTGCCTCTACTTCACGTCTCTTATTCTAAAAAACATGAGTTCTCAGATTTTGAGATCTGCTTCTAGAGCCACCAGGTCTCTTGTTTCAGCTTCTAAGGGCTCTCGCTTCTACTCTGGTACATCCACTCTCTTTTACATTTTTTTCAATCTATTAATTTTTAGTTTTATCGAGTTTTTTATTTTTTAAATCTGTTTTCACATGATTGTAATGTGGAATCTCATATGATAAATCTTTTCGTGCTTGATTTGTTTCTGGTTAATCTTTGATATCAATTTTTTTGAGATTCCTATATTTTTGAATATTTTTTTTCCGTTTTTGATATCCTATATGAGAGTTTGATATTCTGCAATTAAAAAATCAAATATGAGTTTATTTTGGTGTTGATGAAATCTCTTTAATATTATTGTTTTTCTTGATCTATTTTATTTGTAGAAGGACGAGCTGTGGCTGCAGCTGCGGCGGTTTCATTCAGTGGAAAGGCGCCGTTCTTAGCTTCCGCTTTTGGAAGGACTGGTTCCTCAAATGCTTCTGCACAATGGATTTCTGGAGTCCTTGCAATTCCTGCTGCAGGTTTTGGATTGAAAAAGTTTTCTTTCTCCACTTACATGTGGACTTTTTTTATAATTACAGTCTCTTTCAGCATTATCTAGACATTTGATTTGGAAATTTATAAAACTGACGTGCATATTTCTCCTACTTTGTGTGTGCGAGAGTGAAGAGAGGTAGCTAGGGAGATGCTGGCTTAAATGTAAAGAATCTGGGTGGAGAAAGAGATAATATAAGAATTGAGTGAAACTTTAGGCATGGGATGGATTTTAGACTTGACTGTTTCTCCAAAATTTCTGCCATACATTGCACCTGAATCCCTAAGTGTGTCGGCGACCATTGTAATTCTCAGCTGATCAAAATTTATGCAGATCCCCTCTTTTCTGTTTATTCTTCACACATACTGCATGCATTCAGATCCATATCTAATAAGTTGCCTCTTTTTCAATTCTTTATCACCAATGTAAAAATTTCTGGATCCATTGTGAAATTGGTTCTAGATAGGGGTGCAAACGAGTCTAAGTCAAGCCAAGTTTTGAGAAGTTCAGACTCGTCTATTCACCTATTTAAGGAGCTTAATTAAGCACACGCTTGTCTCAATAAAAGCTCAAAGCTTTAAGGTCAGCTTGTAATAGGCTAACTCAAGCTGGGCTGAACGAGCTGATTACATTTTCAGACAAGCGCAAGCTCAATTGTAGAACTTTTATAATGCATCTTATAATATTTTATACTAACAAGCCACTATTTAGAAAAAGAAACGATAAACTGTGTGGCGAAAAAGAAACGATAAACTGTGAGGCCCACAACGTGGTATAAAAGCCACAATATAATGACACGAACGGGAAGGGCTTTAGCTTTTTATAAGCTCATGAGCACCTCCTCATTTCAAGCGATGTGGGATTTGCATCACATACTTGCTCTCCTGTGATATTTAATTAAATTTTTATCATTTTATAATTAAAATCATAAATTTAAAAGTACCTTTTCTAAATCTTTTGAGTAGAATGATAGAAAAAAAATGTGGAGGGCAGTGACGTTGTAATAGCACTGTTCTGTGTATTCTTTTGGTTGCATGATACTGTTACTGCATTCTTTCCCCCCTGTTTACTTAATCTATGATTTTTAACTTTTCTTTTTGTAGTTTACATGCTCCAAGAACAGGAGGCACATGCTGCTGAGGTACTCTAATCAGTTTTTCATTCTTTATCCATATACATCCCCTTAGTTCTTTCTTTTTTTTTTCCTTCATTTTGTTAGAAGATAAATAATACAATCTCTGATTCTATATTTAGCTGGAGCGCACTTTCATTGCAATTAAGCCGGATGGAGTGCAGAGAGGGCTGGTAAGACATGCATTTCACTTTTGTTTACTACCAAGCGGGCCTTTACCTTCCTTAGCTCTAAACTTTAATAATGTTATATTGTATTTGCTACTTGTTTAGATGTCTTTTAGTATTTGTTTCTTGTAGATTATTGCTGCTTGGCATGTTATTTAAACTTTTTTTGCAGATTGCAGAGGTCATATCTCGATTTGAACGTAAAGGGTTCAAGCTTGTAGCAATTAAGATAGTAGTTCCCTCGAAGGACTTTGCTCAGAAGCATTATCATGATCTGAAGGAAAGACCATTCTTTAATGGTCTCTGTGACTTCCTTAGCTCAGGCCCCGTTGTTGCCATGGTATGAATACCCTGAATCCTCCGCTTAATATTTTTCAACCTCTATTTTTGAGTCCTGCAAACTGATTCAACTTATGCAGGTTTGGGAAGGAGAAGGGGTGATCAGATACGGGCGGAAACTCATTGGAGCCACTGATCCCCAGAAATCAGAACCCGGAACCATCAGAGGTGACCTAGCCGTAATTGTTGGCAGGTATCATTTTGAATTTAGTCAAAAAACATCACTATTTCTTGATTTTCATAAGAAATTGCACTTGCCACTGCTTGCGTCTTGTGTAAACTACATCTAGCAATCGGCATTCAGTGACAATTGTGTTATTGCTTCCCTGATGTGCTTAATGTTGTGCATTTACATTACCATTTTAAGATTATTATTGTTTTGCCATATAGAAATATCATCCATGGAAGCGACGGACCAGAAACAGCCAAGGATGAGATTGCCTTGTGGTTCAAACCAGAGGAATTGGTCAAGTACACAAGCAATGCTGAGAAGTGGATCTATGGAAACTGATGGAGATATTTGTTTTGACATTTAATTCAGGAATTTAGGTCCCACCGATAGGGTGGGGGAGAATCATAATTGGTAGAATAAGATTGGTTCTGCCAAGGTGAGTGACAATATTCCTTCGCTACGATCAACAAGCGAAGATTGAAATTTAGCAATAATTTATTCCACCTTTGTTTTGTCATGAACTCCAATCAATGATTTAATGATAATACCTATTCTAATTTTTGTCTCCATATTGTTTATTTTGGAATACATTATGCTCAAGTGAAATGACAGTTTATTTATTTATTTATTTACGGTTTAAATAAATTATATTGCGTGACAGATTCATAATTTTTTCTCCTTTTAATTGTAGTTCGAATTTGATAATTTATAGAAATCTAATAAAATTTAAGCAACTTGAAATTGACCAAATATGATCGAGTCATTTTATGACCAATACAAAGGAAAAAGGATCAAAAATTTATTTCTTAAATTAATTCAACCACCGTCTTAAACTAATAATTTAACTTGTTCTCTCAAATAAAAAAAAAACCTAATTTATCAAATTAAAACCAATAATGACACACGTTATAACCTCTAAAATAATGTTTTTCCAGGACGCATCCTCACCAGATTATTATGCAAAGGCAATTATTGCGTCAAAAAAAGATGAGGTTACGCAATAATTCCGGTATTTCAGGGCGGACTTGAAATCTAATTGTGACTCTTTTAACCATTACTTGAACAATTCCCGATTGAATTCCGCCGAGCGTTGCCTGCATAACAATTTCTTCTCTATTGTTTTTTCATATAAATATATATTAATCGATTAATCGATTGTCTAGCCTTACGTCAAAACTCATTTACTCCTGTGGCATCCCTCGGGGAAGCATCTTCTTCGTTGTCCCGAAACTTCGAAACAGTTTTTGGTAGCCCGAACCCTAAAACGTTTTCAATTTCTCCTTCAACTTCGACAGTCTCGTTAAAAATCTGTAAGTTTCTCTATGTGACGATGCGTGTATCTTCTCTTTATTTTTATAGATGTAATTTTGTTGATTGGATTGTTTAATTGTTTTTGGGCCATTGAATTGGAAACCCTAAGGTTATTCTCTGTTTGTTTTTCCTACAAGTTTTGTGTTAATTATCAATATTAAGTGCTATGCTTTTGTTTGATTGATAGTAAGCAACATAAAGTGGATTCCCTTTGAGAATGACAGCTCTAATGAGTCGATTCGCTTTTTAGATTATACTTGAGCTTGCTTTTGGTTTTTAAGCAAAGCAATAGAAATCGTAAATCGATATACGATATCGGTTATAGATTTTGATTATGATGTGTTTTTATTCCAGATTGGGTTTGTGATAGTGCTTTGATTTCTAAATTCTCTTTTTACGATTAGTTGCGGCTGATTTCCAGAAATTTTTTTGTAAGTTTGATTTCTGGTTTCTCTTCATCGGTTATGAATATTTTCGTTTCTAATAGTGCTGCAATTTTTTTGTTTTGCTTGCTGTACTGCCCCTGCTTCCTCCCTTTGAAGAACTTGTTCTTCATGTTTGCTATGTCTTGCTTTGGTATCAAATATCGCTCTCCATTTTTAATGGTCGTATTTTTCGTGCTTGTTTACAGCCACGACTTAATTTTACTGTGTCAGATGGCCACCAAACCACTTACACGTGAGGAAATTGCTAACACGGAGAAGAAATTGGACATGCCATTAGGTATGCTTGTTTGAAAGTATTGACTTAGACTAGTTTTTTCCCTATTCATTGTTGTTTTCTTATTGCTTATACATATTGTGTTTATGTTGTTTAGATGACATCATCAAAATGTCTAAAAACACAACAATTAAAGCTAAGAAGCAGCGAAGTGCTCCGGTATGGAACTTGTCCATAGAAACACGCTCTTCATACCTTGTTCTAGATATTCTGCATGTGATTGATCTTGGAAGTCTCTTTTTTGGCAGAATAAAAGTCAGAAAGTTTTTAATAATCCTGTACGAGAGAAAGCTTTGAAGGTGCGGCGTTATATGGACTCAAGACCCTTCGTTCGGCAGGTATATAGCTACTCCTGCTAATATATGCTAATTTTGCACATATTTTGACTGGTTGATGAGTCAATAATTGCTTTCTATCCATTTTATTCATATTTTGCTGATCAGGGGGCTTTAGCTCAAAGAAGGTCGAATTTCCAGGGAAATCGATTTCATTTAACAACTGAGGTTGCAAGGAAGGCTGCAGTTGCTCCTTTTCGCAATAAGCCTTTTGACCGTAATGTGGCGGCTAATTCAGACAAAGCAAGGTATTATGCCTTTTCAGTTTCATGTTATTATTATATATTTCAACTTTGATTTTAGAACAATTGGGTGAAGCATGGCAACCAGAGTTGCTAATCTAATTGTGATGGTCTATCATGGGCTTCTTGCAGGTAACTATGATGACATCTGCCATGTGGTCTTCTGGTTAATATTTGTTGTTGGGTCACATAGTTTTGTGGAATTCAAATATGCTATTGGTTTATTGACACTTGACGAGTGACCTATTTTGGAGTCCTAGTTATTGATGGCATCTGTGCAAATTATACAAAGTAGAATTCCTGCAGTGTGATGTTTATCAATTAGGATGAATGGTGAATGCATCTCTCGTTTGATGGATATGGTTGTTTAGAAGTGGATGTTGTGTCATTTTGGTATGTTGGAAGTTGATGCTTAAGCATTTTGGTAGGCTTTGAAAGTAATGGATTTTATATGATTGAAGTAAATTTAATTTGAAGGCGTTGGCTTATGAAATGCTTTAAATGAATGCTGCATTAAACAGAGTAAAGGTGTGGCGGTTATGAAAATGCATCAAAAATTGATATGCTGAGGTGATGTTTGCACAAATGTCGTGTGAAGAGATATATGTCTTATGCATTGGGTGGACTGTGCACAAGTGGGTAATTGGTGGATACCTTTTCGGACCCATTCTTCATCTCTAGATCCTGGTGTTATTTTTTATTCTCTGTTATTGTGAAGGGTATGAATCATGTTGCCATCACTGATGGTGATTTTTCTTAGTGTTTTGCTTTTCTGTGGTTAGAATGCCCACTTTTTCATTGAGCATTTAGGTTGATTTTCTGGTGGTTCACCTATCCTGTGTTTCTCCCTTTTGACGCCCTAAAATTTCATTATTTTCATGAATGGGGAAGATTACTTTTGGGGATCTTTGTTCTTTATGGCCTGGAGTTAGTGATAAGTAGACTTCTGCAGTATGGAACTTCCTCAGTTATTTAGTTAATGCTTCAATCATCTCGGTCTTCCTTTTTTTATCACCTGCCTGTTGCATGACTGGGTCATCTTTTGATGGGGTGTGCTGTGAAGGAGTTGACACAATGATATTGGTTATGAAAATGGCTGCTTTTGGGCTTAAAAGAAAAGGAGCATTGTGTTTTGGATTTTATGTGCTTCAGTTGATTAACTTGGAATAACTTTGTGGAGATAAGCTCCAAGCATTCATTTAACGCATTGGATGGGGATCATAAATCTTTTTTTTTCCTGCACAAGCTTTGTGGCTTCTGTGTGGTGGTACTATTTGCAACCTTAGTACTGGAAGTTGCACTCTTCTGCTTATTGATCTGTTTTGAAGTCTTGCAAATGCGTAGTTCCCATTCAGTCATGTTGCTATATGGTGGTGGTCCTCTATTTTGGTAGCAAAGCATTCAAGTCAAGACTTGAAGTCCAGATTATCATCTGTAATTTCAAATATTTTCGTGGGATTACAAGAAATGAAAAGTGCAGAGAACTGGCTTTGTCTTCACTTTTATTCAACTGACATTTGTTTCCTAAAATGGTTTGTCTTAGTTTGTCTTAGTTGGATGTAATTTTAATAATTATGGTAAGACTCTTGTCTCAACCAAATCAAATTGTATCCGCACGAGTTTTATGACACTAACTACGCTGCAAATTGTCAAGTGTGGAAGGACTTTATTCTCATCTTGGAATCTGGGTGCTTGAGTATTATTTGTTTTAGAGTCATTTTTGTTAATTTCTGCATGCAGGACTGGAGCTTTTATGGTTCAGAGGAAGGCTGGAAATGGGGGCTTTGCTGCAAAGGTATTCTTCCATCTCATAACTCTCTTGGACTTTGTCCGAGATGTTCCGTTGTAATGTATCTATGTTAAATTTTTTGGATTTCTGCTGAAGTTACATTACTCTGCCTTTTAGATTGATTTGATTGGTTTCTCAATAAAAGACAATTCGACTGGACATTGGATCCTATTGCACTTTTGTCTTACTCTTTGTGATCTACTAGTATGCAATAGCAATGGCAAAATGCCACTGAGAGTGGCAAGATGATGTTGACCTTGTTTGTTTTTCTTTGCAGTCGCCACAGCAGCTTCAGCAGCAAGGAGATGGAGGTGTTAAACCAAGGCCTCAAACGCTAGATTCAAGGTTTGCCAACATGAAGGAAGAAAGGATGAGAGTCTTGTCAAGGCGGAACAATGGTGTACAGTGCAATGGCATTGGTGGTCGACCAAGGGTGCCATGGGCAAGAGGTCGATTTGGCAACTGATGCTTAGATTACTAGGTGTCAATTGAAGCGGGATGTTTTGGTGCTTGTTCAAGCACGTCTTAGTCTTGGTGCTAAAGCAAAAGGTGCTCACGTCTTCCTGCATTGCTATTTGTTGGTGGTTAGGCCAGCTGAGTTGGCTATGTAAAACCGTTGGTTGTTCAGTTGTTAAAATTCAGTTTTGCATGGTTATATTCAAGAACAACTTTCACCTTGGTGCTTCTTTGGCGGCATTGTATATCATTACAGGATCATTTATATTAAATGTTCGTGCTTTTTTTGATAGCTTTGCGTATGGTTGTTCTCATACGCCACTTCGAGTGTTGACAGTGGAGAGTAGAAGTCCTGTTTAAGAACGTGTCCATAATTGATTTGGGCTTTGTTGAAGATGGTTACTCTTTTAGCCTGGTCGATTAGCTAGTGATTACGAGGATTTGCTGATGTTATGACGGGAGAAAGGGCAAGTTCTTTTGTCTCTTTCTGCAGCTTCTTTTGATATCTTGACCGATAACATGTACCAAGTCTATGTTGGTGTTTCAATTGGCAGAAAATATTGTTACTAATGCAGTGATTGATTAATTTGGGCTCGATTATCTTACACTTTTGAATGGGAGGTAGAAAGAACTGTTTTTAAATTTTTGCTTTCAACATTTTAGGATGGTCAAAACTCAATGAAAACACCTATATAACAGACATGCTGTTCGCAGTGACCTTACCCTATGAATTCGAATTCCCATTAATAAAGTTATACTTGACAACTAACGACGGTGGTTCAAATTAATAAAGCAGGTGAAATCAATTAACTTAATTAAGAGGATATCAACATGGGGTTGTAGCTCATATGGTAGAGCGCTCGCTTCGCATGCGAGAGGTACGGAGTTCGATTCTCCGCAGCTCCAAACAATTTTTTGTTTTTTAAACTCTCATCAGTCTATTAGAATCGTTCCCGCATGTAATTTAATCTGAACGGCTGAAAATAATCTACGACTCCTAATCGTACACTTCACATCACTCCCCGCCTGTCCTAACAGCCTCTCGTTTCTAATCTCTTCATCTGTTTCTTCTTCCCAAAACCAACGAGCAAAGACTTATAGTAACCAGAGACCTTTCCCGTTAACCAAAAAAAGAAATTCTCTGCCTTCCCCATAAAATATGACTTTGAACTTAGGCTCTCCTTGGCTCTCTCGCCTTTCTCACCCTCCTCACCTCCCTCTCCCTAAATTCTCTGAATCTTATCCAAAGTCCAATTACTCTCTCTTATCTCTCTTACTAGCTGCTACTGGCTTCAACCATTCAATCTTTTCCTCTTCGAGAGTTCTCAAAGCAAGAGCTTCACTCAGCGAAGGAAACTCTGCCCTGGACGTACTGTTATCGAATGACGAGGAGTTGCTTGGCCGAGTCTCTGCTGCTAAAGACGCTAATGAAGCGATCCAGATAATCGCCGACATTTCTAACATAAGTAGTGGCGTAGTTAGCGTCTCCGATTGTTGCCGCATTATAGCCGCCGCGCTTGATAGGAACAATGTTGAACTGGCCTTATCTATCTTCTATGCCATGCGTTCGAGTTTTGATCAAGGTCCGTTCATCTGTTTCTAACATTTCCTTTTTCTTCTATGATATTTCAATACGGTTTTGAAATTGAGGAGAATTTTTATGTGGGCGATGCGTGGTTTCAGGTGTTAGTGAAAGTGGCCCTCTGCTGGAAAGATGGAAGTGGTCGAGGCCAGATGTGAGTGTTTACACAGTTTTAGTTCAGTGTCTTGCTTCATCATTGAAGGTCTCAGACGCACTTAAGGTGATTGATTATATTTGTCGAGTGGGAGTATCTCCTGGTGAAGAGGTAAGAACTAATGACGGGCCTTCTTTTCATTTCTATGGTCATTTTGTTTGATAATACATCTTTTTTTGGATATTTTTCAGGTTCCTTTCGGGAAGGTTGTGAGATGTCCAACTTGTATGATAGCTGTTGCCGTTGCACAACCTCAGCATGGTATTCAGGTATCGACACGAGCTTTCCTAATGGCTTGGCTTTGGTCTCAATTCAAGACATAATCCTGCTTCTAGGGTCTTGCTTCTCACTATTCACATAATTTTTTTATTTGGTGCAGATTGCATCTTGTTCAAAGTGCCGTTATCAGTATGAGCTTGTTTCTGGAGACATAACTACTATAAACTCGGAGGAAATCAGGTTGGTTTACTTCCGTATTTATTGTTTCAATAAGTAAACTGATATACTGTTGAATTAGTGTGGTATCTTTTCCGTTCTGCTTGTAATTATTTGAAATCCATGGCCAATATCATATCTAAAGCATCTACTGTTCAACAAGGACATGTATTATTCAAAAATTGATATATTCTCTTACAATATTTCAGTGTTTTTGTGATCAAATGATATATTTGTGTATGATGTTGATCCTGGGATATTCACTTTTCTAAGGAACTCCTCCTGCCGAACGCAGCAAGGACCTTCCAGTATGGGAAAAGGGGCTAAGGTTTCTGCAGATAATGAAGCGAACCATTCCTGCAGCTGTTCATTCCATTGTGGTACAGTTTTTTATTTTTATTTTTATTGTTATTGTTATTTTTTGTTTTGGTTTTAACCTTAAATGCACATTTCATGTTTCTTATAGTTCTGATTAGGAATTTCCGTTTACTCAGAAAACTTTGAACTATAAGATTTATAAGGCATTTGATACCTACTAATTTCTGTTGTCTACCTTATTCTTTTATTGGTCAATTGCAAGAGTTTAACTATAAATAACTAACCTTGTATTGATGAAGAGATCAGTCTTCAAATTAGATCCATCAGTCTGCCCTTACCTTACTGCCCTCTTTCACTTGTGAACTTTTTCCTTTTGTACACATTTCACTTTTCAGGTGCAGACCCCTTCTGGAATAGCACGTACACACAGGTTTGCTACCAAAACAGTTGATCTCCCAGCACAAGAAGGAGAAAGAGTAACTATTGCTTCTGCTCCATCAAATGTTTATAGAAATGTGGGCCCCTTTAAATTTAGGCCAAAGCCCCCCAAGACATACCCTGGGGAACCTATGTGCCTGACAAACCATGAAAATGGTAGGGAATCAATTTTACTGAGAGCCCCCGTAAAAGATGGAAAGCTTTCTTTACTTAACCCCACAGTCCTCATTCCACTGCTTGCTGTTCTTGCTACTGGAGATGCTGCATCTGGAATTATTGATCCCAGCCTACCTCAATTCCTTTCTGTGGCTACCATTGCATCTCTTGGTGTTGGAGCTACATTGAATACGCTGGTTTTCCCTCAGTTGAATCAGGTGGGCTAGATTCTTCTGTTTTCTTCAAACAATTTTTCTTTGGCATTTCGTTTTATGTTAAATTCTCACTTTAGGATTACAAGCACTTGTTTAAGATTTTCCATCTAGCTCCCAATCTCCTTGTTTAAGACTGCCATCTATTGGCAGAATTTGTTTCATTCTCCATGTCTTCAATTCTCTGTATCTGGAAGAGAAGATTGGATATTGATCTAATATATTGTTGATCAACAAGAACGAACGATTCTATCCCTCCTTTTTCTTCAGATTCAGTTTAAACTTGGGGGCAATCTGTGACTTCTCCCAAAACCTATGCTCCTCAAACTAGTTTGTTGATACATCTGGTCCCTAAATCAGCTCCAAATTCTCAGTTTTACAGAATTGGTAGAACACTCTATCTAGTCAACTTATTTAGGTTGCTGCATTTATGGACCTTCCGGCTCACTGCTAATATTAGTTGGTCAAAATAATTTCACATTGTGCAATATGGGTGGTTTTATTTACTTCTATGATCTGTTTGTTTAACTACATATATAGAGATGGTTCAGGATTCTTCCCAAGAGGACACAACATGAATGGTCATTCTTTGATTGTTTCAGCTTCCTCAGAGATCAGTGGATGCATTTGCTATCAAGCAGCAGCTATTATCTCAATATGATGTACTTCAGTCTCGCATCAAGGACCTAAAAGAAGCTGCCGAAAAAGAGGTACGCTCCCACATGTTGTGATTTCAGTATTTTCATAGTTCTATTGTTAGCTCTTTTGAGCTGTGCCATGTGAGATGTGGAAGATAATTTTGTATTTCGATAACTGAAGTACCCCATTGTTCTGTTTGAAACCCAAGCTCGGAAAAAAATTGTTGGACACACTTACCTGTAACAGGGCCCCTTCGAATCTAATTTGAAGTTCTACAAATAGTCTAAGGTTGACCAATTCTAACAAACAAGGAAGCAAGTTCACCTTTTTTTTAAGCCATTATTTAGTACACTAAAAAATGATACTTAAAATTCTTTGTAAAATAAATTTGTTGAACATATAGGTTTGGATGTTGGCTCGGATGTGTCAGCTGGAGAACAAAATCTTTGCTGTTGGAGAACCTTCCTATCGGTAGAACCCTCTTGATGTTACTAGTAATTTCTAAGTGCATACTATTTTGCTTACAGTGTAAATGTGTTTAGTTTCCTCTTCAACTTGACTAATGTGAAAGATCTGTATCTTTCTTTTCAGGACTCGGAGAACGAGGGTAAAAAGGGTACGAGAAAGCTTAGAAAATTCCCTCAAGGGACGGATAGAACTAATTGATAGCTATGCAAGAGTATGTGATCTGCACGAGTAAAAAACCATTCATCTGCTACCTAGACCTCCACCCTCACCCCCTTCTTTTTTGTGCTTTTCTCAAATTGGATTGCTAATTCATGCTAAAAATTCAATTTTCAGATTTCTTCAATGATTGAAATTGAGGTGGAAATGGACTCAGATGTTCTTGCTGCTGAATCAGTGAGCAATGCGGTAGGTGATACTTGTTTATGTACCCTTTCCTTATCCCTGGTCTCTTAATTATATAAGGTTACTTGATGTAGCAGTTCTGTTTTTGCAGGAAAGCATTGCGGAGCAGATAGAACAAATAATGGAACTAGAAAACCTTGAAGAGGTACATTTAATCTTTTCTTCTTCTGAATCTTCTGACACAGTTTGTGTAATTATGTAAATTAGTATATTTGAATTTTCTCTACATTGTTTTGAGTTGTTTTCCTCTGCAAAATTCTTTTCACTTGGAGTTTCTTTCTACTTTCTTTGCATCCTGCATTTCACAAGGGACATACAGTGACTCGTTACCTTTTCATTTTTATTTAACGCAGAGATGGAGGCTACAAGCTGAAGCAAATGATGAGGCTGAGAGACTTCTCAGTTACCAGCCAATATCTTCAGAGAGTGTCTAGACATTTTTACTGGATATCAGCTTGCATTAACCAGTTTCAAGTCTGCAAGTTTTGCAGTGTTATGGATCTCATGTTTCTGCTCCAGAAAACCTTTCATCAGCTGAATATCTTTGAAAGCTGGCAACAGTTCCTGTTATGTGGAATGAAATCTATGCACATCTGGAAATGGACTATCAGAAGGTAGGTGTTTAGATGTGCTACAGCTTGAAACTACTCCAGCAAGTCATTCGAGTGGCTCGAGGTATTAGGTGATTTTATGTTTAATAGGTTAATATTACTCATTCTCTCTCTTTTTGAAAATCATGATAATTGATAACCTTTGCCTGTTCGTATAGTGTGAGCAGGAAAAATGTTTGTACAAATAGAGGATCGCTCCACTACTTTCCTATTTCTGGTATATTGTACATGAGAAATTCTGATTATTTCTGCAGAAAGAAGCAGGAACCAATCCACATTTGCCTAAGAGCAATTCTGGACAACTTAACCAAGATTAAACAAAGAATAAACTCAAAAACTGTGCCCATCTCTCTCGTCCTTGGCTTCAGCCACTCTTTTCTCTTTTGGTAGCACACACATATTTTGGTCTTCTCAATACTCATATCCTAATAGACTTGTAATTGGATTGCCCTTATTAAGTCATTACCGACCATTTGGTAATAGGAATTTAAAAATAGATGGCACTCTGGCTTCATTCACGGTGACTCAACCATTTGCATTCTTAGTCAATCAACTACTTAAGCAGCACACCTAATTAGCTTTGCTGTTGGTCCAAGTAACATTAATATATTAGCTTTGCTTGTCTTCGTTTGTTCTGACTTCTTTCCTTCACATCTCTTTGTATATGGTAAAAGGCTTCAGCTTCATCTTTTATTAGTTTGGTTCAGCTTTATCAGCCTTAGCTTCTTTTGCATGAAAAGTATAGTGATTATTTTAGAATTGAAAAGGCTGGATGGTAGTGGGAAAGCTTAGTGTAGCAACATGCAATCTAGAGTCTTCGATTATTATGTAATTTCTTTTTTCTTTCACATCCATGAGGTGCATTAAATAGTCTCTCTAAATTGAGTGGACTAGGAAGATTCAAAGATTTGGGTCTTAATGTCCTTTCTAATTGACTCCATTTTAGGCAAATTTTACCTGTAACGTAAGGGTTTCGAAATATAACATTATTGCTGCAGGGAGGATTCCGACTCGAGCTTAAAGACCTGTACCGAAAAAAGAAAATTTCGGAAGTTTAATCTGATAATCAACTTCTCTTCTTTGATCTGATTTTGTGATCACCATTAGCCTAAATCCGATTAATATGGAGTTGGTAAAACAAATTATATTGTTAACCTTTTTAATTATTTTGATTAGCCAAGAGAAATCACTGTAGGGTGTCATAATCAAGGTTACCAGAGGCATTATCTAGGCTGATGTGGAATTTGGAAATTGCTTTGGCGGTTTGGTAGTTACGTGCACAGCAGTTCCACATAAAAGATGTCACAGATAAGGTCGTTTTGATCATAGACACGTATGGAAAAAAATAGTGAAATTATTCTTAAAGATAAAGTGGATTATAGAATAGAATCCATGCTTTGCTTTTTATTCAAAATACATTATTAAATTAAATAATTTTCTACATATATTATTTTCACATTTCTTCTGATTGATAAAAGATACTTTGGAGTTGGAATATTATTTCAATTTTATTTTGCCTTTTCGGTTTATCAAAAAGGAGACAATTATATCACTGCTTCAAGATTTTATAAAATGATAGATCAATCATTTTTATTTTTGATACAGCAATCATTTTTTTATATTCATAAAGGGATAAACATGAACTCATTGGATTGGTGTTTTTTTTTTAAAGTCAAATTTTGGATAAGAAAAAAAAAATTTTAATATATATTTGTAGGACTTGAATTGTTACAACTACTACCCAAACCCAACTGCTCGAAAAAAAAGACTAGTGGTATAAAAAAGTTGGCTTCAACAAAAGCCATTGGATCAGTTGCCTTTGGTTATTTTTATCCGAAACTTCTTTTTCATCGATAGTTTTTACTAATTTGGTTATTTTTATCCGTTGAATTTTTAACTGAGTAAAAAAAAATTTTAATAATTTTGTAATTATAAATCAGGATTTTGTAATTAGAGGTTAGAAATTGAATTGTAAAAAAAAATATAAATGGTAAATAAATGAAAATATTTGTTGTAATATTTAAAAAAGTTTTGTAATTTATTAATAATAAATAATTAAATACATGACAATAAATTACATTTATAAGATTAGAAGTTTAAAATTAGCTAAACTCGGAAAGCAATCTCATATTGTCAAATATGGATTACATAACATTTTTAAATCTCCATAAATGGTCAGGATCTTCATCGAAATTTCTGGATTCAACGATGACAGCATTCCAAGTGCATATAACTCGAACCAAAAATAGAATATAAAAATAAAAATAAAATAAAATAAAATAAAACAAAACAGACAATCAGCGAAAGGCTAACTTAGTCAAATCAGAAAAAATAAAAAAGGAAAAAGAAAAAGCATCCCATCACAACGGAGAGAATCAAAAACTTGAGCCATGAGCTCGGGACTTTCTCTCTGTGCAGAGCCGGTTCTCGAACTCGAAGATATGGAAAATGAAACAGACAAACTCTCATACCACGTGGCGGCTCCTCTTCTCTCTCTCCCTTTATTTTCTTTTTCTTTTTTTATTTTCATTTTTTTTAAAAAAGTTTATTTCCACTTTTCGTTTCCTTCCTTTTCTTAAATTCTCCCCTCTTACCATAAATAACTCACCGCGTTGCAGGCTTATATAGTCCGTGATTTTCTATTTCTCCAGAACAAACCAAACTTCTATTCCTCTCTATTAGCTCTCTCTCTCTCTGTCTCTCTCTATCTATCTGATTGTTTTCGTGCTGTTAATCATGGCTATGAATATTCTGGTCACCGGTGGTGCCGGTTACATTGGGAGTCACACGGTCCTTCAACTTTTGTTAGGCGGCTACTCAGCCGTCGTCGTTGATAATCTCGATAATTCCTCCGAGATTGCTCTCAATAGAGTCAAGGAACTCGCCGGCGAACACGGCAAGAACCTTTCGTTTCACCAGGTTTCGAATTTCTCTTTCTCTTTATAAAATTCAGTTCGGTTTCGTTTAATTATATTTTATTTTACCGTTTTGGTTATATCGAGGTTGCTGTTGTGATTGGAAAACTTTAATCAGTTAATTAAATAATTACGCGCTTTTTAAGATCACGACCTTCTAAATTACTGATAGAGATATGAGTTTATATCTTGATATAGGCTTGCTAATTGTATCACATTAGTTTCTGTTTCACCGTCAATTTTCTGTCGGCAGCTTATAATGAGAATGAAAGCATGTTTCTGTATGATTGGTTGCATGTGAGCTTTAATATTCTAAATTTCTGCTTTTACTTGCCAGGTTGACCTCCGGGACAAGCCAGCTCTCGAAAAAATTTTCTCTCACACAAAGTATGATGATGTTTCCGATTTATATTCGATTAAATTAACATTTCCCATGACGCTGGTTGCACTCTGGGATCTATCTGTCTTTTTTATTTGATTCACTGTTTTAAAATTATTTATGGCACGCGGCTTATGAACGGAGCCTATCTGTATATATCTTTTTTTTTTTTTTTTTTTCAATTACTCTCTCTGTCTCTCGCGTTATATATATATATAATATATAATTATACACTATTATATGATAATATATAATCTATGATAGTATGAAAGATATGATATGAAGATTATGAATATAATATATATATGTGCTTCTCTTCCTCACTTTATAATTTTGGCTGCTTTATCTTTTTCTTCCCTTTTTACCCTGTAGATTTGATGCTGTCATACACTTTGCTGGGCTAAAAGCAGTTGGTGAGAGTGTGGAGAAACCATTGCTCTATTTTGACAACAATCTTATTGGAACAATTACATTGCTGGAAGTAATGGCAGCCCATGGATGCAAGAAGGTACTTTCTCTAGATTGTTTTACGCAAGACAGCTTTCTTTAGCTGGGAAGAACAGATGGTAACTAATCTGGCAGTTTTGATTTACTTTCAGCTTGTATTTTCATCGTCAGCTACTGTTTATGGCTGGCCAAAGGAGGTTCCATGTACAGAAGAGTTCCCCTTGTGTGCTATGAACCCATATGGAAGAACCAAGGTATCTGTTTTACAACCAATAGGTGCATGCTAGTGCTCACTGTAGAGGATTAGTAGCTGCATTTGTATGGAAAATAAAGAGAACTGATGATTATGATCTTTCAGCTTTTCATTGAAGAGATCTGTCGTGATATCTACAAGTCAGATTCTGAGTGGAAGATCATACTGCTAAGGTACTTCAATCCAGTTGGTGCACATCCTAGTGGCCATATTGGTGAGGATCCCCGTGGAATCCCAAACAATCTCATGCCCTATGTGCAGCAGGTTGCTGTTGGCAGGCGTCCTCATTTGACAGTCTTTGGAAATGATTACTCTACCAAGGATGGTACTGGGGTATGCTTTCACTGCTAGTATGATTGCCTTGTGAATTTATATATGAAGTCCATGGATCTGGAGTTATATGTGGGGGTGGCAGCAATGCTTGTACATGTTTTTTAATATCTATTCATCTTGATGATTTTGTTCTTTCAGGTACGTGACTACATCCATGTTATTGACTTGGCGGATGGTCACATTGCTGCATTGCGTAAGCTCTCTGATGCTAAAATAGGTATGCACTTTAATCACAATTGTTATTCTATTTTTTCATGGTTTTTCTTAATTTGCTTCTTAATTATCATATTGAATGGATGGTTGTTTTGTTGATGGTTGCATTATGTTGATTTTTGATAACCTGTTCTGTTATTAAAAATACTGCTTAGATGCTATAGAAGGGTCAGCTATTATGAGGTGTTTGAGAATCCTAAGGGGCCAGGCATGATATTTAATTAGATAATTTTGATTAACTCAACACTATTTTCATATTGGTAAATCGCGAGCCTGCTTAGATAGATTTTATTTGATGACTGGTAGTCTAATGACTGAAATTACCTGTGAGAATGTTTATGAAGGTCGTCTGCCTGTGCTACCAGTTTGTAGTTGTAATTCCATGGATTGCAACTGCAATTCCCAAGTTTTCAGTGTTCCTGGATAAAATTTGGGATCATGATTCATGAGTCAGATCCTAATAACCTACCTACTTCCTTTGCAAAAACATGAGTTTCTTGATTAAATTAGCTTGCAGGATCAGATTTGGAAATTTTTTTGCAGTAGGTATCAATCTTTTGTCTTGACATTTCTGTTATACAAGTATTTTGATGCTCAGTACCAGTACATGAATGTGTTTCACAGGTTGTGAGGTGTACAACTTGGGAACAGGAAAAGGCACATCTGTTTTGGAGATGGTTACAGCATTCGAAAAAGCATCTGGAAAGGTACTTTTTAAATTTTGCATAGTTTGAGCGATGCTGTTGAGAATGTGTTCTCTCGTAATATATTTATTTGCTTCAACTACTTTAGTACATTAAGATGTTTTGCGGAAGGGGAACTTGTTTTGAAACAAATTAGCTTGATGCTTGGTAAGTTGGTGTTTTTTCTGTCAATGCTAAAATCTCATTTCTAAAGCACAATTTTTAATTAGCACTCTCATTGAGTTGGAGAACTAGATTTTGGCTTTCAGAGCTTGTAATCATGGGTATAAGTGATCTGATTTGCAATTTCCATCAGATACATGATGGACAGAGAAGCGGCATCAGTAGCTTGTATCACGTCTTTTTCCACTCACTTGGCCAGATTTCTGATTACACATTTTTCAAAATTTAAGATATTTATATGATGATGAATTTGGGCCTTATTAAAAGAAAATTTTGCCTGTATTCATTTTTCCTTTTTTCCTTCCGTGTTAATGCTTTTGTCGTGGTACTTCTTCTATTAACACTTTTACTTCGACTCTGACAGAAAATTCCCCTTGTAATGGCTGGAAGACGTCCTGGTGATGCTGAAATTGTCTATGCATCAACGGACAAGGCAGAACGTGAATTGAATTGGAAGTAAGTGTGAAGATGCATGCATTTCTTTGCTTATAATCTAATAAGTACCAGTGGGGATAAAGTGGAACATGGGTAAACAATACTGAATCGACGAGTGATTAGCTAATTATTTTATAGATTGTAAAATGTTGGTTGGGCTCTGATTTCATCATGTGCACTCTACTTTCTTCTAACAGATGTAGTTTCGGTGCAGGGCAAAATATGGGATTGATGAAATGTGCAGGGATCAATGGAACTGGGCTAGTAAGAATCCTTATGGATATGGATCTCCTGAGAATTCCAAGTGAAATATTTAAACCTTAGTTATATTTTTTGGCACTCATATTCTCATGCTCTTAGGTGTAAAGGGATTAGGTATTCCTAAAGTTTGATGATAGATATAAACATTGTGGTGTTGTCATCCACAAATAAGTTGCCTACTCGTAAATGTCCGATTAGGTGTCCCTCGTACCGACCACTGTTTTGGTGTCTGTGGAGGGCTAAATTCTTTAACGTTAATATAGTCTTTTTTTTCAATTGAGTAAATATCTTTAATTTCTCATTTGTGCAAAGCCATTTGACTGTGTTCCTTTGTCTTTTTAATATTGTGGGATTTATATGATATATTTAGTCTTTTTCTCTTTCATTGTTAATCTAAACGGCAGGACAAAGCTAGCCCTATGTCACTGGAGCAACTATCATTTTACGTGGCTTTTAGTGTTTTGACTTTATTTATAATGTTCGGTGGTATTGAATGTTTATTAACAGACAGCTAACAGCTATTAACGCTATTAACTAATTTGCCCGACTCCCAGTCTCAGCTATCAGTTCAACCAAACATGCTTGAAGTGCAAATGTCTAATAAGTTTTTCTTTTTTTTTTTTTAATTAAAAATCTAATAGTAATTTTAAAATGTAATCAATATCACATTTGAATGCTAATCACAGAACTTAGTAAGGGGCGAGAGGGGATTTTGAATGGAATGTTGACTCGAATGACCCATCCACCTCAGCAAACCACTAGATTTTTTAATGTAATCATCAGCACCGTAGAACTACAGTCCAATAAAGTTCATAAGGCATTCTCCTTTGGGAATTCGCCTAACATCAGGTTGTGCAATTTGTGCCGTTAGGTAAACGTTTGGAAATCTCTAATTTGAAATGATAGTGGACCCCATTTTATACTAATAAAATAAGGGATGATTCAAATTTTTTAGACACCACCCGTTTGACTGTCTCAAATCATTTTCTCGTGCATTTCAATCCAGTACTTTTTAATTTTTGTGGCTTCTACAACGTAAGTAAGTGGTAAATAATCTTAATTTTCACAGGAGTAAAAAATAGATTTAATCTCTAAAATCACTTTTATTATGACGATAATAATTTGTACATTTTGCTGTGGTTTTGCACAAAGATTTAAAAAAAAGAATGTAAAATTTTTTCTCATTTGTTCTTATTTATTCTCAATATGTTAATAAATGAGTTTGTCACTATATAGCAATGTAAAATGAATTTATATTCCAAAAAAAATGATAAAATGAATTTTATACTTATAAATAGAATCCATTTTAAATAAATTTCATTATGTAAATGTAAAAGAAAGGCGCAAAATAGAAATTGTACCAGAAGGAGGATGTAATTGGTAATTCGGCATGTAATATAAAAACAGCAAAATGAGAAATGACCTGACAACGAAAATCTCGCGAGTTAAGATTCTCCTCTTTCTCCTGACTCTCGCGACGGTATCTGCTTCTAAATTCCCGAGCCGGCCTTTTCCCCTCGTCCCATTTATTAAGCTTCTCCGTCCTTCCAAAAATCAAAACGCTACTAAATTCTAAACCCTGTTAAAAACGCGCTTCTCTTACTAATTCTAAATCATTTGCCATCTCTTCTTCGAAGCTCATTTTCTTCTTCGTTATCTCTATAGTCGGCAATTCCTTCTCGCAGATCCATTTCTGTTCTCAACGGTGCCGTTGCCCGGCCAAGTTGTTAGATCCAGTTTATCTGTATCTGACATCTGCGGTTACCGACACCGATCTCCGTCTTTGTTTATTATTTTCTGTCTTTTTGAGATATGGAGAATTTGATTTCTCTGGTTAATAAAATACAGAGAGCTTGTACGGCTCTCGGTGATCATGGTGAAGCAAGCGCATTGCCTACTCTCTGGGACTCCTTGCCTGCTATTGCGGTCGTCGGTGGCCAGGTCAACCTCAGATCTCTTTCCATTTCAGATTGTTTTTTGTTGATTTTATTTTAAAGCATTGTTATGAGCTTAAGCTTGTTGTTCAAGCTATAAGTGTCGCTATGGGATCCAATCCTGTTGCTCCATTTATGATTGACTTATATGTTCTAGTCTTTGATTTCCGTTTACTTCTCATTCAGAAATTAGTCTGAACTTAATGCAGTTTCGATGACCTCCAAGTCAAGCGAGCATGAATCAGCTTTGACTAAAGCTGATTATTAGATAACTAATAGTTTAAATAAGGTTTAACAAGCTTGTACTGATTTGATTGTAAGCTTAATGTTTTGATGAGTTTGGAGGTTTAGCACTTCAATCCAGAGTTCTAATATTATATATAGATTCATTTAGCTACCTATTAGGCAAAAATAAGCTTGCCAAGGACCGTGCCTAGTAAATTGTTGTGTATGTTCATGTTTTTTAATTTCCTTACAGAGTTCAGGAAAGTCTTCAGTGTTGGAGAGCGTTGTTGGGAAGGACTTTTTACCTCGTGGATCTGGTATTAACAATGGATACTCTTGGCAATATTGGTTTGTGTAATTTTTTTTTTCCTGTGATTAAGATATCTTGTTTTTAAAATATGTTCGCAGGAATTGTTACACGACGGCCTCTTGTGTTGCAGCTTCACAAGAGTGATGAAGGTAGCAGAGAATATGCAGAGTTCCTTCACCTCCCAAGGAAAAGGTTCACCGATTTTGGTACATTCCTTTTACTACTACTACTTTTTTTTTCACTGCCTAATTATTGCTATGTAATGATAATATGCACCACTTTATATTATAATTCATCATTTCATCAGAAAGATTTTGCAAGTGGACTTGTTCTCATCTGACAATATTTTCTGCTTGTTACATCGTATACGTTTTGCATTTATTAACTGGTGCTCTACTATAGCTGCAGATGTTGTTATTTGTTCTATTTATTAATGTTAATTTTGTATGTTTAGCTGCTGTGCGGAAAGAGATTCAGGATGAGACTGATCGAGAGACTGGGCGCACAAAACAAATCTCTAGTGTTCCAATTCATTTGAGTATATACTCTCCCAATGGTAAGCTTGGACATCTAAAAGGACATTTTAGAAATTAATTCTTTTATGCTTACTGGTGTTTGAATATAATAAAATATTTTGTTTCCTTTTTCATTTTATGACATGTTTTGACAGTTGTCAACTTGACGTTGATTGATCTTCCTGGTCTCACTAAAGTCGCTGTTGGTAAGTCACGTATTTCTTTTTGGTCTTGACTTACTGTATTAGTGGTTGCTGAAAAGCTTATAAGAAGAATGAAGCACTCAAGACTACTCTTAATCAGTTCAACCTAAGTGATCCGTTAATTCATTTATGTTATTTTTGTTGATATACTGTTCTATGAATCAATTGCTTAAGATGTATACCTCAAAATTATCATCTTCTCTTTTTCATGGTTTTATAGCATCACTTAGATGAGCCGGTTCTCTGTTATTTCTGAATCTGTGTGTATTGTGCGATGCAGAGGGTCAACCGGACAGTATCGTGCAGGATATTGAAAATATGGTTCGCTCCTACATCGAGAAGGTAATATACATCTCGAGTTGTGTAATTTAGAAAGGAAGAAAAAATTTCCAATGGAAATAAATGTGTTTGAATCCTTTTTTCTTGTTTTCTTTGGAGAGGTAAGTTGTTCTTTAAAAATTGAATAATCGTGATTTATTATTTATGTTTTATTATTGTTCAAGTCAATAGCTATATTCTTTTGCATTCTAATCAAGGCTCTAAAATAGTTTATCAAGGACGGAATTTTTACAATACCATCTTGCTCTATTGATCAAATTTTTTGTGCAGCCCAACTGTATAATTCTTGCAATTTCACCCGCCAATCAAGATCTTGCAACATCTGATGCAATTAAAATCTCTCGTGAGGTGGACCCTACAGGTAACCTTGTGAAAATTTAGTACATCAAGATGCTAAAGGCTTGTCTTCCTGTTTATACCTAAGATTTATGTTTTCTCGAATTTGCAAGTATATTGATAAAAATTTTCTTCATTTAGTTTTTCAATTTTGGGCAATGAGCATATATGATGCCTGTGATGTTATATTTTTCAGGAGAGAGAACTCTTGGTGTCTTGACAAAGATTGATCTTATGGATAAGGGTACTGATGCAGTTGATGTAAGTTTACTTAGTTTCTATTGCTAGTATAATATCTATTAAGTTGCTAATGCTTCATTGTTGGTTTATAGAGTGTCTTTCTTCAATCATGTTAGAAAAGGTAATGGAGTGTGTTCTTGCTTGATAATGGTGAAGAAGGGATACATAACCATATAAGTATATGCAACTTGACATTTTTAACTACTATATGCATATGCTTAAACCACTGTGATTACATGGTCTTTATGTGCTATTTGAATAACATGTAAATTGGAGAGACTCAAAAAGATGTAAAATAATTGGTGATGCAACTTAACCAAATAAAATCTCAGATTCAAATTAACTTTGACCAAAAACGACATGATTCAGTTCTATTAAATTTTTTAAGCATCGTGAGCTCGTTTGTGATCAGACGAGCTCCATACAGCAAATGCGCTATGGTTTGCTAACTGAAAAACACTTGCAGATTGCCATTAAAATCTTTTTCCGATGCATGCATCATTTACTTACATGTTTACTGATTGCTGTGTTGTGCATGCTTTAGAGGTTTAATTGTTTTACTTCTCAAAGCGTTGTTCCTTTTGTATTATCATGTTCTAAGTCACATTTTGTCTTGCTTAGATACTGGAAGGAAAAGCTTATCGGCTAAAGTTTCCTTGGGTTGGTGTTGTGAATCGCTCACAAGCTGATATTAACAAGAATGTTGACATGATTGCTGCCAGGCGTAGAGAGCGCGAGTATTTTGCAAATTCCCCAGAGTATAAGCACCTTGCTCATAGAATGGGTTCTGAGCATCTAGCAAAGATGCTATCAAAGGTGGGCTGATGAGTACTTTTTTTAGTTGTGACTGGAATTTGTCTTTCTTGTGTGTTCCTCATTATGAGAACTAATTAAATGGTTGATATCTCAGCATCTGGAAACTGTAATCAAATCCAGAATTCCAGGCATCCAGTCCCTTATCAACAAAACAATTATTGAACTGGAATCTGAATTGAGTCGTCTAGGAAAGCCTATTGCTGCTGATGCTGGGGTAAGTATACTCTTTCTGCTCAGTTTTGGCATATTTCTCAATTAGTAGCTATTTTTGAGGTTAACCAGCCAAAGCTCTCTCTCTCTCTCTCTCCATTTCTGAAAGAATTTCTAAAGATCATGCCATACGACTTGCAGGGAAAGTTGTACACAATCATGGAGATATGTCGTCTTTTTGATCAAATATACAAAGAGCATCTTGATGGAGTGTATGTATTGTGTTTTCATTTTTCTTCCTCAATCACAAGTGATAGGCTTAATTTTGTATTGCTGTTCTTCTTTTTTTTTTTTTTTTTTTTTTTTGAAACAATTTCATATAAGTACTCCCGTTGTTATTGACAGGCGACCTGGTGGTGAAAAAATCTACAATGTTTTTGATAACCAACTTCCTGCTGCTCTAAAAAGGTTGCAGTTTGACAAGCAACTTTCAATGGAAAATATTCGGAAACTGATTGCTGAAGCTGATGGATATCAACCTCATTTGATAGCTCCTGAACAAGGATACCGTCGTCTCATTGAATCTTCTTTAATTACCATTAGAGGTCCTGCTGAGGCAGCTGTTGATGCGGTATGCATGAATATTATAAACAATTGAATTCTCTACTCAACATCCATGATTATGCACTTGATAACCGTTTAGTGATCTATCATGAGCACTAATATTATTCTTTCTGCTACATCTTTGCCTCTATTTGAGTTGGTCTCAAATATTTGCACTTGCTACTAGATAAGTGTCAGACTGCACTCTAGGACTTTATTTTGGCCTTCTGAATTTTTCACAGTGAAGATGGTATACATATGTATTTTTTGGGAAAAGTTTAACTGCCTGCTTAACAACTTTTATTTGAGGTAGAAAACTCAAGTATGACCTTGTAAAACTATATTAACTGATTTTCTGTACATGCAATTTGCAATTTCTGAATTCTACAGCACCACAGGGCTTATACTTGTTTGTTTGGTGTCAAATCCAGGTTCATGCTTTATTAAAAGAGTTAGTTCACAAGGCTATCAGTGAGACTCCGGTATGTTCCTGTCAACACTAATGGCTCTTTGTTATGTCCTTGCACTAAGTTCTCTGTTCAGAAATTTCTGTTTCACTAGTTATTTAGTATTGAATATGTTGGTGGCATTTGCAGACAATTGTACAGTTGTGCAGCATGGTTTAATAACAACTTAATCTTATAAAAAGCTTTTCTTCTTTGTGGCAGCAGCAAATAGACTCTGATGTGTAGGAAGTTGGATTGTCTTTAATTAGCATCTAACATCGGGGATGTTGAGATTTGGCATTGGCTTTTAAGAAACAGTAGCGAATAGTTTGATATCACTCTATCATAACAGTGCTGAAAAGGTCCTAAAAAAAAACAGAAGGAAAAGACAAAGGCAGAGGCAATTTGACTTCTCAACTGTCTCAAAACTTTAAAACTTCAATACATAGCCATTGATAAATAAAATATCAAACAATCTGTTTGGTAAAACTCCATTTGAAAGTCAGAGCAAGGTCTGGATCCTAGTTTTAGCATTATTTGCAACACGTACTACACTTGCTCTCATCAGATTTGTGCTGGCACATGTGAATTAATATGGCTGAAATCATGCCTACTTGAATAAAGATTGAACAAGCTTGGAATTTCTTTTTATTGTTTTCAAACTGCTGGATAAACATTGGTTTTCTTGATTCTCAGGAGTTGAAGCAATATCCTGCTCTCAGGGTAGAGGTTGGAAATGCTGCTATTGAGTCACTTGACAAAATGAAAGAGGAAAGCAGGAAAGCGACACTTAAGCTTGTTGATATGGAGTGTAGTTACCTGACAGTTGATTTCTTCAGGAAGCTTCCCCAAGATGTTGACAAGGGTGGCAATCCCACACATTCGATATTTGATAGATACAATGATTCGTATCTTAGACGAATTGGTAAGTTTGAAGTTGGGATTTTACATAGATTGTCTTCACTGAACTTCGCATATATATCTTTCTGATAGCAGAAATTTTTGAATGATACTGCACACATGCTGACATTATGAGTTCTTACAATGTATGAACAGGAACAACTGTTTTGTCTTATGTCAACATGGTTTGTGCAACCCTTCGTAACTCCATCCCTAAGTCCATTGTTTATTGTCAAGTGCGTGAGGCCAAGCGAAGCCTGCTTGATCATTTCTTTACAGAGTTGGGTAAAATGGAGGTGAGAAGTGGATTCTTCTTTTTACTTCTGTTTATAAATTACTGGTGAAATATCAGGTATGCAACATTAATGCTGGATGCAACTCACCTGTAAGATAACTTTTGCAGCAAAAATACTTATCTTCATTGTTGAATGAAGATCCAGCAGTCATGGAGCGCCGCGCAGCCCTTGCAAAGAGACTGGAGTTATATAGGAGTGCTCAAGCAGAGATCGATACTGTTGCTTGGTCCAAGTAGATACTCAGCAGTTAAACCCTATCTCTTATGTGGAATTTGGCTTTGGTGGCTGTGTCAATTCTTTCATTTAATTGGTGTATTTGGAAAGAAGGGAAGCAGTATCTTGTTGCATTTTCTATGCTATGAATTAACTGAGGGGTTATTAGATATACATGTCATTAGGCTGTCTCATTTGTTTCCTTTGCAGTTCCACATACACATATATATGTAATGGATATAAATTTCCAATTTCCCATGCTTTGCTATGTGCATGGTGGTTGATGTAATATTCGAGACTTGTATACAAAGCCTGTGCACATTGGCGGTTTTGGAGGAGGTTATGAACAAAAAGAAAATTTTTTCCTTGTTATATAAGAGGGAAACTCTTCCGTCATTCAAAAACCTTTACTTGTTATTGTCGTCTTTTTTTTTTCTTTCACCCACAAAATTCTAAAACCATTGCCTATATTTGCTACTTGTCGTGGTTTTTAAGCATTTATTATCATGTTCTCTATTAATTTTCTTTTATGGGATGTTTATGGAAATTGATGGCATCCACAAAACCGGACTTCCAGCCTATTTTAAAATTTAAACCCCTTTCATTTCTCAAAAAAAAAAAAAAAGTTTTAAACCCCTCTCTCCGTGAAGTAAAATCTCTACAAATTGATTATTTTTAGTGCAACAGAACTTACTAAAAGTATGCGACGTTAAAGTAGAATCTACCATGGAATCTCTTGAACCGTTTTTAAGCTCAGAAGCCCAATCCAATACGTAACGACGACGTTCAAATACAGAACATTCTTACTTAGACGGCGCGTCAACGTCATTCTTTTCAAAGCCAAGGTTTCGGTTGCTTTTATGAAAGGAAACTGAACCGCGGGCCTTCCCAGATGGAAAAATTTCACCGTATAAGAGCTTCTCTTCCTCCTGATGTTACGGTTTAACGCACCCTATTAATAAAGTTATTAACAATCTTCCGTTACCGACAGTGCAGACAAACAGAGAAGGGACGAGAGAAAAAGAAGGAAGGTGAAAAAAAATTAAAAAAGAAGCGAGGATCGTCATCGGATCTGTTCTTCCACCTCAATTATCAAGGTAATTTTCTCCTGCAATTGATCTCAATCAATCTCACATTACATTTTTTTTACTTTTTCTGGGAGCCTTACTTCTCCTTTTTGAATGTCTCGTCTCTTCTCTGAATCTGATACTATCGTCTATCATTGTTTCTCGCACCATTGGTTTTTAAATTGAAGAAATCTCCATCACCAGGTGAAACATAAAGCTTGTTTATTGAATTATAACAGGAAAGGGACATTTGATTTATGACATGAAGGATATTGGAGACTATAGTGAGCCGTGCACGGAAGTCCTCATTGCAGTTTATTTTATGGTTATTTATTTATTTATGGTTATAAAATAGACATTTCAAACTTCCTGTTTATTCTATGGTTATTTATTTATAATACTTATTTTGTTTGATCAATCTTGTTATCTATCTGCACTATATTATTACAAAGTGCAACAAGACAATGTTGAATTGTAAAATTGGCTCCTGGATTTTTTTTTTTTTTTTAAATGTGAAAGTATTCACGGATCTGTCTTCTATTCAGGCTGATATGCAATATTATATTTCTTTTTTATGGGAAAATTAGAAATTTGAAATGTGTCCTTGGTTTAAATGTTTGTTTTTGTGTCTTGTAAATTTGAATATACCTTAAAAAGTGGAACTTTTAGGGTTATGTAGAACTTGTAGAAAGATGCAGTTTGAAATAAAATGACAGGTTTATACATGTAATTTATGTCAATGTGTTGGCCATTCAAAATTTCAATGGAATTCCCCTGATGTGAGTAGTTGTACTTGTGAACTTTATTTGTATGGCGATTCTCATTAGCAATTCAGTATAGCTCCATTAACATGCCAAAAGAATATTTCTGTCTTTGTATTAATATTATATTTCATGAAAATATCCTTTGGTTGGATAAATTGATTAGATCCATCGCAAAATCAACTTTCTTCATTTTGCATTCTAACTTTACGAGCAGCTCATCCCAACATAAACCAGGACAACAGATTCCACATTGTTGGACATATGCTAGCATTTTCCTTCTGTAGATGGTTTATCAAGTAGTTCATCAAATTTGAGACATTTGGTCCTTGCAATCAATGCAGAGTTTGTCCTAGTAAAAACAATCAGATGGATTAAACTTCTTTGCATATGCTGTTGTATTCTGTGAAACTCTGTGAAGTTGTCAACTACTGACCATTCACCTTTTTTTTTGTCTGTGAAATGCAGTGAGATTTCAAGGATATCAAGTAAGAGCAGGAGGAACATATTGTGTAATGGCCTCTGAGAGGGAAGATTTTAGCCTCTCAGGACCTTTACACCTAACTGTGGTTGATTGGTAGGTTCTTACACTTCAAGACACCCTCCTATTTCTGCGAGCAAAGAAAAATAAGAGAAATATTCAATTCAAGGTCCAAATATTGTAGGATGTCTGAAGTTCTTGTACATGTCATTTTCTCACTCAACTCTGTAGTTCAATCATTTATTTGTAGCTAGCTAGACCTTGGCGAAAGAAAATCAATATAAAATGGTCCTTTTTGTTTTAATTATTTTCCAATACTGAAAGAAAATGAACAAAAAAGTCCTGCTATTGTGCAAATTTCTGGCAACATAATGATGCAAATTTTTCATTTTTTTTTTTTTTTTTGCCTTTTGAATTTGAACATCTGATTTTACAGTGCTTTGTGCTATCTCATGCAGGACAGATGCACATCATCGCAGGTCTGTTGCTGCCAGTTTGGTTCAGGGTGTCTACATTCTGGAGCGTGACCGCCAGCTAAAACGTCAGGGTCCAGAAGCACTTGCTAATCCTTGGTGGGAGTTCTTTCATTTCCGGTTGCTACGTAAGCTTGTGGATGATGTTGATTCCTCCATTTTTGGTGCCATTTATGAATTTAAACCTCCAATCTCTTGCTCTAACCATTCATTAGATAAAAGTCCACGTTATGTAATTGCATTCCGAGGCACTGTAACCAAGCCAGATTCCTTCTCACGGGACCTTGAATTGGACATTCATATAATCCGAAATGGACTCCATGAAACATCTCGCTTTGAAATTGGTATCCAAGCAATTAGAAATGTGGTTGCTACTGTAGGTGAATCTAATGTCTGGTTAGCAGGCCATTCCCTGGGGGCAGCAATGGCAATGCTAGCTGGAAAGACAATGGCCAAGACAGGCGTCTTAATTCAAGCCTTTCTCTTTAATTCACCATTCTTATCCGCCCCCATTGAGAGAATCAAAGATAAGCGGGTGAAACATGGGTTACGGATCGCAGGCAGTGTGATAACAGCAGGTCTCGCCTTTGCTGCAACTGTAAAGAAGAACAATCAAAACAGTCGATCTGTTGATCCATTTTCCGCTTTATCTGCCTGGATACCCTCCATTTTTGTGAATCCAGGCGATCACATTTGCTCAGAATATATAGGTTATTTTGAACACAGGAAGAAGATGGATGACATTGGAATTGGAGCTATTGAGAGACTGGCAACCCAGAATTCGATCGGTGGGCTTATTATGGGTGCAATAGGTAAGGAATCAGAGCCTCTGCACCTCATTCCTTCAGCAATTCTGACTACCAATCTAACTCCATCCAGAGATTTCAAGGAAGCCCACGGAATTCACCAGTGGTGGAGACCTGATTTGGATGTGCAGTCCAAACTATACAGGTATCAATAGCTTTGGTGCAATTGATGTAACTTATACCAAGTTATTTATCTAGTATATGTTTGATTGGATGTGGAAAATAGTTTCCTTATGTGATTTTGTACTCTGATTTCTTCTCAGCATAATGTCTAATGCATATTTGTTCCAAGTGCCAATAGTTCTTCAGTGATCTTGCAGATACCGCCTTGTTTTTTCAAATGTGGGCTATTTACTTTGGAATAAATTAGTAATATTTTTAATCTTAGGGAGGAGGATTTATAGGGTCCTAAATCACCATAAATGTGGATGTTGATTTTTACCAGCTTCGGTTTGTTTTTTCATATTTTAAGTCAAAAAAGCAACAGCTCGATTCCCAAGAGAGTGGAACATCCATCATCATCCTTGTGTTTGCACTCTGCAGTCTCCACTGGATGGGCCCCACTTGGCGCCCTGTAAACCTATGAATTCCTGTAAATTTCCCCACTTCCCTCCAAATTCACTGTTTCACTTACCTAAGCTATCTCAGTCGCCAACAGCCCAACACCCCCATAAAACGACATCGTCAACTGCCATCAATATCTATTACCAGCCACAAACAGAATTTTTAACCTCTTTTGTTTTCTTTTTCATAAACGTTAAACAAGCAGCATATTTTAAGCTTCTTTACAGCACATGACTCACTCGCTCTAACTTTATTATGATGATGATGATGATAATTATTATAGTATCAAACCTTTACTTGCAGTGTAATTAATCCCAATAATTATAATTTCAGAATAATTATTTAATTTAAATTTGATATAAAAAATAAGAATTTAGGTAAATAAAATATAAGCCTCATCATTAATGATACTTAAAATTCAATCCCCACCAGCCCAAAATGATAAAAAAATTCAAGCTTGGGAACGAACTGAACTAGGTTAATTACAAAAGCTCAAATATTTGAAAATGCAGATCAAAAGTCTACCGAGAAAATTCAATTTTTACACTTACTTCCACAAATTGGATATGCTTGCTACTTCAACATCCAAAAACCTAAAATGGCTACTCTGATAAGATCTAAAACACAAAAACAAAAAATGAATTACTAGCAATGAAACCCTAATACAGATCCGTCACTCACAGCAATGGCGACTCTGCACCCAGCCTTAGCTTCCACATGATGCGTGAAAATGTGCAGCACCCGAACCCGACCCGCCATATGAATCCTGGATTCAATCTCCATCGTGGGTCCTACTCTGTATCCACCATTAACACTGGGATAACCGCCAGGTAACACACCGCCCGCGAATGTCGGACCCACATTCACCGCCGCATCCGGTGATGAGGACAACGGGAAGGATTGAACAGCAAAAGTTGCGGCCATGTATTGGGTCCGACCGGCATCGATCTTGCCAGCGGGAATGAACATGAAACCAACTTGGGAACCAGAGTAGAGGAGCTGAAGGGTACTGTCATAGTGAGAGAAGGAAGCTTTGTTAGGGTTCTTGACGGAGACGTACTGGGAGAAGGTAAAGTTGACAGTGTTGTTTGAAACGGAGAAAGAAGGTAGCTGAACGGCGTTGACGGAGATTTTGGGATCTTTAGGCTTGAAAACGGTGAAGAAGACTATAAGAATAATGATAATGACAAAGATTAAGAAAATTGTAGCAACTATACAAGAAGCGAGATTTGTACGGCCAGATGGTGGTCTTTGCGGCTTTGCCATTTTTGCTCTGATCTGAAAATTCTAAAGAGAGAAACCAAAGGAAAGATAATTAAGAATCTAAATGGAGATGGAGAGAGAACACAGAAGAAATGGAGAGTGTGTTTGGTGGTAAGATAAGAAAATATAAGGCAAGAGAAAACAGAAGGGAAAGTGAAAGTTGAAGAGAAGTGTGAAATGAAGTCTTCTGTCTTCTTGTAGCAGTTTTTGTTTCCTTGTTAATTTAGAATTTTCTTTTTTCTTGTTTATGTCCTTTGAAGTTTTTATCCTCTGCGGATATTTATACTGTTGCAGAGGTCTAACACTTTTTTCTTTCAATTCCTTTTCTCATTTTCTAGGATCTATACCTACTTTTGAAATTTTTTTTTTGTTCGTGTGTTTCTAAGCTCGGAGTGAGTAATATTTTCAAGAATGGTAAAACTCTCTTAACAGCGTTTCAAACTTGTGATTTTGAAAGTAAAATTCGTACATAAAACATGGATCTTTAAGTGCAAAAGGGTTTCCTGTTAACAGCCGAAAGATGAAGATAGATTGGTCCACTTGAGAATACTTTAAGAGAATTAGGTCTTCAAAGAAAACATTTAATTGGTGAATTGTGATAGGAGGAAGAAATGAACAAACTTTGGAAGACATCAATGGTTGAGAATATATAACTTTGATGAGATCTCTTGATTTATAAATAATAAAACTGCCACTTTTTTGGCTACAATTAGTATTATGTTGGGCAGCATCTTTTGTACTTACAGACAATAAGAAACCAGAAAAAGAACTATATTAGCTTTTTTTCTTTTTTTCTCATATATTTAGGTAAAATTCTCTAATAATAATAATTTCAAGTTTCGAATTCTTAATTTTGTAGGTAAAGTTCATCTGGATTAGCTTTTTAATACATCAAAAACAGTACAAGTTAAACATAATCATAATCCTCAATTTTTACTCCCTCAGTCAAGGGAAAGAATGAAAGATAAGCTTAGATTCCTTCTCTAATGTCTAATTTGGTGTTGTTATTGTCAATATTGCAATAGGAATTATTTTCACTTCTTTCTTCTGTCTCTATGTATGGAAGATGGCGGGAAACTCAAGCAAGAAGGCAACCAAAGTCACCATCAACATAACAGTGAAGTGAATAATTTTGCATATAGTCAGAAAGGAACTGACATATTGGGCAGGGAGTAATTGGTCATTTGACGCTGTTGTTGCAATCACGGCTACAATGGAGGCTGAGCGAGTGGTTACAGCCTGCAACCCTTAAAGTAGCACTAGTTCTGGTCTTTCTAGTGGTGGAAGTGATGCCCCATGTATGACATCTCTAATTAGCAGCAAAGTGAAGGAAGGAGAGTATATAACCCTGAAGAGAAATGAACTAAACCTAGTGATAAATGTTTTAGCTTAACATATGAAAGAGATTTGGACTGTTTGAAGCCTTCTCTTTGTTATCAAACCTGTCTAAAGGACAAGGCATTTTGAGCTTCCCATGTCACTGTCAGTCTGTCACCTTGCTTTTCTTTCTATTATCAAACTTAAATTTGAAAAACTGAAAAGGGATAAAGTTGTTTCTGATCCCAGGTTTCCTTTTGTGTTCCTTTGAGGTGAAGTGGACCCTGGGTTAAAGCTACTATGGAAATCTTAATTTATTTGATATTAATTCAAGAAAATCCAACAAATTTACAAAGATCATGCATAATTCGAGCTCTGCAATGAATGAGAAAGTCATAAAAAGAAATTTACCATTGCTTTCACTCTCCTTGTTTTCCTTTTTTACTTTATTTAAAAAGAAGGATTGGAGAATACAATTTTAGGTAGCATTGAACTCTATATCCTATTCTCAGTTGACCATGAACACTTCTCTCAGACAAAAGTGACAGCAAATGCCATCTCAATTCCCCAGCCATGTCTTTTGAATTTGGGATACACAGATATATATATACACAAAGACCAGAGATTCCTGATATATACAGCAAATGCCATCTCAATTCCCCAGCCATGTCTTTTGGAATTTGGATTCCAGATATATATTATACACATAAGACCAGAGATTCCTGATAATATATATAGTATCATATATATATATATATATATATATAATATATATAGTATATATATATATTCTAGGGAACATATTTATTCATCTGGTCAGTCATGCCCAGTACAACCCCGTACGAACTGGTTGGACATAAGCGCTGGGGACAGGCACGCAAGAAAATTGAAGGTTTCAGGTATAATCTAGGGAAACATATATTATTCATCTGGTCAGCATCCCAGTACAACCCCGAGAACTGGCTGACATAAGCGCTGGGAGACAGCAGAAAGAAAATTGAAGGTTTCAGGCTTATGCATAACAAGATAAGCCATCCATACTCTCATACATCAAACAGTCCATCTAAAAATGGACTCTATTGATACATACAAAATATATACATATAATTATTATACCATATGAAAACTTCTTTCTGAGCTCATCAAGCCAAGGAATCCATGACCTGAGCTAAATTAAGATTGATTTGTGAGTTGATTGAGCCGGGAATCCATGATTTGGGAGACAGTTTCAAGAAACACAGCTTCACTCATGCCAGGGAGCAGGGAATCCTCAGCTTCACGAACAATTTCCTCAATCATGGATTCCTTATTCAGAGTTTCTCTGCACATGATACTTCCAATGGCAAAAGGAGTCAGACCTCTCTCAACCCCTTTCTTCAGAAGCATGGTGGAGATACGGAGTGTGCGGGCAGCCAAACGAGGGATATTCCACCCAAAATATTTCAGAAGTGCAATATCCTTTTCAGCATCCAGTGAATTTATGTACTCAATAGTCTCAGGTGAGTAAGGCTGGCAGGCTTGTGGCCAGTAGAGCCAATCAAATGTGCAATCTTCAAACTGCAAAGGAAATGTTTATAGGTTAAAATCTTCAAAGACTACACTCAATCTTCCAAAGAACAAGGCTTTTTTTCGAATAAGCCAATTCATTAATGGAATTTATCATTGGGTGCATCACCACTATGCCTCAGTATTCCCAAGATGGAGAAAACAGCAAGTGGAATATTGAATCATAATCTCACATATATTACCAGAAGATCTTAGAGATAAAGAACACAATTCAGCAGTTAGCGTGATAAATGAAATACTTACTTTCTCAGGCAAGCAATATCCATGATCAATTGGAATCAGCACCATCTGACCATCCTTCCCTTTGCTCATCAATATATTTCCATCATGTCTATCTGCATTGGCCAATCTTATATCTAACACAGTGATCTTATGCACCTCCTCCACCGGGAAAATCCCTGGACCCACTTCATCACAACCACCTTCATTCTTCATAAACATCTGTAAAGATCCAACCTTGGCATTTTTCAATGAATATTCATACCCTTCAGGATAGTTAAATGCTTCATGCAAGCACTGAACAACTACAGTAGGAGGCACACCAGCAAAACCCATAACCTCGCCAGTTAATGCCCTTGGACCACTCTTTGGATGATCCAATATGTAAGCTGCTACTTCCCTTACTGCTCCTCTTCCTACCCTTGTCCCTCTTTTCAGCCCTTCACCATTCAATGAGACAGGTAGCTGGCGGGGGTTATTAACAGCCATTGGCTCCTCATCCACAGGCTTAAAAACGGAAACAAACTTCTGACCAAATGGATCTTGCATAAAATAAGTTCCTCCTGTTCCTTCACTTGATCGAATGGGTGGCTTACCTCTCTCCAGCCCATCAAATGTAGAGTTGATCATATTCCACATGGTTGAACTCAATCTGATCTTAGGATTAACGATAACAGGTTCCAACCAAAAATATCTACCGGGTTGCTCCCTAGCTAGAACCTGAACAATTTCAGAGTGATTATGTCCTCCTTCTACTACACTGTCTCTTCTCTCATTGGAATTCTCCGCCACAACAGAAATCTCAAAATCTTTCTCCGACGGTTTAGTCCTCACTTGCACAGATTTTTGGACCAACAAATGAATGGCAGCATCACTATCCCTGCTTATGTCACCAATAAGCTTTTGGTCATCAAGCTTCGCACCATTATAAAAGATTTCCTGCTCCTCAACATCAACAAAGCCTTGACCTTCTTTGAATATCCGCTGCTTTAAATAAGCAACATTTCTAAATCGATCCACGCGTAACTCAAATTCCCGTCCACAAGTGGTTCTCACAGTAATAAGCAAGAGATCAGAGAGCTTCAGAACCAAGTGCAAGACTTTGCCACTAGAGACACTATAGTCTTTAACAAGAGAATCATTTCTCGCCAACTCTCTGCCCCCAAAAACTAGTTTCTGTTTTTTCACTACATACCCCTCCGACGACTGGATCCTTAACTTTACTGATGCTATAGAATCCGACTCTAAAACCCGCATGGGAATAAGGGAACCAGCGACACTAAGATAAATTAGGATCGATGAACCTTCAGGGGTAGTTCCCTGTTGGTTATTGTTGCAGTAACCATGGAAATATGCCGATTCGGCGAGAATCGGACTCAATGCAACGTCAACGACGGACATTTTTTTTGTTTTATTTCTCTCTTTTTCTATCTATTCAAAATTGGATCTAAAGTTCAGCTAGAAGAGAAGGAAATAGCTATTTCACAACGAATTGAGCAAAAGGGAATTGTACTCAGAAATTGAAACTCAAAAGGAAACAAATTTTCCTTTCAGCCTCAAAAATTAGAATCTAAAAAAAAAGCAGGTAGAAGAGAATGAAATTCTCATCAATTTGAGGAAAACCGAAAAAAAAAAAACCCAGAAGCTGAATCTCGGAAAAGAAAACTAAATTTCTTTTCAGCTTCTGGGTTTATCAGATTGTGTCATTTAAAAAAAAAGCTTTCAAAGTCTGGGTCTAGAATTGGAAAAAAATAAAATAAAATAAAGAAATGCAGAGAGGAGAGTGGATTCTTACCGAAAGGAAAGAACCAAATTGAACGGGCAAAAACAGAAGCTTAAAAAAACAAAAGGAAACCGAAGATAGGTGATTAGTTGCAGGAGCCGATCTTTTTCCGGTTTGCCTAGATTGGAATTATCGATCTCAATAGAAAGCAATTTTTTCGCCCATTTTTTCTAACGGAAAATGATAAATTTGTCTCCGATGACTGAGTAGAGAGGAAAAGTGAGTAAAAAAGATGGAGAGGGAGGGAAGATAAACTAAATTGTAGCCGTTGGCTTTATAGAAAGTTTGAACTTTGACCCAACGTCTATGACGGAGCCATGTTGTTTTAACTACGAAATTGATTGAACTTTTCATTTTCTCTGTTATGTCTCCGTTTTTGTTAGCTAAATCCTAGGATGATGGTTCAGGAGTTCGTTACTGTTAATAGTTTGCTTTTACTAAAATGTTCACATAATTTCTCTCGTTCTAGTTTTTCAAATTTATGCCAAAAAAAAAAAATCTCTTTTATCTAAAATTAGAAAAGAAGACTCACTCACATAATTAACTCAACATATTTCTTTTTTTTTTTACTAAATTTCATATTATTAAAATAATAAATTTTGCGAATTGTGAAGAATATCCTTCAATTTTGAAAAAATTAAAAAGAACTATAAATATTTGAGACTATACCATAACATGAAGTTTTGAAGTAAATTGATTTTTTTAAGAGAAATTTTTATTTTTGAAAAAAATTTAGCTTTCATTTAAAAAAAATGAGAATAAAAATTTTATTTCTAAATTCTAGTTTTTTTTTTTTTGACATTATTTCTAAATTCTAGTTACTTGCCATATGAGATACTATCTTATTTATTTATTTTTATTTTTTACATTTTGTAAAATTAAAAAAAACCTAGTTACTTGCCATATGAGATACTATCTTATTTATTTTATTTTTATTTTTTACATTTTGTAAATTAAAAAAAAAAAAATATATATATATATATATATATAATATTATAAATTTATAATAGATTATTTTTGACTTCTTTTTAAAAAATAAAATATTTGATATCAAAGTATTAGTTTAAAAAACTTATAATTATTTGAAAGTCATATCCTATTTTGAGTAGTTAATATTTAGATTTTTTAATTGCTATATAATCCTCTCAAAAAAAAAAAATTAAATAATTAATTTAACATTCGTAAAGGCTATTTTAGTCATTTAGAAAGCAAAATATATCCGTTGAACATAAGCGGAACATCCCACATGGTACGGACGAATTATTATTAGTGCGCATTTGGATATTTTCAGCGACGACTAACGTACTTACTGACGTTAACGGAATCCCCAACTAATGGCCGTTTATCAGCTGATTCATAGCGACGAATTTCCAGGTTTGGTACACTTGTGAGTGGATTTAGTAAAAAGAAAATTCCTTGCACTTGAGAAAATTTCAAAAAAAAAAAAAAAAAAAAAAAAAACAGTGGGCTAAAGTGGTTTTTTCACCAGCTTTTATAATGAATTTTAAATCAACTGAATATTGAAATTTTTTAAGTTATATCTTCATATTACTAATTTAATATAACTTTTTGATTTCATATACAATTAAAAATAAATAAATGTTTAAGTCTTTGAGATTGCTTTTTTTTTTTTTTTTTTTTTTTTAACAAAAAGACAAGGACACGGTGGCTTTTTTTACATTAGTGGGTTGCATCAAGTTTGTTTTTTTTTTTTTTTTTTTTTTACAAAAAGACAAGGACACGTGGCTTTTACATTTAGTGGTTGCATCAGTTGAGATTATTGATGGATATAATACAATATTATAAGTAGTTGTTAAATTATGGGACCTAGTGTATGTAGTTAGAGCAGCTTCTATGATTCACATGGCCATTGTCAAAACGAGCAAGCACCCATACATCAAATCATATAATATTCAAAGCCTAGGTTTTGGTGTCCACACCTAACGTACTCCTTACCGCAATTTTCCCTTCAGGGAACAAATCATTACTTACATTACATCTTCCCATCATTTTTACGTTTCCATTTTTTTTTTTTAATTTATAAGATTTCAAAGAAATAAGTAAATTGTATTATGAATTAATCAAGTGTGATTTGGTTAAGAAATTACATTTTTATATTAATGTGAAGCGTAGGACATCTCGGGTTCAAGTATTAAAACATAGTAAATAGTAAACAGATTGAGGATTGAGCTTCAAGTTACTGTGATTAAACCATGGGTATAATTGTTCATTAATGGCAAAAGTTGGCCCAAATATAAGATTAGTAAAAAAATTAAGAAAAAAAATCACCGCCCAATCAGAAATAGCACAGTTGGAAAGTAGTATTATTCAATTTCTTGCATACGTGTCAGTTATCCTAAGAGGAGAGGACGCTCTCCGCTCTTTTAGCCGTTAGTGGCGCAGCAGATAATGAGTGATTCTGTTACCGTTATGGTGGGCAAAGCAGTTGCACTTGCGCACGTGTACTTGTCTTGCATCTTTTTTTTTTTACTGTCTGTCGAGGTCCAACAAAGCTTCCGGTGATATATCTGGGCCCAGTGGATCCGGCCCTTGGGTTAGCCCAAGCTCACTAGTAAGCGGCGACTAGTGTAAAGACTGATATCTGAGGTTATTTTAGACTTTTCTTCTACTCAAATCTCCTCTTCTTAGTTCTTACCCGCCAATTCTCTCTCCCTCTCGCTTCACACTCTCTCTGTGAAAGATCCTCTCTCTCTCTCTCTCTCTCTCTCTCTCTCTCTCTGCGAAAGAAGCAACAATGTCTACAAGTTTTCATCTTCTCTTTCTCTGTTTTCTCATCTCCACCATCATTACACAATCAAGAAGTCTTGCAATTCCTCAAGAACTCCGAGATTTCTCTCAAAATCTCATTCCTTTCAACAACCCCACCGCATCGCCTCCTTCTACTTCTATATCTCCATCGCCACCGTTCGATCATCCATCAAATGGTACTTTGGTGCCCGCTTTCTTCATCATTGGTGACTCCTCTGTTGATTGCGGCACCAACAATTATCTAGGTACCTTTGCTCGCGCTGACCGTCCTCCTTACGGTAGGGATTTCGACACCCACAAGCCCACTGGAAGGTTCTCCAATGGAAGAATCCCTGTTGATTATCTGGGTAATTTTTCTTTTCTTGATTCTTTTATGCTTCTTTTCCCTATTTTAATTGTTCGGTTACAGAGAAAGATGGTTTGAAAACAGAGGAAAATGAAATTAGGTTTTCTTTGATTAAATAAAAAAGATTCAATCTTTTTTGGGTAGCAAAAAGGGGGGGGGGGGGGGGGGAATGGTATTTTATGTTATTTTCTTTGCTGGAACTCCCTGCGTTGGTTGCTTAGAAAGTAGGGAAGTGCGGGGGGGGGGGAATGATTTTATGTTTATTTTCTTTCTGGGAACTCCCTCTGTTTGGTTGCTTAGAAAGTAGGGAAGTTGGCCAGAAAAACGATATATCTTTTTTTGTCTAGAAACCAGTCTTTCATGGGATGAAGGTATCAACTAAACTCGGCCTCTGAGAAATTTGGTTTTTTAAGGCCGAGTAGTGGAGAGTTTCTTTTAATTTTCTGATTAAAAATCATTTCTATTTCTGAATTTTCCTACTTTCTTGCCAACTAAACATAAAATTGGTATTTCTTGATATAACTGAAATACATCTTGTTTCCATTCCCTTTTAATGAAGCCTGTAAAATTTGAAAATTTGCAGCTTGTACCTTCGTTTATGTTTTTGTTCTTGATAACTGGGTTCTTGGTTACAGAAGAATTATCTATAATTAAGTTAATTAATCTGTAATACTTGAATCAGCATTGCGCCTTGGGCTTCCGTTCATACCAAGTTATCTAGGACAGATGGGAACTACTGAAGATATGATTCACGGAGTGAATTATGCATCTGCTGGTGCTGGAATTATATTCTCAAGTGGATCAGAAATGGTATATCCCAATTTCAGTTACATATATGGATTTCAATTTAGTAAATTATAAGCATTACATTAGTAATAATAGTATTATCCTGATACAGGGTCAACGAATCTCCCTCACCCAACAAATTCAGCAATTCACAGACACCTTACAGTCATTTATTTTAAGTATGGGTGAGGATGCTGCAAATGATCTCATCTCCAACTCCATCTTTTATCTCTCAATAGGAATCAATGACTATATCCATTACTATCTTCGTAATGTGTCTAATGTACAAAATTTGTACCTTCCATGGAGTTTCAGCCAGTTCTTAGCATCAGAATTAAGGCAAGAAATCATGGTGAGCAATCTGCATCACATCCTTAATTAGTCCCATTTTACTGATAAAAGAACTTCCTAATTGATTAATGGTGGTGGTATTGCAGAACTTGTACAATATGAGTGTAAGGAAAGTGGTGGTAATGGGACTAGCACCTATAGGTTGTGCTCCTCACTACCTGTGGAGGTTCAATAGCAAGAATGGAGAGTGTATCAGAGAAATAAATGACATGATTATGGAGTTTAACTTTTTTATGAGATTCATGATTGAGGAGCTTGGTCAGGAACTTCCTGATGCTAAACTCATCTTCTGTGACATGTATGAAGGTTCAATGGACATAATCAAGAATCACGAACGTTATGGTAAGAAAGAAATTAGACTCTGTTTGCCATTGATAATCAAGTGTGTGCAGAAATTGAGATATAACTGTGGTTTTTTGAACAGGTTTTAATGTGACTACTGATGCTTGCTGTGGGTTAGGGAAGTATAAAGGGTGGATAATGTGCCTTGCACCAGAAATGGCTTGTAATAATGCTTCAAATCATATCTGGTGGGATCAATACCATCCAACTGATGCTGTGAATGCTATTTTGGCAGACAATGTGTGGAATGGCCTGCACACTAAAATGTGTTATCCAATGAACCTCAAGGACATTGTTGCTCCAGACTCAGGCTAAATGATTTGAACCAACAGTTTTATGACCATTTTTGTAAGATTAGAGTGTTAAACAGTGTTTCTATAAAAGACCCAGATTGTAAATTGATGCATTTTCAATATTGAAGTATTGCGATTCCTTTATCATTGTGTTTGAACATAATACATGTTGGAAAAGTTTCCATTATGGGCTTGCTTCCACTGCTAATGTATTTGGGCTTTCTGCTTGAATCATGACTTAATTGTGGGCCTCTCTAGATTGGTATACCAAGACAATAACCTATTCCTTGGGCTTAATTTTAAATTTAAATTTAAATTTAAATTTTTTTATTTTTTAAAAATTAAAAATAAAAATAGTCTTTATTCTTGAAACAAATAAACATTGTAATTATTGGGTTTTGGGTTTGAATGGAACATTGGCTGGATGGGTTATCGGGTTCATGGATCATAGGATGCTTACATAGGATCTTATCTTTTGGACAGTTAAGACTTGGTAAGAGTTCACTTTCCTTTGTGGCTCGTTTCTCCTTCTACAGTACTACGTGTGACCCTTCCTGCCGACACCCGTGTAAAATCGCCTCACTTCACGTGTCTGCCTCCCTCAAATCACATGCTCTACAGTCTTTGCTTTAACGCCCTATTATTTAATTATTTAATTCTTCAATTCATCACGTTGCTCTTCCATTTAAGAAAATTACTAATTCATCCCTAAAGTGTTGTATTATTAAACTGTGTACATTTTCTTATTTAACTAATAAATATAACTTTAATTAAAATTTAAAAATTAAATAATTATTCTTTATCCTTTAATAAATTACTCTTTATCTTGTTAATCAAATTTGATTTGATTAAGCTTTTCATTAATATAAAAAGTAATAAATTTTAAAATTTAATTGTGTTTTTATCAATATAAAAAGTGATCAAGACCGATCTCTCAAAATTAAATATCATATTATTTTGATTACTGCACTCTCTAAGAATGAAAAGAAAAATTAATCCTTACCCTCTCAAGACTTAACAATTAAGCAAAGAGGAAATTTTCAAGAAAATCCGAAGTGTGAATCCGTTCTCTAAATCAAACTCCCTAGTCTTAGAAGACCTTCTAGAAAGTTACATGATAATGAACTCCACAACCTCCACTCTGCCTTTCTCTCCTTTTGCCACGTCACCACCCATACCCCGCTAAACACCGCGTTTTTGCCGCCATCATCAATCATCACTTATTCGTATTCGCTCAACCAAAAATGAGTAAATGTATATTTAATTATTTAATTGTTTCCTAAAACAAAAACAAGAAAAGAAAAAAGAGCATTTGTAATTTTTAAAATTCACAATCCTTTGGATCTTTCCACTTTGACAAATCCACACGCAATCGTTAAGCTCTTCAAATTCCTTCACTTTCCTGGAAATTTCCTTCTCCTGTTCCGATTTTCTCTTATTTAAAGCTTCATTTCTCACCCACTCTTCTCTCTCTCTCATCTACGCTTCCTCTGTTTTTTCATTTCAGATAATAAAATCTTTAGAATCTTTGATACTTTGAAGGGAATTGGTGTTGGAGATGGAGAATAACCAATCTTTCTATCAATTCAGTGATCAGCTGAGGTTGCAGGCTTCAAACTTAGCTAATCTGTCGCTCAACGACTCAATATGGAGCAATTCGTATGTGTCAAAGAGGCCCGATGAAAGGAGGAATTTTGATTTAAGAGTTGGTGGTGAAGTGAATTCTGTTGTAAATTCTAAGCCAAAAGAGTCTGATTTAAATGGTTTTAATGATGGATGGAAGATAGGATCTAATCCTTCTTCTGCTTCTACTGATTTGAATGGATTTAATGATAGTTGGAAGATGGGACTGGGATATGGTGCTAAAAGTTACAGTCTTGGTCCTATTGGCCCAATTGGTCAGGTTATTGGCGGTGGGTCTCAAAAGAATGTTGGGATCAACGGCGGGTTTAGCAAGGGGATATATTCAAAGAATAATTATAATCTCAACAGCAATCTTAATGTTAATGTGAAAGGGAATAAGAACAAGGGAGACGATGATCATGGAGTCATCAAAACTGGCAAGAAAAACACTAACAAGAAGAACAGTGGTGATAATAACAATAATAATGACGGTAAAGACAACAAAAGTGCTGCTGATAAGAGATTTAAGACACTGCCACCATCAGAGTCTCTGCCTAGAAATGAAACTGTAGGTGGTTATATCTTCGTCTGCAATAATGATACTATGCAAGAGAATCTCAAGAGGCAGCTCTTTGGTAAATCGGCCAAATATTCTATGTTCTTTTTCTTTTTTCTCTCTCACTATGCATAAAAGTTCTTAGCTTTGTATTAGGGTGTGAATTTTATTTTCTAGAAAGAAATTATTTTTCAGATATATTTTGTTTTAGATGAATTCTATACAAATTTTCTAAATAGCTTGTTGAATTACTACTTTGTAGGTTTGCCTCCTCGTTACCGAGACTCAGTGAGGGCAATTACTCCAGGCCTGCCCCTTTTCCTGTATAACTACTCCACCCACCAACTCCATGGAATTTTCGAGGTTTGTAGTTTTTTCTTTGTTTTTAGGCCATTTTGATGGACGATCCAATTAATTTTTATAATACTTCTGGTAAATCAACTTATGGTATCTGCTTAATGTTCTCTGTAGGCTGCAAGTTTTGGTGGAACAAACATTGATCCGACTGCCTGGGAGGACAAGAAATGCCCTGGAGAGTCGCGCTTTCCTGCTCAGGTATATATACATCCATATATTAAGGATTTGGATATGAACTATATGGTTTGTTAAAGTATTGAATGATTTTTGGGATTAAATGGTTCTGATTTTGTGTTTAGGTGAGAGTTATTACAAGGAAAATCTGTGAGCCGCTTGAAGAGGATTCCTTCAGGCCAGTTCTCCACCACTATGATGGCCCTAAGTTCCGGCTTGAACTCAACATTCCTGAGGTAAATTCATTTACCTTTTAACTGTAAACATGATCAATCTCTTATATATTGTATTAATTTGTTGATGTTTATTATTTGACATGCCCTGATCTGATCTTTTTTTTGTTTTGGATTTTCAGGCTCTGTCTCTTTTGGACATATTTGATGAACAAAACCTTTGAACAGTTTTATCATATACAGGCATAAAGATACACACACACGAGGCGAAGAGAAGAGTTGATCAAAGAAACAGAAGATAAAATTAAAGAGTTGTTTAGCTTTAATATATAACATATATATAAAGTTAGTTTGGGGAAGAATACTATGGGAATGGGAAAGAGGCTGAAAATATACAGCCTAGTTTGATGTATAATTTTTGTTTGGAGGCTGTTTATGGTCCCTTTTATTCTCTCTTGTTTGTCCTATAAATAATTAAAAATATTACAAAATGAAATCTTTATTTATAATAATGTGTCTTAGCACTTGCTATACAGAATATTCATTTGCATCTCTGAGGATTTCAGGTTGTTTAGAGTGGAGACATTGGTACACCCTCCTAATGCAATTCCTGGTTCTTCTAATGGGAGGGAATGAAACTTCTGCTAGACTTTTGCTCTCTTGTTTGTCCTATAAATAATTAAAAATATTACAAAATGAAATCTTTATTTATAATAATGTGTCTTAGCACTTGCTATACAGAATATTCATTTGCATCTCTGAGGATTTCAGGTTGTTTAGAGTGGAGACATTGGTACACCCTCCTAATGCAATTCCTGGTTCTTCTAATGGGAGGGAATGAAACTTCTGCTAGACTTTTGCTCTCTTGTTTGTCCTATAAATAATTAAAAATATTACAAAATGAAATCTTTATTTATAATAATGTGTCTTAGCACTTGCTATACAGAATATTCATTTGCATCTCTGAGGATTTCAGGTTGTTTAGAGTGGAGACATTGGTACACCCTCCTAATGCAATTCCTGGTTCTTCTAATGGGAGGGAATGAAACTTCTGCTAGACTTTTGCTCTCTTGTTTGTCCTATAAATAATTAAAAATATTACAAAATGAAATCTTTATTTATAATAATGTGTCTTAGCACTTGCTATACAGAATATTCATTTGCATCTCTGAGGATTTCAGGTTGTTTAGAGTGGAGACATTGGTACACCCTCCTAATGCAATTCCTGGTTCTTCTAATGGGAGGGAATGAAACTTCTGCTAGACTTTTGCACAGCTATAGTTGGTGGCTGACTAAGACGTGGCAAGGCAATTCTTTTGATTGGTTTTGGGGCAAATTAGTCTCCTGAACTCTTAAATCATAAATTCTGAACTCTCTCAACCATAAACCCTAATTTTTATTAAGAGACTCTCATCCTGCTATGCATATTTTTCTAACTATAAATCAATCAGGACAGTGAAATGGTCGTGATCTTAAATTTGAACATGAGGATTCATATTTGATTGTGTCAATATACAGAAATAATTGAAGCAAATTTTTCTAGGTTGATTTAATCATTAGGTCATAGGTCAGGCATATACTTTCCCGTGCAATTTTAACCGTAATATAAGTAGAAAGAAGAGAAAAAAACAATTTCCGTTTAACTTGGTGATATGATGTGTACGTAGATGGAAAGGAGATAATGTCTACGTAATGATCATATTTCAATTCTTTTTTCAACATGATTAAATGAAGTTCAATGATAACATCTCAATAATTATGTATAAATAACTATTTTTAAATTATCTTATATTTAATATTTATTAGCTTGATGAATTTTAATTCACAGTTAGCAAATTATTTTCGAAGATTAAATCATTATCTAAAAAGGAATTCCATATCCAAATTTAGAACTTGAGATCTCTAATTAAAAATATACCATCAATATCAATAAAAATTAAAATTAAAATGTAGAGCTTAAAATTTTTGAGTAAATAAAGATAAATAACATCATAGAAACATAAATAATTTCACAATTTACATTTATTTCATAATAGTTTGTCAATATGTCAAATTCAAAATCATAACATGAAAATATATTAACCATAAACACAAACTTAATGTAGAAGATCCACTTGTAGCCACTCGTATCTCATCCACTTAAAGGCAAGCTGGACAAAGAACCAAACCATTCTCATTACACTGACCGCACCTCTCTTTAATTCCATCCACCAATACCTTACAACTCCCACCACAATCCAAACACGGCACAAACCTGGCTCCCCCACACCCTTCGCACGCTTGTCTTCCTAATCCTCTCTCCACACGTGCCCAATTCAGTATCCTCCCGAGTCGACTCGACTCGTTGAGTTCCACTACCTCATCTACTCCTCCTATGTACCTTCCTTTCACAAAAACTCTAGGCACACTCGTTTCTTCTCCTAACAGCTCCCTTAGCTCCTTCAGGAACTCTCCATGCAACGACACGTCTCTTTCGTCGAACACTACTCTGTGTAATTCCATTAAGACGCGTACACGGTTGCAATCCTCGTATGTTTTACGTACTCCACGCAACGATGTTGTGTAAATGACCACCGAGTCATCTCCACTGGGGGGACACTTCTCTGGGTAGTCACTTAGTGGGTTCCTTATAATTTTGTCGTAATTTGCCATTTTCCCTTCTTTTTCTTTCTCTTGCCTGTCTCTGAGTATGAATATATTCTCTTTAACTGGCCTGATAATGTTTCCGGACTCGGTTGCTGGCTTAATCACAACTTGTGACGAATCGGTCATTCTGGCCTCTGTTTTCCTCAACTCGGTCATGGACTCAATTTTCCTTATTTCTTTCTTGGGTTTTGAAGAGAGTTTAGCGTCCAGCTCTTCAAGGGTATGAAAAGAGGAGCTCTTTCTTGGTGCTGGAGGTTGTTTCTTTTCTGCGGCCAAGGCAGAAGTCGTGGTGGTGATGGTACTGCTGACTTTCGCCGGTGGTGGAGAAATAGAATTTTTGTTAGTGAGGGTGGGCTTGAGGTCTTCTAGGGCTTTGCTAACCTCCTCCCAAGGATGAGGAGTATCAGTTTCCAACTTGTTGAGCTTCTCGAGTAAGGGAGCAGGGACATGGGTTGGCTTTTCTGGTTTTTCTTGATCAGTATTATCGACAGAAAGCCATGGCTCTTGGATGGAGTTGATATCGAAAACGGCAAAGCTTGAAGGTGGTGGACGGTAGACATCTATGGTGGCCTCAATTCTTTTTGAGGAACCGCAACCCATTTTTATTATGAATGAAATTCTGTTCGAGTGTTGAAGTTAAGAAGCTGAACAAGAAGAATGCCACATGTAAAATTGTTGAGTTTTAGGCGGGAGAGAAATAGGAATGTTTTTGTGGTGGCTTTCTTTATCGATACCCTACTCTAAATCTAATCAAATGTGTATTTGTGTTGGAAATGTTGTGTCTGAGCCTTAGGATTGGTGTGTGGTGGCTAAATTGGCCAGGTCGACATGTAGAGTACTTGGTGTCCAGTTCAAATTAGAAAGATTTCTTGTGCGAGGTTATCTTGCATTGACAGGTCCATTGCTCCTGCAGTACGTGTAGGGTATATATATAATGCAAAACAAAGCAAATTTCGCGGTGTTAGCTGCTCACATCCATAGAAGAAAGTTTTTTTTTTTTTTTTTTTTTTTTTTTATTATGTTCTGTGTTCCTTTACCTTCAGCTTATAGTAATAAAATACTTGTCCCCTATCTCAAAAAAAATTTTATAGATTTAATCGATTCGTCGAGTCATGAGTCATGAAGATAGATGGGAAACAATCATTTTCTGTTGGCTGTGGGTAATATATAATAAATAAATATATTTATATATAAAGATAGAATCCTCTTCAGTTTAAAACTTTATATTAAGTTAGTGAAAATGAATGATAAAAAATTAAGAGAAAGAGAAAATACAATTTTACATATAATTTTTCTGATCCTCGCATTATGGTCCATCTATATTATGGCTTTGGCAAAACAAATTCCATTGGCTAGAGAAGATAAGAGAAAAATATATATATATATATATATATATTATGAGATAGATACCTTTCATTTTAATAACTTTTTATATTTAAGTTTAGTTGAAATGAAATGAAAAAATTAGAGAAATGAGAAGATACAATTTACATATATTTTTCTGATCCTCTCATTTTATGGGTCCATCTATATTATTGGGCTTTGGGCTAAACCAACCAATTGGGCTTAGAGAATAAGAGAAAGCAAGCTTTGCATAACTTGAAGCCTAGAACTAGAAGAATCCAATCTAATCTAAATTAAAGTACTAACTACCAAAGAGATTCCAATACATTGAACAAACTAAACTAACAGTCAATCCTTGTCACGGGATACAAGTAGCTTTTGTCCTTTCTTAACTTTACCGCAATTACTGAATAGACAAACCATAATTTCTTGTCGCAGATTCTAGACAAAGGAATCAAAGCACCAAATGCAAAGCCCCTTGCACTCAATTTTGAAATTAGAAGCTAAAAAAAGAAAAAAAAACAATTATATATTTTCTAGTTAATCTTCTCACTTGTACAAAAAGTAGAAAGTCTCGAATTTAAGTATAATTAATAGTGTAAATAAGCCAAACTGAACTCCAATTTGCCAGGCTCAAAATTCAATTAGATTGAATTTAACTCACTTCGAAAATTAACGAACTTAGAAAATTTTAGATTCAAGTTCGATTTGAGGCTAGAGTTTAACTTGAAAAATTTTAAACTCTAAATTCAAGTAACATAAAATAATATTATATACATATATAATATAAAGTTTAATAAGGCTCGATAAGTCGAATTGAATATCATTAGACTCGAGTTCGAGCTCAATTCGAATTGAGATTTTTCAAACTCTTTTTGAGTCAAGCTCGAATAATTTGCGAACTGGCTCGACTCATTTATATCATTTATGCTCAGCTATAAAAACTTTCATCAATTTAATAAATCAGTGAAAGAGTTATCCATGTAGTATATATAGTTTGTGTTATTTTGATCCATGTTATTTCAGTCCATTTTATAGGTTAACGAAGTGAACAAAAATTAGCGGCTCAAAAAAGTCTTTATTTGACTTTATTTTTAACTCACGCTAGTCTATTCATTTGCCTTGGATCACCTCAAACATTTAAATATTTCCCACAACGGTATACATCACATGGCGCCGATTAAGATTTTGAAAAACGCCACAGACTGGATTGTCTCTTCTGACATCACTTCCATTGTCTCTCCTCTTGTTTCTGCCTCTATTAATTAGATTCCAAATTTACATGTTTATATAATTCCTGAACTTGATAAGCTGCAAATTAGAGTTTGTGTAAGCTAGCTAGATAATGGGGAATTGCTCTCTAAAAGGGGTGGCCGGAGACTTTCCTAATAAAATCCGGTTATTCACACGTTCCGGTGACATCATAGAGCTCAAAGGTCCTAAACTAGCCAAAGATGTCCTCAGTGAGTTTCCGGGTTTTGGCATTTTTAGACAGGGAAATGCGACGACGTCGTCTCCTTTGCCTACGTACGAGTACTTAATTGGTGGGCAATTTTACTATCTTCTTCCTCTTGAAGGAATGCCGATAATGTTACGTGATACTGGCGTTGCTAATGATCAAGTTTGTGAGATGGACTTCGCAAAGAAAGAAAATGTGGGTTTGACCGAGTCACCGGAGATGTCGTCCTGGAAAAGATTGGATCTTGGAAAGGAAAAGGTGAACGGGCCGATGCCAGGTCCGGCTCTTCAAGTGTTACCGTCGCAACGGAATGGAGTTTGGAAAGTGAAGTTGGTGATCAATCCAAAGCAACTGGAGGAAATTTTATCAGAGGAAGAGAATACTGAAGCTTTGATCGAAAAGATGAGAATGGCTGCTGCTGCAAATTCAGCAAGTTTGGCACCTAGGCGGAGCAAGAGCACTTGGAAGCCTTGTCTCTCTAATGTGTTCAAGGTTTCTCCCATTGATGGAGCCAAATAAAAGCTAGCTATTAGCTAATTAATACTAGTATACCAACTAGATAGAGTTATCTTCTAGTGTAATATTATCATGTAAATATGGAAAATTAACGACCTGGTAGTTGTAACAAATAACCATATGCTTATGCTTATAAGCCTTTTATAAAATTTTCTTTTTTCTAACAAGCATTTTTGTACTTCTATTTTATGTTTTGATTTATCTCGTTCATCGTCTATCAGAAAGAAGAAAAATCTTTTGATGCTAATGCTAGGTTTTCTAGTCCAATATTATTATGTTACAGCAGATACTAAAGCAATAAATGCTGAATAACACTGTATATATTCCTGGATAATTTTTGTAATTAAAAGAAAAAGAGAACAGAAAAATGAAATCAAAGGATTAGTTTGTTAGAGACCATTTGATCAGGAATATACCACCAGTTAATAACTTACTGCATTAACATAAAGTAGCATTTTATGTCAGCATAAAGTTTTCCAGGCAATATTACAGAGCAGATAAGGTAGCAGTAAAATGTCACTTGACCACATCTCGTCACTTTACAAGTACCAGCAAAATCAAGGCTCAAAAGATGGTATCATCCCTAAAAGGGTTCAACATTTGAATCTCCAAAATAAGCTCCTCATATAACCTGCACTGCTCATCTGTCATTAAACCCGATCTTCCATCTCCCTTATAGCTCTTTCTATGGCAGGTATGTTTTTCTTCAAGGCTGACCATTGCTCCTCTTTCAAACTTATTCCTGAACATAAAGCAGAAATTCAGTGTCATAGGCATTTTACATAAACAGCATCAAATGCCACCACCAGTCTGTGTAATGAAGGAAAATATGTTCAACTCGCCATTTTACAAATGCAAAAATGATTAATCAACCGGCCCATATTCTAACATGTTCACAACACTGAAACATGCAAACTGCATGTTTCGACACAGTAAAACAGAGTTGTATCTACAACGCAAAATGAGAAAATTTAATTCTCCTACTTGAAGCCTCCAGAATCCAGTTTTATATAATAATCCAGGAGTATCATCAAACATTGTTGAAAGGAGTAAACCTTAATCCAGGAACACTACAAATCAAAAGGCTTAACTTTGTATGACAATCTTATAACATTTTATAGGCATCCTGCATTTCTCATTGAAACTATAAGTCCATCTTCTTTGAAACCATTTAGACGGTTCCATATATCAAGATAAAAGCACAAGCCTTACACGTAATTTAGTTTAGATTAATGGTTATGTTGCTAATACTACTTGATCTATATTAATCTATTCGTTACATATGCAAAACCTTATATTATGAAAGTTCCTTCTGATCAATGGGCATATGCAATTCACTTACACTATCAAAGCTCATTCTGATCAATATGAGAACCTTCTTAGGTTGGATATTGATGCATAATATTTGAAGTAAATGAAGTTTAAAGAGCTAAATTGTCAGAAAGTCAAAATATCTAGGATTTAAGCAGCGAAATACACAAAAATATAAAACTGGTTTTGCAGCAATGGCAATAAAAATCCACATTCACAGAAATTAGAATCTTAGCTAGGTCCAAAAAATTTTCAATTAAACCATTGAAATAGCATAGTCATCATATAAAGGACGACAAACACATTGAGTTTAAGCTATGAAAATTGGAAGTCACACCTGATACACCAGATGTTTAGGTCAGATACAAAAAAGGGAATGGGGTCAATCTAACATCAATATAACACTCAATCAGCAATAATCAGTAAGCATTCAAAATATCACAAAGCTTTTCTCCATGACAATGACAGGGCAATCAAAGGAAGTCCTCAAGCAGCAGTTTTTAGCACTCCTCTCAGCCATGCTAACTAACCCATAAAACCCAATGGGACACCATTATCAAATTTTCTTCCGTAGTTAATTCAGAGACACACAAATACAAGAAAAGAGAGAGAGAGAGAGAGAGAAGGGTACCTTTAGAAGTAGGAAGCTCTTTGCCATCTCTCTTGTAGAACTCCCTTATAGATACCAAGGTTGTCCCTCTAAAGTTCTGAATCGTCACCTTTCTCTTATCTGACAGCTGAAAAATCCACCAAACACAAATAAATTTTAAAAGAAAATCAAAACAAATCACAATAAAAAGAAGCAACTGACCCTGCAAACGATAAGGTCACCGTCGTCATCATACTCGGGCTCTTTGCTCTGGTCTCCTTGTTCCTCTTTGAGCCTCTGCTCTTCTAGGAAGTTATTGACGACGTGGCGCACGAAGGCCTTGTATTTGGATTCATTGAGGTCCAAGCCGAGTTTCTTGGAAGCTATCTTTCGAATCTGATACTCAGTCGTGGAGTCCATGTCCGATTCTTGTAGAATTTCCCTCACCGTTTGCTCGATTTTTATTTTCAAACTGGGTTCCATTTTCAGTTTCTGATTCTCTGATGCTGGCAATAGAACCTAAAGCGAAGGGTTAGAGAGAGACGCTGGTAAATTCGGTGTTTGCCTGCCCAATTTGGGGAAATTGTGACGTTAGTTCTTTGGGAGGGCGAATGAAGGTTTATCGTGTACCCGCAAACACACTATAACATTTTAACCTTTTTGGCGGCCCGGTCATCTTTTACTTTATTTGTAATAATCTTGATTTTACTTTAATTTACGATAAAAAGAAAAAATTTACTAAGGGACAATCAAAAGTAGACTCAAAATTGTTGGGAAGTTAAGGAAGGTGTTTCCATTTCGTTTATAAGTTACTCAAATTTTAACTAGAAACATAAATAGAATAGTGTTTGATTTAGCTTTATGCATAGCGAGTAAATTTTGGAAAAAATAAAAAATAATCAAATTATTTTGGTTTTTTTTAATTCAATTGTTTGATTTTTGATTTCAATTTAGTTTTACATTTGATTGTAATTTATAAAGTTCACTTCTTGAACAATACATCATTTTGAATTAAATGGAACTAAATATAAGTAGAAATATTTCATACATTTGTGTTGTAAATCCACAATGCAGTGAAAGTTCTCTTTAAAGAAGTAAAACATTTCCAATGGAAGTTAAGGTTTCAAAGAATTTTTACATGCATGAAGCCATTTTGTCTCAATTCAGGGATGTTTGTCTTAATGTACACCGGTGTCAAAGCTCGTATCTTTATCCCAAAACTCCATGACCCAGATCGAAAAATTGCCTCTTCTTGTCCACTACCATGGCGGAGGTTTCTGTACCGGATCACGATTTGATAGTCTGACTAAAAACTTTCTTACTGGTTTGGTTACTCAGGCAAATTTCAATGCCATTTCAATCGACTATAGATTAGCCACAGAGCCATCCTTTACCAATTGAGTATGACGATTGTTGGGTAGGGTTCCAATGGCTTTGGACCCGAACCATGGCTTGACAAGCATGTTGATTTTGGACGGGATTTCTTAGCGGGTGAGAGTGCCGGAGCAAATATAGCTCAGTACGTTGCTGTCAAAGCTGGTGTCAATGGATTAGAAGATTTAAAGATCACTGGCTTATTCACGGTGCATCCATTCTTTGGGGACGAAGTGGAAAGTAATATGTACAAGTACTTGTGTCCAACAAGTTCCGGAAGTAGTGATGACGCGAAACTGGTTCCGAACTTGTTAAAATTGGGATGTGATAAAAGTGACGCAACAAAAGTGCCTCATTTGAAATTAAGATGTTAATCAAAAATGATGGTTTAGTGTTCTTGTTTAAAATAAATGAGAGTCATAAATACAAGTGGTTACAGACTCAATTGTCCAATTCATGGCTAGTATAGTATAAAGCTCAGTGAATTCTACTTCATAACCTAATACTAATATGGAAGAGGACACTTTAAGATAAATCCATGAACAACATACAAGACAATTAGCCATTCCCAAAATAGTTAGTACTTAAGATACAGAAAGACTAACCTACCAAAAATAAATCCGCGATCACATTCGAAGTGTATCACTGGAAAGCAGCTGGTTGCCCACGGCATTTGGTTGCAGCAGAACATCACCAATGGAGGGAAAGCTCAGCGCTTGCTATTTTGACCATTATAGTAAAGTAAATCGTTTTTCCAACAAAAATACATCTCAAATCAACTGGAATTTAGTTGTATGTTTTCTTTTCCTGCAGCAAGTTCAGCACAAAATGAGATGGTAAGAAAATTGAGCAAGTATATGTCATGCGGAATGCACACATTGCAAGCTTCTAAATATCACTTAGCTGAAAGCAAGGCAGTAGGGCTGTTATGGAATCACTAATCACTTGACAAACAAATAGCAGGAAAATTAAGGTCTCTTCCTATATCACTATTTAAGCCTCCAAAATTACATATTGTAGAATTCAATTGAACAGAATTCTTTAGATGCAGAAAACAGAAGAATCAAACACAATTGGGCCAATAGCATATGTAATGAATTCATGTATTGAATATGATGGTTAACTGTCCATTAAAGGGGGAAAAATGCACACCATGCTCAATTAATTCAAATAAGCATTTTAACTGATTGAAATTGCTGCTCCATACAAACTCATAGAAAGCTTTTCTGAGATGGAGAATTAACAAGGTTAAGGAGATAGTAGTAGGTCATGCAAGTTACATATTGGCATCAATGTCAAGTTCTTGCCTTTGAGAGTGACTCAACCAAGTCAAAGGCACTGGCCGAAAATTCTGTCAAGCTTCTCAAATCTGTATGCTGTGCATAAAACTATTGTTCATAACCAAATTGAACATATTAGGATTGAAGCTCTACCCAACACCCTAACCATTATTCAGAAAGACCGCCATCAAAAGTTTAAAAAAAAAAAAAAAACAACGAAATTAAACGATCCCAGAAACCGAAATTCAAAATTGAAGCGCAAATAATAGCCAAAAACTGACCACAAAATCTTGTTGAACTCAAGCTCTAGTCTTTTGAGTTCGATTTTTTATTTTTTCAAGGAAATCTTGGACGGCGCGGCTAACGACTGATTTGTAGGGGTCATCGGAGAGATTCAACCCGAGTTCGTCCGATGCCATTTTTCGTACTTTGTTCTCTGTCATCTCGTACAAGTTTTCCCCCTCCAATATCTTGCGGACCGTTTTCGATATTTTCTTCTCTAATTCTCTTGACAGTTCTGGTTCCGTTTTCCGTTCTTCAAATTCTGGCTCCATTTTACTATCAGCTAAAGCTCTGATTTGTCGAGACCACAGCGTATCTGATCTCTCTTGCTATCTACTGTTTCTTCTGTGCTTCGAATGGAGACAGAGGGGAAGCGGCTGCATAGCACAGGAGTTGAGGGACAGAAGGGTTTTTAGTAGTCTTGACATCCAACGACGACGTTTGTGGACATACAATTTTTAAATTGTTCACACACAGACAAGAGGAGTTGTCGTTCAACGAACCTGGATGAAAAATAAATAGCCCCCCGTTAGGGAGTCTGAGTCGTTCTTTTCCTTTTTGAAGTTCAACGATAAGCCGTTAGATATTTGAGTTCTTATCTCCCACACTTGGGCAATAAACCCCCAACGTGATAAAGGTTTCATTATTTGCGTCTTAATGGTTTAATTTGATAGGCAATCAGTTTGGATTTGAATTTGTTTCTCTGTAAATATGAAAGATTTTCACCTTTCAACTTGTATCCATAAGAGTTTTCGTTGATTTTATTATTGAATTTATGTTTCAGCTTGTTAGAATTTTATTCCATCGTTCAAATGAATATTTTTACAGAGAACCCACAAGGAATTCCATTAATAACTGGTCGTTTTCATCATTTGGAACAACTCTGAGAATTTAGTAAATCCGCTTGTAATTGTTTTAATTGATTTGGACACTTTTTTCTATGTATAATAGGTGAAAAATAATTGAAGTAGCATTGGATAGCAAAATTTTGAAAAGGAAAAAAACATTCAACTATGAGTCTATGATGTATAATGAAGTCAAGAAAAAAAAAAAAAAAAACAAAAAAAGGACCAACATAAGTGAATCCTTACATTAACAAGAAACTTCAACTTTGCTTGTATCAATTGAGCTAGAGGGAAGAACAGCTCCTTCCATTACCTCTTAAAAGTTGTCGGATCTCGCCTCTTCTTGCTGCATGATTACCACCATAAATATATGAAATTTATAAGTAATTAGACTCAAAGTTCCAAGAAACTCGATGATAGCTCGAGAAAGGTCCAGTGGCTGAAGCAAATTGCCAAAACACTACGTGACTGAAGGAAGCATGAAGTAGTAACTAGAAACAGGCATAAATATTTGCTTGATAATTTTCATAAGCTTAGTAGCAGTCTTTAAGTCTTGGATACAATCAAGAAATAAGTTTACCTGGACTCAACCTCAGTGCTGCTCCCTCCTTTCTCCCCCCTCCCAAAGGCAACTTCATCCATGCTTTGCCCTCGTCGCCTATACCTACCACCTGCTGCCACAAATCCAGGACAAGGCCTATAAGCCTTTATCGGCCACCAACCAAATCCTGGAACTGTTGCGATGCCACCTTGAATCCTACCCTCACCATTGCAGCCCCTCTCAAGTTCTGGTCTTCCACAGGCCTTACAACCCCTGTAGAAAAATTGGTCATTCAACATTGTTCCCATTCATACATAATCACTAAACATATCCCCTACAATGCCATTTTTTTTTCTAAAAAAGGCATTTGGAAAGGGAGTTTGATATGGGTCACTATAGTCTAGGCTATAGCAGCCAATGTCACTCACATAATTCATCTTCTTGTCAAGTCTTGCAAGTTCAATAGATCATAATTAGGAATCTACCACAAAGAACCATTTCCTAATTCTCTTTTCCCCCAGGAGAAGATATTGATGATTTCTCAGTAAATAGTTTGAGCATTGAGGCTTAAAACTCAACAAGTAGCATATATATTATACGCACTGGCCCAAAAATAGGTCCTCATTTAATAACGGACAACAATAGAAGAACAGCAAGCTAAGAATCAAAATCTAAGTTTCAAAGTTCTAATAAGATTGCAAACTTTCTTTCCACAGCAAGAAATTCAAAACTTTCGGCAAGCTCCTGCTAAGCAGCAACTTAGCTTTCTAAATCACACTTGGAATTGCAGTTGAGAGAAGTAATTCGTTGAAAATGTTGACTTAGAGATCTCAAGGTGAATTTCACATATTATATAATGCCTGTGCTTTCCAGACACCCATTAACTACAGGAAAATTTAGTCATTGCCGGATTTTAACTTGGTAATCAAACATTTAATCGACAACAATATATTTGTCGATAACATGTGAAAGAGGGTAATAATCAACAATTTATCAACTGGTGAACTTCTAAATCTCACCACCTACTGAATTGAGCTAGAATAGTGTGGACTAGAAAGAAAGAAAGAGCATTTCATTATTATATCTTACCTTAAATTTACTTTTCTGAGTAACCAAACAAAGGAAAAATACAGAAAGGTAAAATCTAGATGAATCAAATCTAATCTTAGGGCAAAATATGAAGGTACCCAATAGCAAACTCCTCAGCATCTACAGCAGCAGATTCTGACTGGACAGGAAGAGGATCTGGTGAAGGTGGCGTAGGACCATCATCTACAACGGGAGTTGAGGAGGAAGAAGAAGAAGAACGAGGAATAATGAACTTAGATGGGTATCTAATAATAGTTGGTGAGCCATTTAAGCACGTGTTGGTGTTACTATAAGGGCGCTGAGAGAAAATGGTTTGACGAGGTGTTGGAACTGAGATAACGGTAATTGCCATTCTCTCTCTGCGTGTGTATCTGTGCAGTGCAAGGAGAGGAATGAATGGATAGCAGCAGTAGCTTCTACTGCAACCATATCCCTGGTCCCACACCACAACAGCAAGTGATGGATTATATTTTTCCGGAGGAAGGGGGAAAAAAAGGTAAAGGTTCCACCGAGATTTGAACTCGGGTTACTGGATTCAGAGTCCAATGTCCTGACCACTAGACCATGGAACCCTTTGGTCAAAGTGATACACCATATGGTATTAGTGAATGATTTTCTGGAAGAAAGCCATGACGCCATCCACCGCGCTTGAATTAGTTTGATATATTAATTTACTGGACGTGGACCTCGTGAAAGTAGTAATCTAATCAACACTGTACCGGTCAAAGAAATGGATGAATTAGCATCGGGATTCGGGAGGGGGCCCAAACTGCTGGAACAGCAGACAAATCTTTGGCTTGGCTTGGCTTGGCTTGTCATGTCAAATTGCTAAATTCTGAATACAGAGGTGAGGAGTGACGAGAGTAGCGCAATGCAATTGGCGAATACATTAAAACTATAGGGAAAAAAAGAAATAGGGCAGAAATAAAGATCTACCACAATCAATAAATTGTTTTTCATTCATTAATCTTGCTGGTTTTAATACAATCTTCCACAATTAGCAGACCATCTACTCCATCTTTCCATATCAAAACCATGTCGACTTCCCATTTAATTTCTCAACTTCTCCTGAATTTGCTTCTTAAAAATAGTGGAGTACTTCGCACATTTTGTCTATTTGCATATATCTGGTAGTATGAAAATGAATCGAGCAAGAAAAAACAGAGAGAAAATTACAACAGAAAGGAGATGGGAGGAATTCAAAAAGAGAAGATGAATGTGTGAGAGAGTGAGAGAAAGAGAGACCTCTTTACCCAAAAACAACCAAAACTGAGGTTGGAAAAACTGGAAAGGATTTCCACTGAAGAATTCATAGAGAAAATTCAAGAAACTTCCTCCCACTAATTAATACCCACTATTTTGCAACTAGTATTAAAGTTATCATTGGTATCATTTTCTTCTCTCTCTTCCTTTATCCATGCATAATTTGTTGGTCCACATCTCCATCAATGAGCATCACTGAGCTGTGATGATGCACCATGTACCACCGACTGTTATGGAATTCAAAGACATTAGTTACATTAAACGGCCCGGAATCCACATGAAAATAGGTTTTCATGGTAACCCAAGCCATATCAGTCAGCACCCGTGCTCTTACATCTCGAACCTGAATGTCTAACACTTGCTCCCAATTAAATGCAAGCTGCCAACTTTGCATTATAGCATTATACCTGCATAGGCAACATATGACTCATTCAGAGTTCGACTTCAATCAAAATCCCTCAAAGGAAACATATTAACTGAAGCTTGATACAGCAGAAAATGACTGCACCACCCAATAAAATTGGCACAAGCAAAAAAGTCCGCATTTAACAGTTCTCAAGAGAAGACCAAACCTTTTTGATAATCAACACTTTCTTGTCTAAACAAGATTAATGTTTGACCCAGGATAAAAAAAAAAGGCAGAAAATGACAAATCCATGTTAGAATGATTCTCAATTTTAGATTTGATATTTCTCGAAGGTAAATTCCAAGATTTGATATTTTCCAAAACTTAGAACCAAGCATCTAATATTTTTTTTTTGATTATCCAAGAAAATCTGACGCATTCCTTTTTCAGAAACTTGACCTGCCTATTAAAACTTCAATTTTTTTTTTTTCAATTTCATCTGCATGCAACATCTGACCATCACATGATATATAGTTCATATTAATCCATTGCTAGGGCATTAAAAACTCAGGCACGAAAAAAGGCCCACCTAAGACCTAAGGGGCAACATCAGATATGCTTCATCAGTGAAACATACAGATGAAATTGAGTTTTTTAGGAATCAAAAATAATATACCAGTATAGGACAAATTAAGGTATCCAAAGCTTAATGTAATTTTGTATACCAAAATACCAAATACCCCATGCTTATTTTAACAACGAGACCAGCATACCTCAAACTCCCATCTATTTTTCCAAAAGCCAAGGCACTACTCTCCTTCCTTACCTCCATCCCCCATCCACATACAAACCCCCATTCCCCCACCAGGAAAAAGATAAAATAAAATAAAATAAAATAAAATAAAAAAAAAAATATGCAATGGAACAGAAAACTAGAGAAGTGTCAGGGCAAGCAACCAGAAATTATGTTATAATAGAGTTCTACACAAACAAGGCCAATTATAAGTATGTGAAATTCAGAGCAAAACCAACCTTATGTGTGCATCTTAAAGATGCATACTCTCCTCAACTCAAGAGATTGCTTACATCATAACTATCCATTATAAACATCCTTCACCTTAGCACCCAGATGAACTAACTAGTAAAAAATATTTAAAACTATACACTGAAGTCCTAACTCCTATAAATGCAAATGCAGTATAGATTAAATTATCTACAAGAAGTCCATATAGTTCCCCATTAAAGTTATGACACACAGAAAAGCATCGCACACGACCATGCCACTAATACTCTAACCATTTAACAGTTCATCTTAAAAACAGAGTTCAAACACTACAAACCTAAAAGGAAACCAACAAAGCCAGAAATTTTTATTTATGGCAGCAGGACAACACATTATGGAATTGTTTTTGCAGTTTAGGAAAGAATATAATGGCATACCCTGAGAAAAGTTCACCAGATGCATGAATGCACTTCACATAATCTGCATTAAGCCAAATACGGCTCATTGCTGGAAGAGACCTTTCTTTGATGATATTATAAAATTCTGCATTGGCATTTACGATAGCTCTTGTAGCCGCATAGTAAGCCTTCCAACCATTAACAGGTGTGACAGTATCTTGTTCCAATGTAAAATCCTAACAGACAAGAAAGAAAGGTGAAATATTAAAAGAAAAGAAAATTATGCAGCCGCAGAAAAGAAAGGGCAAACAATTAAAAAACCAAATTTTGCAACCTAGAAATCCCATTCTCATAAAGTTCTGTCAAACTAAAAAAAATCCTCAGTAATGAAATCACAAATCAAAATAAAAAAGAAAAATATACATTTATACATCAAGGAAAACATATATAATGATACTAAATGCCACCTATGTAAGGAAATTCCAGATTAAAACCCTTCCATGTCTAGTTGTTCAAATAGCCTCAGCAATTCCATATTAACAAACCAATTCCAACAAGCAGCACCATGAAAGCCCAAATTTAACCCACCAAGCACAAGAAGAGAAAAAAGAAAGATTAATAATTCTATAAGGGAAAAGTAATATATATAATATACCTTGTGATAAAGCGCTTTCCAGGCATTATCATCGTTAGCAGCCTTTCGCATCAACGAATTAGTCATGGACAATCTACAGAGACTTGGATAATCCAAATAACTCAGCGCGTGCGTCGTAATCTCAGGCACCAATTGCTCCATCATTGACGCCCCAGTCTGCCTCTCCACCGTCTTCTCCGTCAACGACGCAGCAGCCGCAACCATCTCCGCCGCCGCGACACCACCGTTGACGTGCCCAGTACCAGTCGCCGGCGATGAAGAATCCGAATTCTCTAAAGTCCCGTTACACGAACAGCAACAATTACAGGTTTTAGTCACCTTGGGTGACGTGGCATGAGAAGAGTGAGATTTGGGGGATTTTGATCGGATAGTGAGGACGGCGAGTAGGAGAGAGAGAAGAGTGAGAGAGGAGGCTAAAAGGAAAGGCTGTGAAGAGAAAGCAAGAGTGAGAGTAGAGGTAGTAATCTCCATTCATAAGACATTAAAGCTACGCAGAAGAACATGAAACCCTAATTAGAATCTCCCTTTTTTTTTTTTTTTTTTTTTAAACAGGTTTTAGTCACCTTTGGTGACGTGGCATGAGATAGAAGTGAGATTGGGGATTTTGATCGGATAGTGAGGACGGCGAGTAGGAAAGAGAGAGAAGAGTGAGAGAGGAGCTAAAAGGGAAAGGCTGTGAAGAGAAATAGCAAGAGTGAGAGTAGAGGTTAGAATCTCCATTCATAAACATTAACGAAAGCTAAGCAGAAAAACATGAAAACCCTAATTACCCTTTTTTTTTTTTTTTTTTTGAAAAGTTCAAAGTGTTAATTAGTTTTGTTGATTAAGGGAACCCTAATAGACAATGGTGGAGAAGAAGAGTCGAGTCGAATTACGGTTGCAGAGGGAGAGAGAAGGTGGGGCTTGTAACTCGTGACTCGTAACTGACTGGAGAAGAAATCCGAACGTGTGCCCGTGCGCCTCTGGCTCTACCTAAAATTGTTCAGAAACTCCATAAATTAACAAGATGATGTCGTTTTACTTTCTTTTTTTATATATTTTCCTCCTAATTTTTTAAGAGCAATAACCTATTTATGTATTGCATTTAAATCTAGTTTAAAAAAAGAAATATTTGTGATTTCGTGTTTGATTTGGAAAAAAAAAAATATAAGAACTTTTATGATATTTCTATATCTAAAGATTTGAATATTTATTTCAATAGTATATTCTTTTTATAAGGAATATTATTTTTCTACTATTTTAGAGTTTTAACTTTAAATTTATTTTTTCAAATAAATCAAGTGTTTAAACTAATAAATTTTTATAATTAAATATATTTAGCTATAATTCATCACGGAATACTCAAAACAAATTAATTTACCTCATCTTTTATTATATTTTTTTATAGATGTTAGTTTCCTTTTTTTTTTCTTATTTTTTATTTTCTTTTAGAAATTAAAAGAAAATTTTGAAGTTTCTTTCAAATAAAAAAAAAAGATTTAAAAAATAAAAGAAGATGAATAAATTGAATAGGTGTTTCACCTTTAATATCATTTCTTAAGTGAAATTGTCGATTTTACTTTTTCAGCAAATTACAAAAGCGTTTCATTGGAAAAAAAATTTGTTCCTTCAAATACTTAATTGCTAAAAGATAAAGTTTACACATTAACCCTTTCTTGGAATTAATGAAGGAAAATTTATGTATAGATCTAAATTTGTATTTGGTACGAAAAAAATGAAGAATTCAATCGGAGGAATTCAATTCTATGGATTTAAATATAACTAAATTAAATTCTATAAGAAAAAAAGGTGGAATTTCCACACAAATTTCATAAATTTAAAGACAAAATTATATGTCCTCGTAACCTTCAAAAAAATTATTATGTCAATGATATTTTAGAAAATCAGGACAAATGAATTTTGAATTTTAAATTTATTTCAAACATGTAATATTCATTTACAAATAAATTCTATTTGAAATTTATTTATAAATAATTCTAGATTTTGTATTCATTTATGATTATAAGAAGCATAGTATAAAGTACAAAAATTGACAATTTTCAAACAGGAATTATATAATTATTATACCTAACTTTTAGTTATAAATTTTAAAATCAACATTTTTCACCAATTTAGTGCATCTATGGAAAATCTACCTATATGTTGTGTAGCCGGTAGTGTTATTTCAAACCGTTGGGCCTCCAACAAACTAAAAAATATATTTATTTTTATTTTTTATTGGTATGATTTTGGAGATAAGCCCATGTGTTTTTTGTTTTTCCTCCTTTTCTATTAAAAAATTTTATATTCAGAGTACAAACTACTCTTATCTGCTCTTCTTTTTTTATTTTAAAAAGGAGACTTGGTTTATAAGTAAGTCCATATCCACATTTTTTTTCTACAGTAATATGAAAGCTGCAAGTAAAGGAAGGCCATGGCCAGAAATGAACAAAGTTCTGATTTTCTAGGGCTACAAAAGTTGGGGGCTAGCTAAAATTCTATTCTTTTGACATATCTGACTTAAATTAGATATCCCAAAACACTGTGTAAAAGAAAAAAAAATCTTATTAACAATTCTCAAGTTACACAGAGAGAGAGGACTAGCCAGAGAGAAGGGTGACGAATATTGTCATGGTGCTGCTAACAAGTATCATAACCCAACCTTTACTCGTCCGGCGTATCTTATCTGACTGAGAAGCTCCTAAGAATTTCAAAACTCTTGCAGAAACTAGCTTTATAGTTGCAAAGCACACGAAAAAAAGACTCACTGCTAATACAGCCAGCTCCTTGCTTTCTAGATTTGCTTGATCGTTTACAACCTTTTCAATATCTAATCTGCAGTAAGAAACGAGAAAGAAGACAGAAGACAGAAGAGGGAAGCTTGTCATCAAATATAATGAGGAGAGTTTCACTAAATAAATATCATGTATAAATGCTTGTACAAACAGATGGGGTATTCAAACCTCAACATGATATTTTCTCTGGTCAATGCATCCATATGGGAGGAGACAATAGCTTTCCATGACTCAAGGTCCATGAGTCCTTTATCCTGCAAATGAAAAAGGAGACCAATCAATAGGTTAGAGGGTAAGGAAATCATTTTGTATAACATTTCTGCACTTGGAAAATTAAATTTATAATTTGGAAGTACCGTATTTTCCTTCCATTCCGTTATGTCATTAATTTCTGTTTTGCTCTTCTCCAAAAGCACTGAAATTCTAGATAGCTCTTTCTCAAGGTCTGGCAAAATATCTCCTTGTCTCCTATTCATTTCTTTAATATACTCCTCCAGCACAGATAAGTTCAGCTCAAGTGATCTCACCTTCTGCAGCAAAATCTTTAGAACAGCATCACCAGGTATTCTGCTAACCGGCTGTTGTCTAACTTCATCTGTTGCTGGATCAGGAGTCTTGTTTACAGTCGTAGGATTCTTTGTCGTAGTTGCATAGCGAGAATGCTCATTATCATTTTTTTCTGTCTTGATATCAGCATTATCAGCCTCATTTTGGACTTTGCTATTCTTTTTATCCTCAATGGCATCTGATTCTGGCTTCAAAGGCGGTGCTGCAGTTGAATTAGGCTTTGGCAATTTATTGGAACTAGCTTCATCAGAAGGCACAAAGAGATCCTCAAGCATTCGCTCAATTGCATCAACTCCATATACCTCAACAACACTCAGTGTGCAGTAAAATTCTGATCCATAATGACTGAGTAGGTCTAATTTCAAGTACCTTACCCATTTGGGTTCAGGCAGCTTGAAGCTTTGACTCTGCTTGACATTAGCAGCAACAAAGTTTCCCAAATGATTCCAAGTTTCAGTTGGATAACTTAAACTACCAGACAAGTTAAAATCCTTGAAATTAGAAGAATAATGCTCAAAATTTGCAATTTTGACAACATCAACCAAAATCTCCTCTGAGAGCTCAATCACAATATACTTCCCTCCTACAGAACAAGGATTTCTTAAATACTTGTCTTGATCTTTCCCCAATATGTTACCGGCCCCTTTTGCTTCTTTATTATGTGCCACCACCTTAGCACCCTTCATTGCAGATGCAAAATTGTACTCTTTACCATCAGGTTCAAGCTTATGGGTTATGTTCACAAGCTGACTGGGCATTTCTTGGTCTTTCTCCTGCCTTGTTATGTTGCGAAACTCATCCAAATTGAGATAGGTGGAATGATGATTACCTTTCCCACCAGGTAGCTCTTTTGGTTTACCAATATTCCATTCTTCTGGATTTTGTGCTTTACAAACTAAAGATCTATAACCTAAAAAACTCCATATTACTTCTTCTAGCCTGTCAGTCTCTGAAATTGAGAACTTCTGATTCCCCAGGTTAATATGAACTGTAGAATTGTGACAGCTAGAAGACAAATTAAGCTGTAGCAGCAATCCATTTGCATTGGCAGAGCTTGAGTTTCCAATGTTTGAGTGTGTATCATTACAAAGCTTATCTCTGAAAACATCAGGGCAAGGTATGCTTCTGTTATTTAGAGCCAAATTCCCTGAAAAAAAAAAAAAAGAGTGTACAATGATTTTAATCCCAATATCAAGCATAAAATAAATGAACAATTTTCATACACCCTTCACAAAAGGTTGATGCTTGTTCCTTTCAGCTCCTTTTTTTTTTTTTTTTTAAAATGTTCCTTTCAGCTCCTTAAAAGCTAACCTAAAATAATGTTGAAAAAAAGAAAAGAAGAAAATTGATCATATAATTGGTGATCACAGAATGTCGTATTCTTCATGATTTCTTAACAATCATTGATTCCAATAACTATTTGATTAATTCACCTAGTCATATAACAATTGATTAGCCCAGTAGTTTAGAACTTTTATCTTATAAACTGCAGAGAAATTAATGGCTTCATCTTCTCCCATTCACACTTGCTTTCTTTCTTAAAAAAAAAAAAACCCTCAAATGTTATGGGCAATCCCAACAAGAATCAGGACATTATATGTATCGATATAGAAGAAGAAGAAATGGGTTTGCTAGAAGATCCAAAATTAAAAAAATGGGTAACAGAAAAGACAGTATAAAGATAAAGCCAGAGGGTACCAAAAAAAAAAAAAAACAAAAAAAACAAAAAGAGCACAGGGGACTTGAAGAAAAGAGAATAAGATAAAAAGGATTAACCTTCATTTTCGTGGCTGAGGCCAAGCCTAGTGTAAAACAACAAGACAAGGGACCAGAGTAAGAGAATCAAGGACAAAGAGAGCTCATAGAAGCTTCTCCTGTTATTCTTGTTATTGTTACTGGCGCTGTTCTTGCAGCTATTTTCATTGTTTCTGTTTTGAATGCTTTGGCATCGAATAGCGTTTAGTATTAAGGAGCCATTTCGAGGTGGTTTCTTCATGTCTCGTCCTTACAGGAAAAGAAGTATCTCTCTATGTATGTTTGGGTGGTTCTTGCTGTTTCCTGAACGGTGGGAGCAAAACAATGGTTGTCTTGTTCCTTCGTCATGTGAGAGATCAGAAAGCCCACCTGTCTTTTTTCACTTTTTAGTGTCCGATGGTCTGATTTCTTGTGTGGCTCATTTACCCTCCTGCTCTTCCGGAAGAAAACTATTTCTACCTTTTGAAGGCCGCTTAATTCGGATCTTTCTATGTACCAAAAATATCATTTAACTGATATTAAGGTTCTCATTCAGGGGCAGTTTTGTAATTTAAATAATATTATCTCCTGTCCTTTTTTAAGTGTCATAATTCCAAATTATGTCAAAAATAAAAAAAAAAAAAAAAAAAATCATTCGAAAACCATAGATAATTATGATTAATTTCACTCTTAAATGACCTGTTGGCAATCCATCGAACTTTGGCACAAAGCATTAACACATACAAATAATTCTGAAACTGTAAAATTAGCCTATTTTGATATTAAAATGCACCAAAAAAGAGTTCTATAAATTAATGCACCAACTAGCAGAATTATTTTCGTTTTCCTTTTCTTTTCTCTCTTGTTAGCTTCAGTTTATTCAGCCAACAAGGGCAAAGAGAAGTATATAGATTACAGAATAATTTACAATCAGCATTTTTTGATTGACAATAATTTTCATGTGTAATCTCATTTATCCTCTCAAAGAGCATGTAAGGTTCTACTGCTGATGTTTTTGTGTACTGAGTGAGTTCTGCATCTGTGGCCGTCTCGATACAAAATTGATTCGTTGCCTTCTGTGGCTGTATATGTTTCATAGGGTTTGCCCTTCTGATGGAGATAACAGAGCATAATCAAGTTCATCCTCTAGTTCTTTTCTGCTGAATGGTAGGCTTCCAGGATTTTCCTCCTGTAAAAGAAGACTTATGTGTGTTTGAGGAGGGTAACTGTCTAAAATATAATCAATTTCTTCTCCACTAACTTCCTTCTTATTAAGAAGAACCTGCAAGTTAGTTCATAAAACCATCATCAGTAGTTATCTCACTTTTAGCATTACCCTGCCATGCAAAATAAGAGAAGTTTCATTTTCAAAACATGTTTGAGCAACTATTCAAATTCAAATCTAAAAAATGCTGATGCAAGTAAAGGATAAATGTCCATCAATGCAATCTTTTACTCCAGAGAAGTAAAAGAAAAGCAAAAGAGAAAAAGATTAGTGATGTAATTCTAATACGTCTATATATCTTTTTCTCTTTTGCTCTTGTTTTTTCTTCCTTTCCTTTTTTTTTAATAAAAAAAATGTAACATTAACAGTTTTGGTAAGCATTATAATTTTTTCTCTGAAGTCAATAAATAAATAGTGCAAACAGTTGTATTACCTTAGCAGCTTTGAGCAAAGCTGCATGATGCTGTCTTAGTAAAGAAACTGTTTTTTCATACATATCCTGTATTAACTCCTCAGTTCTCTGTGCAACTTGATCATCCAAATTGAAGTTTACAGGAGGTTCAATTAGGCCGTAGTCATCATAAAGTGATCCTTCAAAGTCCAAGCGTGGGCCCACGAATCTTTCTTTCTTTCTCCAAGGAGGTGGTTCTCCATGTATAACCATTGGATTCTCCAAGTTCCATCTGTTGGAAGAATAAGAAAGACATGCTATTAAAGACCGATACAACAAAACAAAAACCAAGTGCATCAGTGAACCAAGGACCAACATGGTTATAATTTTACGAGCAAGCCAAGATGCATCTGCAAGGTAGCCAACTGATGCCCTTGATGTATCCTGCCCATAAATTACTTCTTCAGCTGCCCTCCCCCCAAGAAGTACCTTTACATGGAAATAAACACAGTAAAACAACCTGACACCATCTAAAAAAGAATTAGTTGGATTACACTAGACAACCTTTAAGTCCACACCTGAAGACGATGCAGCAGTTGAGGCCGACGCTCAAACATGTATGATTCATCATCCAGCCGATGAAAGACAACTTGTGATAATGTCTACAGACATCATTTGGAACATGTTACTATGGTTATTAAGTGACATGAAATATCAAAACGCCAAATCTAAGAGGCAACATTAAGTCATTGCACACGTCAGGTAAAGGTGTCAGCAGGCGGGTACAAAATATAAATTAAAAATAATTTTAGAAAAGATTTCCCTTATGTCATTTTGTATCAGAAATATAGAAATCTGATGCTCCAACAGTGGAACTGTAGAGTAATAGGCTCTTCTTCTGATGATACACAGTTTGCAGTAGTTTAACTCATATTCAGGCTCCTCTACTAAAATATGCTTTTAAAGTCGGCTTGGGAAGAGGTTCAGTAATATCCTTAACGCATAAGATTAAAGAGCAAGAAATAGAAGTGTTTGGATCAAAAGAAAAGAGAGGTAAATAAGGACAGAAGGAGAACCTGACCGCGAGGGATAATTGAAATGCGATCACAGCATTCAACTTCTGCATTTTCATATCGCCTAAGCAAATGAGAAACCATAGCAATTCCAACTTCAGTAATCGCTCTACGACATTGTCCCTGATAATCCAACTCTATTCCAACACGCTTCGGTCCTACTGTAAGCCGGTCAACAGCATCATCCATGTCTGACTGAATAATTGATCCATGCCCTTGCCGAACAGCAACAAGAGCAGCCTCTTGTACCAGTTGAGCTAACTTTGCTCCAGTCCATCCTGATAATTGGACATATAAATAAAAATTGAACAAGAAACTCAACAGAACCCCACCAAATACAACAAATACCTGGTAAGTTTTTTGCATAAGTAGATAAATCAACGGATTCTGACATTTTCACTTTGCTCGCATGGATTTTCAAAATTTCCAATCTCCCTTTAGCATTAGGAGGACGAATTCTTATCTGCAAGAGAAAAGCCAGGATTACAATGAGCAGGAACAACCATTAGACAATTAGAACTTCAGGAAAATGAAGATTGCAAACAAGTTGAATACAAACTTGAAACAACAAGTCAGTAAGTTCCAATGACGATTATCATCAATCATGAACATCAATAATTCTATTCGAGGCATGGTTCCAAGCTTAAAAAATCAGCAATAAATCAAGTGAAGATTTTCTTTTGTTTTCTTTTCCCAAACCCCTTCTTCTAGTGGCATAAACAAACCTTGCGATCAAAACGACCAGGTCGAAGAAGAGCAGGATCTAACAAGTCTCTACGATTCGTAGCAGCTAAAAATATGACACCTTTGCCTGTGTCAAACCCATCGAGCTCTATCAAGAGCTGGTTCAGTGTAGTTTCCCTTTCTTGAGTGGCAGCATTATAAAGGTGGTCAGTAGATTCCTTGAAAATCCCTTGACGCCTGTTAAGAAAAAAATTGAGATCTTTCAAATATGTATTGCACAGTTTAAAATTTAGAAATTTTCCTAATAAAATATAGCTAATTATGTACCCAATATTTAATGTTTCCCTTCAATATGCTGACTAAAAATTGGTCAAAAAACAACATATGTCAAAGGCTGGATCCATCTAATCCAACTGATTCATCTCAAATATCTACAGAGAAATCCCAAAGGCTCTAATGCTATCAAGGGAATTCCCTGATAATAGGTTATGAGATTGACAATTCAAGTGATCCCAAGATGGTATTGTGCTTGAAAGTTGGTATAGGTGCCATTTAAGACTATCGAATTTCCACAAGATTAAAAGAATATTCACTTCAACGAACCAATGATGATGTTCATACCTAGTTGCCAATGCATCAATTTCATCAATGAAAATGACTGATGGTTTGTTGACCTGCAGACACCATTCCATTGTAAACAATTACCTCAAAGCAAGCACTGAAAAGATGCACTCACAATGTGAAGACCAATGATATATAGTGCTTGTACAGAATGCATACTCTTCACAAAGACAACTTTAGTTAAAGATTCCATCATAACTGACTACATGTCTTAAAGTAGTGATTTTGTGCCGAAGCAATATTTTAGCACAGTAAGTTCTAGACTGATCTAGACTAATACAACAGAAAACACAGGAAGTTGGGATACAACAAATTTCCAAAATGTGCAGTCAAATTACCTTGGCTCTCTTGAATAGATCCCTGATACGAGCAGAACCAACACCAACTAAGACTTCAACAAATTCAGACCCAGCCATTTGGTAAAATGGAACGCCAGCTTCACCAGCTATGGCCTTGGCAACCAAGGTCTGGAAGAGTACTTACGAATTAAACATTTTGACTGAAAATTTCATCACAAAATTCACAGAAAAGGTCAACAAGCATAACAAACCTTGCCACATCCAGGAGGACCCTCCAAAAGTACTCCATGCGGAGGCTTTATCCCCATTTTATCAAACAGTTCTGGATTCTTCAAGTACCTAACCAACTAATCAGCAAAGGATTGAAACGAATAAGTAAGCTTCCATATATTTTGAACAGAACTACTTGGTTAGCATGGAATTTAAAAGCAGAAAATATGTAACAACTACCAAAGCAATTAACTAAAACGAGAAAAATAATAAGAGTTTCTGGGGAAGACAATGTAATTTAAGAATTTTGCACGCAGAGATGATGGATAAAAAATATGTACTATAAACTGATAAAAATAAAAAGGCGCTCAACGTTTTGGGAAAAGAAAGCAGCGGTTAAGAACAAATTTCACCATTCATAGTGGTTTATGGATGATTCTTCAATCTTCAAGCATTTGAATACCAATTAAAAACAAAATGCATTATTGATAATTTCCCGGCATTTTGACAAAACCTTCAAACCTTTATGTTTTTCCATATCCCGCATGTATAAGAAAAGGCTCTAGACAGAGCAGAGTCAAAGAAATGACGCCAACTGATTTGTATTCAAGGCTTCATAGAGCTAGTTCAGTATATATTTATGGGTACAAAGCTTCCATAATCATGATATTCATCAGTTGCATGTGAAAGACAATAAATGAAATATGTCAAGATAGGTAACAAGACACCTCTTGGAGTTCTTCTACTGCTTCATCAATCCCTGCAACATCCTTAAATTTAACTCCTGTTGAACCCTGGAACAACATTCCAAAAGGAAAAAGAAATTCATGCATAACTTGTCAAGTTTAAAGAAAAGGTCAACAATGAAATGCTTAGAAACTGACATCAACTCGAGCTTCTGCTTTAGAACGTGAAAAGTCAATTCCTTGCCATAAATCCTGCAAAATATAGAAACTATATGACTACAACAATCAGGTCAGGGATCAAACAAAAGAGAATCAAGCAATATCAATATATAGCAGAGTAGTGTAGATAGTATTAACACATACCCACTTCCTGAAGTTTTTAGGTCTCCTTGAAAGGGTGAAACGGACTAGAAGAACCATAGTCAAAAGCACAAGCATGATAGGCTTTAGCATCTCAATGCTGGCAGATACACCGCCAAAAGTGTAAAATTTATACAATTTAGAGAAGACTCCTCCATCACTGAAAATATCAACAAGACAATCTGCAATTCCCTCAAAAATACCAGAGATGATACCAAGAAAAAGCTTAAAAAATGGCTTCGCTATAGGCCACGCAACATATACAGTCATCACAAAGATGAAACTGGTAACAGCAAATACTGCAGAAGCCAGGAACCCTCCAACTACAATTGCAGCAGCAGCTATCACAGCTGACAACATTCCAAGCTCTACCACCATTCTGCTAGATATGGAAGATGCAATTGGATGAGGGTAATCTGGCAATATTCCCACTAAAGACTGCAGTAAAAGATAAAGCAGTAAGTAAGGCATACATCTGTGAACAGTATGCATCCAAGTCCATGCCATATTCACAATGTTTCATGAACATTTTGTTCTTAGATGACTTGGTTAGTACGATATCAAGTATATATTTAAGAGACCTTATACCTTCGTGATTAAAAATGATAAATGGACTTCCCCACACAACAAAGTCTACTAAATGCACTAAATTGAAAGAAAGAAATATTAACAAAATCAATTGAAGAGGAGTCGAAAAATTGGCCACCTTCATGTGCTTCTCTATTTCATACCGTGGACCCTTGTACTCCTCCAGAAGTAATTGAGCTTCATTCTCATTTAGTCTCATTGCCCTGCATAAAACATTTACAAACATAAGTATATCACAAACATCCCTAGCAAATACAAACTTAAAATCAAACTATCAGTGCCTAACATTTCACCATTTGGTTCTGTGTAAGCTCTTCTCGCCAGGAATTTCCTTCAGATCTACAATGAAGTCTCTGTGACCATTTCCTAAAGTACTGCCTGCAACTTCCTTAGAAGTCAACAACTTAACCTTATCACTCTTCATTGATTTCCTAAATTCCGCAAAGCTCATCTTGGGCAGCTCCTCCAAATTCCTATCAAACTCCTCTTCCTCAGATAAATCTGCGCCGAAAACCTGCTCAGGAACATATAGCTTACCTTTATATTCCCTCAAAATATCCTTCAAATACACAGTCTCATCCTCTTTTTGACTCTCATTTCTTTCTTTCTTAGATTTTGCTTTGATATTCAATCTCTTCGCTAAAAATTCAAAAAAATCCATGTTCTGACTCTTGCTCAAATTTTGTCTCTCTTTCAAAGAGTAGAACTTGTCGCCAACTAGGTAAGTAGGCTCAATTTGGCTAGGGTTTTCCTTCAAAATTCTCGTGACAAAATCATCTTTTTTAGTGTCACTGGGCCGTGGAGCGGAGCCTGAATTCAACTCGCATAGAACTGTGAATGATTGGTGAAGAAATAGCGTCTTTGACCGAATTTTCCGAGTGCATTTCAAGGATTTCTGGTAGGGTTTGGGAAGATAAACCCTAGCAGACAAAAGACTGCCAATGATGGTCATTACTTAGCTAAAATTTGTACTTCTAGCATCTAACAAATCTGGCGTTGCGATGTAAATTGATACAATTGCAGTAAATTGAGCTCATCTTTTAGCAGAATTGCACATCAAGATTTTCCCAAATTCGAGTTTTTGAGGAATTGAATTGAAAGTCGAAGCGAGTGAGCGTGTACTGTGTAAGACTGCAAGTAAACTGTTTCCGGGTTTATCCAAAATCTGATTAGGTTTTAAGCGGATTCGTGACAACATGGGTCGGGTTCAAGAGGCCGTTTGTTACTGGATTTTCTTGTTGGAATTGAATTACGCTTGCCCGGTTCAAGAACAACTAGTACCCGACCCTGCTTCTAAGATGACGTAAATCCTCTTTAAGGTCTCTTCCGCATTGGCACAATGGATTAAATGGCGTAACGATTCTATAATCCCCAACCTTCCTCCTGTGAAAACCAAACAATATAAATAATACCCTAAACATTACCTGAAAAGATGTTACCGACATTTTCTACATTTTGTCTTGGTTTCATGCAAACGCCTATAAGCCTTGGATTAGTCATGAATTGATGATTAAGAGAATGATAGTGATTTAACTTGAAAACGAATTTGCTAATAGCGTTAAGTTTGGAGGGGAAAAACAAGAGGCAACTGAGGTCTATTTTTATTTTACTGGATCCTCATCTATCCGAATTACTCTTCATTTGGATTCAAATTGGTACATGACTCGCCCTTTCTTCTGTACATATTTGTTCTCGAGTCTAAATTCTGCAGCTTGTTTTTAATGGTAACTGTTGTTTCATTCTGCTGCTAGTAACATGCAAGATTGGCTTCCTTTGGTTTCGAGGTTCTTGCAATGGGAGCCATCAGAAATACAAAGGAAACATCCATTCATGCACGCTCAGTTTCATAACACCCAGTAGATCTCATTCTGTTGATTCTACTGGGTTCAACTAAAACAAATTACACTTCCTTTCCTTCTGCTGGCTAGACACAAGCAGCTCAGCATACATCGTGTTGCAAGGCCATCGCTTCTAATGACGTATCACATGATATACATGGAGGTAAGACTCAGGTATCAAGTTTTGATCAAGACTTCATATTTCGGATGTGTACAGTGGCAGAATTTATGAGTCGGGTTGTATGCTGTGATCATTTTAGCATAGCAGCAGCTTTGAAGGACAAAGGAAACAACAAATTAGAGACTGATTGATTTACTAGTCATAGCAGATCACTTTTTTCCTTTTGCTGTGCAGATTCTATGTACTGTTCAGCAAGTTTCTTCACTTTCTCACCTTCCTTGATTAGGAAATTTGCATTCTTTGCATTTAGATGGTATTTCATAACTTTATCAGTAGTTTTTGCAACAGCCCACCTGTATTGTTCAACAGTGATTATGCCACTTTTACACAATGGCCTGATGTGCTCTTTGATGTAGGTTTCAACCTGCACATAATGAGAATTGCTAGTCAATTAGAAGTCTGCAAAGATAATGATAGCAGCAGAGAAGTGAATCGTGGATAGGTCACAAAGTACCTTCTTTGAAACAGAATTGACAGCATTACTCTGTTGGTTATTGTCAATTTTAGATTTATCATTCTTTGGAATATTTTCACTTGTTCTGGATTGGTTGGATGAATTTTCTCCATCACAGGAGTTTTGACTAATGGAGGTAACAATTGTATGCTTAACTTGGCTTGGAACTTTTGTCTCAGCTTGACCTTCAGGATCAACCAACCCATATAGTTCTCCCGAGGTCTCTTCTGAAAATTTTTGTATTAGTGGTTCCTTGTCTGGGCCATATAGTTCTTCACACTCTGCGAGAGAAAGTTCTTCACCTTCTTCATTGGGCACAAGCTCTGGAGGAGCACAAGATTTATCAGTTCCATCCTCTGTCAGGGAACTAATGGTGCCCATTTCATTATGACCCTTCAGTAAGGAGGGAGAATGCTTGGATTCTTTGGTTTCTGCCAACTCTTTATGATTTACCATATTTTGATCCTCGTTCAACCTTTCAGATTTAAGAGTGGAGAAGACAACTTTCACCCTTGATTCACCTTCTTCTGGAGGTAGCTTTGGGGCTTTCATAGCAGCAGCACCAATATAGTCTTCATCTTCCAAATCATATTCAAAATCGCCGTAAATATCCACCTCTGGGTGAGAATCTATTTCAAATATGTTATCTGGCCCTTCTTCTTCATTTTGCATTGGGGAATCAGCAACTTCAGTAAATGCCTCCTTGTTATGGCATGGACTACTTGGAGGAGAATCAGACAAAAGCCCAGCATTTTTCAATGCATCCCTAACTTCAGGATCAGTCGGAAGTTTGTCACCAGTTTGTTCTGATTGATCAATAGGCTGTACTAACATGGGTGAACAATTTGACTCCTTGGCTCTACTAGATTCTGTGGTATCTGATCGATGCAATATTTCCTGGGAACAAAGGTTCAAATATACTAATTTGCTGTTTGACTTATCAGCAACCTCTTTCTCAATATTAATTGCATCTGCAACAGCCAACTCCGTTTCTGCTGTTCTGCAAATCTCTGGCAGATTTACTTTCCTCAAGAAGTGCTCCGCCAGACGATAAAGCTGTGTCTGCACAACAACGAGAATTAGTTAGCAATGAAAAGTTCATACTTAGTCTGGAAGGGTATGGAAACTATTTCCATTGAGCTTAAAAGTTATATGCAGGAGTTAGCCTGATTCTCCAGTAATTTAAGTAATGACCAAATTATTCAGAATTTGCCAATTCTATCCCTGATCTGAATTCGATAATATTAAAGAGATTGGGAGAGGAACGGTCAGCAACCAGTGGCAACACAAGTCTTAGTGATAGAAAAGCTAGAATTGTGGATAAGCATGGCATTGCTGATGATGTAGGTGGTGTTTAAGCAACAGTAGACTCGTGAATGAATAAGGTGGCCTACTAACATGTGGTCTCTCTTTCTAATTGTTATTTTAAGTTAAAGCAGAAGGTCAGCTATTCTGGGCCCTCTACTTTTCCTTTTTCCATAAAAAGCAACCTAAAGCAGTAAAGCATGACTTAAGGATGCATATCATCGGCGACGCCTGGTCATGCACAAGCATTACTTACCTGCCTAACTGATATGGGAATTTTATTATGGCGACTGGGTGCCAATACTGGTCTCATGTTTATTGGGAGTTGAGCCTGCTCACATAAGCCAGGAAAAGGTAAAAAGCATGTATTAACATCAATTTGCAGAATGTATTTACTAAATCAAACATCTACATCTATTAAGGAGAAAGTAAAATGCATACTAGTAAGGGGTAATTTCCTTTAAGTATAGCATTGTCTTCTTGTTCTCCTTGCATTGTATTCGTAAGTGAAGCAGCCTTTTTTCTTGCAAGTACCTCCATAGCCCATTTTCTTTTGTCAATTTTTTTATCATCAGATTGAACATCTGTTCCCTTATGTGAATTGACTTTAGAACCACCTAAACAAGCCCGCAAGCTTCCCTGTGGGGCTTTGTTTGGATGTGGTTTGCTAGAAGCAGCTTTACCCTTTGAATTTGGAACTTTATCCTTAGACCCATTATCATGAACTGAAGGAACAGCAAACTTTGAAGAAACTTTATTTGCTTCTTTTCTTTTATGTGAACAATCATCAAGAGATGGATTCTGACCTTTTTCCATTGAATTGAGCTGTCCTTTATTCTGTTCAGAATTATTTGTAACTGTAAGAGCTGAGAGAGGTTTTATATTGTCCTTTCTTGGAAAAACAGATGTATCTGCTAAATACAATCTGGAGAGAATGGGATTTGTTGCCCGACTCTCGGACACATGCTCCATTTCTGAGCCTTCTGGGTTCTTTCTCAGGAGGTTAAGAACTGACTTCAAAGTTGCAATCTTTTCGGGCTTTGTGCAGCGATGCTTCCAAAATTCAACTTCACAGTCCCGATCCCATGCACGTCTTCGCCTACCATTAGAATTTCCATATATTTTCTTGGTCAGATTCTCACGAATTTTACCTTTCTGCAGTATAGACTTCTTTGCCTTCAGAGCAGAAGGGGGTAATTTCTCAACAACTTCAGTTGTACGTTCTGCTACGGCAGTACGGAATGCAGTAAGAAGCTTTGGATCAAAAAGGTGTTCCCCAATATCTGCATTATTACGCACAGCTTCTCTTATTTCTGTTCTAAGTTTTTGAACAACAACAGATGATTCATTGTCTTCTGTAGCTCTCCTCATGATCTTTTTGACTCTCAAGCCGGCTGCATTTTCTTTTTCTCTTGAAGACTTATCAGCCTGGCTCTGGTTTGCAAGCCCTTTAGAAGTTCTACGACTAATCCCCTGAACTATGTTCATTATATCAGAAGGCACATCTTCCTTATCTGAAGGTTTCTTTGATTTGACATCTTTGGAAACTGCTCTCTGGACAGGACATCTAGCCGAATCATCGGGAACAAATTCATCAGTTTGATCCTGAGGAGTCATTTGAAACTTGCCCTTGGTCCTAAATTTCTTTCCAAAAGTTGAAATTTCCTTCTTAGCATCATCTTCCTCGTCAACAGCAGTCTTAAGAGCACCATCACTGGAAGATAAGCAAAATTGAGTCAGAGATTTTCCACCTGGAAATAGTAATGGACAACTAGTTATTGAAAGGCCTATGCCTGTTGACAGGCAAAAGACCGTTATAAGTGATATAGGCTACAATGTCGCTTATTGTTGCATTTTATGTGCTCGCATTTTGTTCTTAAAGCCAATCCCTTCTGCTTGGGAGAAAGGTTAGCAAGAGCTATATTGGCACATTTCTCAAAATCTTTGACACACTAAACATACATAGGCACTCTATATACACATCAACTACATTTATATTATATTTTAGTTTTTAAATTAATGCCATTAAATTCTAAATGATAATATCATCTTATAATCAATAATTAAATATCCATACTTTTTCTTGAACCTCTGGACATCAATCTATAATTAGATGGCACTGTAATATTCTGATGTCGGACTAGTAACCTCCGCAAATTATAAGAGGAAATTTGATAAAAGTATTGCAAGTAACCTGCAATTTGTAGGCTTTCTTTTTAATCCAATCATTTTGACAGCCTCCTCATTAGCATCAAGTAGAATCTTCTCATCTGCAAACATTAGCAATGAGGCTGCATGATGAAATGTATATGCAAATGCCTTAGACAAAATAAAAAAAGACTATAAGAGACTTATTTAATCTCCAGAGCCTTAATAAAGGCCTGGATTATTTTACATATGGATGAATAGGTTACATTAGTCCCTTCAGTACCTTTTAATGAAGTATCTTCTGAAAGGCTTTGCTGATGTACATCCTCAGTCCCTTGATCTTCAGTTCCATCACTCTTTGCATGATCAGCTGTTAGTACATTAAATACTATTAAAATTACACATTTCCAAACATACAAAAGATATAAATAACTCCTGTGCTATTTATCCATGAAAACCAAACACACAACAATTACATTGGCAGAATTACCAGACAGAAAAGAGCTGACAGATAAACCAAGATGAAGACCTATACTGCCTTCATTTTGGGACAGATCATTTCCAGCATCGCGGTCATTGAGCAACTTGCTCAAACAATCTTTAACACTATCAGAGTTATTTGGTTGATTCTTGATACTATCAGCACTTGTACAAAGCTCGAAGGAAGTAGAAGGCAGTCTGAAGGAAGTATCACATGATAAGGACAGTTCAAGTCCCTTTCCCTCCAAGATTGGTTGACCATCAGTCTTTTCACCAGAAGGTGTTTCTGCCTTAATACTATGGCAATCAGCTGCATCAACTTTCAGATCCTTGTCAACTTCTGGGGCTGGGTGAAAGTTCTCACCTTCCTCTTCTGTCCTTTTATTTCCTTCCACCATTGAGACAACAACAGCAGTCTCCCCGGCATCAGCAACAGACACAGACAGCTTCCCAGAAAAAGAAGCATTGGCCAAACAGTCAGTATGAGAACTTTGACCAGATAGGTTATTTGGCCTCTGTATAGGAGTTGCATCAGTTTTATGTGGTACTTCACCAACCACACATCTACAGCAAACCAAAAACCAATAATATTTCAGAAATATAGGAAGAAACTTTTCCTGGGTTCATTTATTTTTTTCTTGAAGACAAAAAGCAAGAACTTGCTTCCAGAAGGTGTTGTATACGCTAGGTTTTCAGGCCTGAAAGAGGAAAAGCAGGAATGTGGAATCCACATAACATTGTCCAGGCATAGAAAGACCAAGACCATGACATTAAAAAAAAAATCTATATGGTTATTTCTTATTTCTAAAAGTTATTTTAAGAAGAATATTGCTTTATTTGGTTTTCATCCAATTAAACAAATGAACACTAAAAAGGGATATCTAAACCTATCGGCTTGCTGTCCACAAGCAAGTACAAGGCAGCCAACTAAAGGGAAAAAAAAAAGATGGGAAGACCCATAAGTGGCAAACTTCCCATGTTAACTTATATAAACAAAGAAGTCCTGCAGATTGAAGAAGCATTCTCTGACTACATTCACAGGACCACAAAGAAAAAAGGAAAGAAACCATAAACGTGACATTATCCAAAAAATCACCTTTTCTTTTTCTAGCAAATATATTTAACTATGAGAAAGAAGATTGCAACATGGAGGATAGAAATCATCCTAGCTTAACCAACATGGAGGACAAAATTATCATTTCTTGTAATTTACCTTGGGCATAGCCATGTATCCTCGGATGTACTTTCAGGATCAAAGCCTACACAAAAGGCATGGTACCTACTCCCAAATATGACAAGAAGACAAATAATATATGTTTTAGTAACTGCACAGAATATAAAACAGAATCTAGCTTAACATATCATCATAACACGATCTTGCGTGTCAATTCCAGATAAGAAATGCCAAAATAATTAGACAACTCCCCTACCCAAAAGCAGAAACTTATAACATATTGTCTTATAATTTTGATTTAGTTTGGTTTTGCTGCATTTTCATATGTCAGTTGAAAATCAAATAAATCAATTCAGTTTAATTTGGTTTCAAACTGAAATCAATAGTAGATGCGACAAAACCATAGTTCTATTCGCTTCAGTTTGGTTGAACTAAATCAGTTTGGTTGATTTAGTTAATTTTAGTACAATTCCACCAAAAACTATACAGTGAAGTAGCTTTGCTTAACCTGCATTAATCTACATGTAAAATTCTTCTATAATCCAATTTAAGGGATCAAAAAATTTACCAAATGTCACAAGAATCACATGCAATTGAGGTATCCAAATTAGAATCATCCTCAATTGTTGTTGATCCACTTCGAATTTTGCACCCATCTCCATCCAAGCAGATAACTGCCTACAAAATGACAAAAGCAAGCAAGAATTAGCACATGGTTACTATATTTTTGAAGTATATAGTAGAATACAACATTGAACTATAAAAGGCTTTATCTTAGTTTCTGAGATACATTAACTTCCCTGAGGAGTTCATTTTGATAAAAGGCATTCAAGTTTCAATTCTGTACATTCGAGTATCCAAGCTGCCATGAAAGAGATCTTTCCATGTGCTAAAAATATTAATTAAATAATTCTTAATGAATATTGTACACAATCTCAGATACACATACAAATGGCCAAATGCCATAGCATGTGAAGCAAGGAGCAAAAGATGGACTTTCAACCACAAGAGTAGAGCTGCATTTGTACCAGTGCATGAACTATTCCCACATAAGCCTATTACTGCCAGAGTTTAATGCTAGAAACGTTAGGTAACGACTCCGAGGTTGGAGCATTCAAAACTCTCATAGGTCATTAAAGTTGTCTAGTGAAATACACTTCATGATTTCTGATATATGTGAAGTTTACTTAGTCAATGTATTTGGCTGAGGTCAGAGTAGTTACAAAAGCTGGAAACTTTAATCCTCAAAGACATTTGGTAAATTGGCCATAAGACATCAAATGATATATATGGATTATACTTACATTTTCATCAATGTAGTATGATGGAAAAGAGAGAGTGTTATTCTTCCCTTCAATACACCACTCATCATCCCTACAGCACAGATAAAGGAAAAGAAAATCAATCATTGATCAAAACCCCAAATAGAGGAAAATACTCAGGACCTTGATCACTACAGAATAAACATAAAACCACAAATAGCGCAATCATGGTTCAAAAATAAAAGATGCAACGTAAATGTATATAAAAACAATACAAAATATAATATATCTGAGAGACTGATATCTTCTAAATAAAATCATCTTTCAATCTAAGCTATGAGTCCATATTCTAACTCAGTCTTTGATTGAAAGAGCTTTTATGGATTTGCTAACTGGATGATCACAGTTTGTTTATTAGTGTTTAAAAGTTAACCAATCCATTGGTACTAATAAACCAAGCAAACAAATGTGAAAGGTTCCAAGTTCCTAAAAGAAATTATCAGTAACATGGAAATTGCAAAGTTAAGAAAAGAATACCTGGAAAATGAATCATCATCAACCTTATTGTTTCCAATGATATCATACACCTTCATAATTAAAGGGAAACATTTTAGCCGTCACTTTGCACAATCTTATGAATTTATTGGTCGTTTGGACTGATGGAATGTTAAATCTATAGATTCCACAAAATCTTGGAACATGAAATCCATGGAATTTGAAAATCTATGGAATTTCACATTCTATCATCTGGTTGGGAAAAAATCCATGGTTTTGAAGGATTTTTGGGGAATAAAATTAAGTGGGTTAGATTCCATCATTTTAAAGAAAAAAACAATGGAATTGAGAGGTGGATTTCTCTCGCTTCCAAAAACCACAGTGGAATTTTATCAATTTCATTGAAAAGATTTCTCAGATTGTTTTGTTCTCAACCAAATAAAAGAATCTGACAAATCCATGGAATGTAAATTCCATCAATCCAAATGACCTTTTAGCTTCCACATAATTTTTTGAGTGGTACTCTAGGATATGGTAAGTCCACAGAAGTTCTCAAATAATAATGACAAAGAGGTGAAAAAAGAAGTTTACAGTAAAATGAGGATAGAAGGTGATGCTCAATAATTTTTAATCACTCACTGGAACACATGTGATCAATTGAAACTCATTCTGGCAAAGAGGGCAAAGGTTTGTAATTGTTGCCCAATTGTCAATGCAACCAAAACAGAACCTGAAATTCACAAAATAACCAAGTCACTACTTATTTCTGGTACATTGGATGGTACAACTGACCACTTTTAGTATGCATTTGATCCAAGGAACAATATAAGTTGATGGAAATATAGACAATGTCCTGCTTTGGATAAACTCAATCAAACTTGCCATTTTAAATTAAATCAGTAATCCCCTTCTAATTTTGTAGACCCACAGTGAAATACACTTCAAGTAAGGAAAAAAGACAAAGCTAGAAAGAACTGAAAGATATATACCAGTGTTGGCAGCAATCAAGAACCCCCCTGTCAATGATAATGTCCATACATATCCCACATCTTTCGCCCTCAAAATTAGAATTATCCTGCGTATTATAATATTTAATAAAATTTTTAGTTAAAAACATATCATAAACTGTTAGCAGCAACTTTTAACTTATTTGCCAAAATGCTAATGCTCAGTGATAGATGTTTCTTGAGGATCGATCATGCAGCCATATCGTAATATGGACATAATTTTTAACACTCATGCAACCCCTGATACTCCAACTCATTTTTTAGCCTACTGACAGATACAGTTCACTAGAGCTAATAAACACAAGTTTCAATTTTTAATATGCGTGTTTCCATTAAGTAGAAATATAATTCACCGAAAATAATGATCAGCTTGCCATCAGCGAAATAGACCCAAAAAAAAATTAAAATTAAAATCAAACGAGAGAATGCAATTACTTGAAACTTACATTGTTCTCCTCAACTTCAATACTCTCTTCTTCCAATAAGCCACCCGTAACAAAATCCACCTCCATTATCATATCTTACACTGAACCAAACTGTTCGATTAAAATCTACACCACCGAAACGGGAAACAAAAGCCAAAAATTAAAAAATCGAAGCACACTTAAACAATAAGCTAACGAAACTTTGATTATGCAACTTCAGCTCTGTTACAAAAAGTTTCATCTTCGATTAATTTGGAAATGAGTAAGTCTGATTGGAGCAAATAAACTAGGATTTTTTGAAGGGAAAGATGGAGAAATTAGAGGAATATAGAGAGGCAATTAGGTCAAACAGAGAAATGAATACCTATAACTGAAGCTTATGCCACGGTTGATGAAAATCAGCATTTTTCGGTGGGTGTATCAACCTCTGGAAGTGTCGCAGATTGAGCATTGAAGAGAAGAAGAAAATGGCAGGTGCGTAATTTTGGATGTTTGGTTGCGTTTCTATGAGAAAAACAGGTTTTGTTCATGAAAAAAGAAAAAACCGTGTCTGCTTCGTTTCTGTTTATTTAATTTAATAACAGAATGAAATTTGATATTTTATTTCGCGTTTAATCTTAGCCCCTCCATTAACATTGAATTACAAATTTTCTTGCAAAAGAAAGAGCTGTCTTTCGACGACAGAGAGAAAGCTTGAATACGACACACAAACAAGGGCTTATCAATAAAAATAAACCGCGAGTTTCATTCTAAAGTTGTCGTTCGAAGACCACGACAAAAACAAATATACCGAACTATTCAAAATAAAAACACTGTTCCATTTCCTAACTGGTCCAATTGGTTTTTTACAGTAGAAAAACTTAAAAAATAGAAAAATTTCAGATTCGAGAGCTCTCAATTAAAAACATAATTAAATTCAATTTTTAGCTTGGGGTTAAATTGTAACAATTCTTTTATTTTTGGCACAATTAAGTTATATATTTTGTTTTAAACTAAATAAAAGTTTATTATTTACATTTTCAAAAGATGGAAATTGAAATTTTAAAAAAAAAGTTATAAGACTAATATATATAAAGCATAAAATTATTTTTAAATATTTAAAATTCATCATAGTTCTATATATTTAATTCAATTCATAAATTAAAAATTCAAGATAATCATAGTTCTTCATATTTTATTTTTTATTTTTGTATATTCTTATTTATATATTCAAAAATAAAAAGATATAGAAATGAAAAAACAATTGTAAATCATAGAAAACCAACTTTGGATTTGTCTCCATTCAAACCTCATTGCCCAAAATGTAAATGGAAAAGCTGCAATATGTCAGAGTTGAAACAAGTTGGCTGACTTGTCTCCGTTCACCAACAATAAACAAATGAGAAAGAAGCAAGTCAATCGGTGATGAGGTTAGAATGCACGACACCGTCCAATAATTCTTTTATTTATACTAAAGATAAATGCTTTTTGATTGGTGATTAACAGATAGATTATCAATCTCTTTTTCTGCTTAAACAAATATAGTTAACATGTCAGGATGAGGCAAATACAGCTACTGATCTAAAGAAGAGAACGAAAAGTGAAAATTAGGAGCTCTTCGTAGCTGGAAGAACAAGAACACTATCCAGGTAAAGCCTAAGTATCTTTTAGCCAACCTGATTCTGTATCATGCTTTTTCAGGCAAAGAGAGACATTTTTTCATGTCTTTTACTGTTGCTTCTTTTTGGCTGGAGTTGGTGGGGAACGAGATTTTAACACTTTTCTGCCCTCTTTAGCAATTTGCTTATCTTTTGTATATGGGTCCTACGTACTACAGTTGCAGAAAGATTCTTATTAGCTGAATTGAGTTCTTCTTTATAAGCTTAACAAGTCAAAAGTAATTAATGTCCATCTTGGGTTACTGGGTGTTGGCTATTTTGAGTATGAGAGTAATTTTTTGGTTGGGCACTGTTAGTCTTGGGTTAACTTCACCTAGTTTGTTTTTCTTTGGAGACGTTTTATTTTGACATTAGCCAAAATTGCAAGTTGATTCTTAGATCGCGTTGAGTGGAAGTTTTGAGATGTTATCTTAGAAAACTTCTTGCCAGTAATTGGTCACTTCACTGTTGAAAAATCAAGATTCGTGCTTTATTATTTGTTTGGATTGTTGATTATTGATGTCAAGGGTGGCCAAAGGCTAATTCATAATAATTGTTCAAAACAACAGTCACTCAGTCCGTCAGATGGCTACTTCGCCTTCAATTAGGATGACTAAATAGTTAAGGCTGCATGTTCTTGGATTTGAGAAGTTTCTTGTTAAGGCAACGAACTCCAAAAGTTTCCGACTCAATTATTGAAATTTATATGATAACGTCATATTCCAAAGCTTTTTTTTTTTTTTTTTTCGGTTTAAAGATGAGGCAGAAATTACTAGGTTTCTTGATTTCTCTGATGTTCAAAGGATACAATGGCCTGTAGCATATGGGATATGGTTACTTGGACTAAATATCAACCATAAGAATGGTTGTAGTACCAGTAGCAGTAGCAGTTACCGTTACTAGAGATAGCCACTATTTGTCTGTGTCTTATAATTCTTTTTTATACTTTAGGCAGCGATTCAAAGTACAAAATTTTCAAGAGTGCTTGGACCTTTTACTCTCATAGTCTCATAGGAAGAATGAGTCTGTTACATGCTCCCTAGAAAACAAAACACTTACCATTCTGAAATACTTCCTAGGAATAGAAGTTGGGATCTATCTTTCCCAGGCGTTCTAAAATCAAATGTACTTAATTCATACAATATCTTGAAAGAAGTATCTCAGTGATTTTTCAGGATGTTCAGTTAACACTCTGTTTTTCATTCTGGCCAGCAGCGTAAGAAATAATTACTTAACTTAAAAGCATATCTTGCATCAATTTATTGCTGCCTTGTATGTGACAGATATCTATTTGAAATCCAGGTTTGCATAAACACCTTCCGCTTCCTTTTGCAGACAACTGTGTCAAAATGCGTGCTTTTAAAGGCTGCTTTAGCTTGAGCCAATCCAGAAAATCTGGACGTGAGGATCCTATCAAACTCGCTTCTGAGACACCATGTGAGTAGAAATTCAAAGAGTTATTCTTATTATTCTCCTTTTACATCTTAGATAAATGAATGAGCGGACCAATGAAACAGAAACAGAATGGATAACTGCCTGCAGGAAGTTCAATGCTTATTGCATTCTACATTCCGAAGGAATATAGTCCTGGTACTCCAGCTCCCAGTGTAAGCTTGCTAGTAGTTTCTTAGGGTGTGTTATAAATACACTGCAAAATTTGTTGCATCATCATCTCTTGATGCTTCACAATTCTTACATCTTTTTATGTTTGATGGATTCATCTCATGTCTTGCCATGTGCTTATCTAGTCCAATGCTATGGTGTATCTTTGCACTCAAATGATCTTTCCACAAATCTGCTTGTGATTCCTGCCATGGCCTTGTGAATTTCCATGAAATTATGCCCAGCATCAATTAGATATCTTCTCCTACCTTTCTGTTACATTATTTTGACATGCCTTTCACATCATGCTTTAATGCCTGGTGCACTTTTGTGCTATGGACTTGGCACCAATTTTAGAGCGCCAAGGTTTTTCTGCTTTCCTAGATACGTTGATAATATATTGCCTCTCTGCTTCATGTATATGGTGTGCTTATTTAGATAGAAGGGAATGCCACTTTATGGTGCCCCTATCAAACCAATGAGCAACTTACTTGACAAGTTGGATGTGTTATGCAGGGATTTACATTTATTGCCATCCATCGGTACTTCATGGTTCATCATATTTCTATAACTTACATGTTTAACGTTTGATACTTTTAATTATTTCAGTCAGTGTCAACGAGGTAGAGGCTTTGTATGATCTATTCAAGAAGCTGAGCAGTAGCATAATTAAAGATAACCTCATTCACAAGGTACCTACATTCGGTCTTGTCAAGTATGCTATTTATTCCTTGTGAGAGCATCCTGAAAGCTATGGTTAAGCTAGCTGAAGGCCAGTGGGATAGGGGTTTTAGTTTTTCTTATTTAACTATAGTAAGTGCTGATTTCTTTCTTTTACGAACAGGAAGAATTCCGACTTGCACTTTTTAGTAACAGCAGTAAGCATAATATTTTTGCAGAAAAGGTATGCACTCTTCCTCTAACTTATTACTTTATTTATGGTTTCGTATTTGTAGTTTTGACTAATTTTCTACAGGCATAAGACGTTCGCATAAACTTTAACAATATAATTGACATGCCTCGTGTTTTCACTATCATTACAGATCATACAATATTTAGATTATTAAAGGGCTCCATCATTATATCAGAACATACTCGACTGTAGTTTTCTGAAATTATTGTAAAATAGCATTTTATGAAGGAATGGATAAATACATGTTGGTCATTAGATGTTTGTCCGATCTAAGACATGGTAGAGAATTATTTTGCAACTGATCTTCTCTGTTGAACGTCATCTTTTTATTTGCTTACTTAGCTATGCCAAATTTCATCAAGACGATAATATATCATGTCACACCAACCTACTACAGGTATTTGACCTTTTTGATGTCAAGCGCAATGGGGTAATTGAATTTGGTGAGTTTGTTCGCTCATTAAGCATCTTCCACCCGAATGCTTCTGAAGCAGAAAAAATTACATGTATGTTACCCTATGCATAGGTTTCTTCTTTTCCATATGTTCTTTGGATAATAATATGAAATTTTATGCACGCAACATGTCTATGACTGCTAAACTGTCTAAAATCTTCTTTCAGTTGCATTTAGATTGTTTGACCTACGTGACACTGGCTATATTGAGCGTGAAGAGGTAAAAACCACAAAACAAATCTCTGACCTTACATTTTCAAGGTTATCACAAATGCACTTAACAACACAATATGAATCATTCTTTGGCATACACTGGATGCTCATAGACCATTTTTGCTTGGAACTTCAAGATTGTTTATCTTCAATCAATGTGATTAAGTAGAAAATGTTGAGGCGATTGTGAAAGATATGACAAACAAGCTTGGTTCAGCAGTCGAAAGCTTAGTGGTCTGCAGTTGGCTTTCAACTTGGCTAAAGCATTTGGTAAAAGAACTTTTTTTCCAGATTTTAATTATCGAGTGTCCACTACCAGCATTCTAATCATGTAAAGGACTGTTCAGCTTACAACATTGATATCCTATGGCCCCCCTGCTGCAATGATCCCTAGTGTGATTGCTAGGTCAGTTAATTCAGCTATCAATGGATTGAAGGTAGGAAAGAAAAATGTTAGCTGTGAATCATTATCACAGAACTTGTTCAATGCTTTAAAAGATTGTTCTTCCCTAAATTATTGAGGAGGAGAAAAGAAGAAAAAGCTCCAGCTTTGCAGTTGCCAATTAAGAAATAGCCTAAGGACTTCATCTCATTTGTTCATCTCCCTCTTATACTCTGCCCTGTTCAGTTCTGCTTCTTAGCGATAGTAATGTCTATTTGTTGTTTTAACTTGCATTATTATATGATAACTATTTGACGTTTTTATTTTTTGATTAATTCACAAATCTAATTTTCAATCGTTTTGTAAATGTCTGTGATGCTGGAAGTTGAAGGAGATGGTATTGGCTGTTTTGGCCGAATCAGATACAATACTTTCAAGTGATGATATCGAAACCATTGTAGATAAGGTGTCAAGTTTTCTAAAATGCATAATTTTTAAACTTCACTCAACCTTCTACACATTCATTCTTATTATTACTATGATTTTACAGACAATGACTCAAGCAGATTTAAACGGGGATGGAAAGATTGATCAAGAAGAATGGAGGGAATTTGTAGCAAAGAATCCATCTATTTTAAAGAACATGACTCTGCCATATCTCAAGTGGGTTCAGGATCTCTAACTCGACTCTTTTTAGTGGAATTAGTCGTTAAGCATATCCTGAAACTGAAATTATCATTATCAACTGAGCTAAATATGTGTTTTTTGTAGTTATTATACTTCTCTTTTTCCTTGTTTTTTTGATTTTCTGTTTGATTCCAATTGTACAGGGAAGTAACTTTAGCATTTCCTAGCTTTGTGCTGAACACTGAAGTTGAATAGAAATAATTTGCGTCAAAGAGATAAGATAGCAGATAATGGTATCTTTTCGTGTTCAATGAGAAAACTTTGAGCCAAAGGCAGCATAAACATCAATAAGAAGAACCAAGAATTTCCTCAGATGCCTTAACAGTAAAGTGTGCAAGGAATTAAGACAAAGTAAATATTGTCTATATGCTTTCAACATCACTTTATAGCTTGCAATTCAAAGTTTTTAAATTTTGATCATTTGTGTATTTTGATAATTTTGTTATTATTCTTTTACTATTTGAGGCACATTTTGGTAAAAACTGTATCAAATAGAACCAAAAAAGAATATATTATGACCCATTGCATCGAAGTATTCTATATTAGTGGACTTCGGGGAGTGTTGATATACGCAGTCATTCCCCGACTCAAAATCGAAGTGGTCTCGTGCAATCTCATGCGCGGCCATCATTAAGTTGGGTCTGGGCGACCTGCGGTTACAGAATCTCCCGCCCCCTACTGTGGGGAGGGTTGTACGCAACCTTCCTTTTGCTTTTTGCAAAGAGGCTGTTTCTTGGGCTCGAACTGTAACTTCCGTATAGCCATCATGTGACTAGACTACGTTTGTGAGCATTTCTTGATTGCCTTAATGCTGCTTATCCACTAGCTCCAATTACCAATAATCACCACTGAAATAACTTTTTGTGAGAATGGAACAATTTAATGAGATAATTACAACCCTCTCGATTGAATCTGTTCCAAAGATATATGCTTTTCCAATTGTCTGAAAATCAATTCTATACCAAACATAAGTGATATGTTTGGTTACATCAAGAGAGTACAAAGAACATAGAGCAGAGAAAAAAGAAATCACATAACTGAAATTTTAATATTTAATTCTCAAAAAAAAAAAAAAAAAAAGTTACATCAAGAGAGTTACAAAAGAAACATAGAGCAGAGAAAAAAGAAATCACATAACTGAAATTTTAATATTTAATTCTCAAAAAAAAAAAAAAAAAAGCGCAAATTAGTTTGTTATTTTTCAAAAAAAAAAAGAAAAAAAAAGAAAGGAATTAAAGAGAAGAAAACTTTTGAATCCATGAAAAAAAAAAAAAAAAAAAAAAGCCAATTAGTTTGTTTTTTTCAAAAAAAAAAAGAAAAAAAAAGAAAGAAATAAAGAAAGAAACTTTGAATCCATGATCCATATTAGCAATAATCACATTGAAATGACTTCTTTAATATATATATATATATTTTTTTTTTATTTTATTATTTTTTTTTTTAATCTTCAACTTCTAACTTTTAGGTTGGACTGATCAATCTGATTGCCAAAGCTATCTACAAATAGAAATTAATAATAGTGTTTCATTTCCAGTGATTTAATTTAATTTACGTGTGGGATTATAATTTTGATTGAAATGATTTAGCTTTTAATGGTATCCTTATCGTGATTTAATTAATCAATTATCACCAACAAAATACATTTCCCAATAAACACCACTATGCCTTAGACGCTTTCTATTTATTAGTGTATCAAATGCATTTTTATGCATTACCAAATTAAATAAAATTATTCAATTCAAACCAAAAATTAAATTAATTAAAATTATAAAAAATAAATCAGATAATAATGTGAATTAGTGGGTATTGCATTTTCCATTATTCATAAAAAATAATTTTGAAATATTGTTTAATTCTTTTATAATTTAATTTTTGTAATTAGTAAATGGTAATTAACGAGAGAAAAAGTTTGAGGGAACTCCTAAGTGAATGAAAGCTCATAAGAGTTAGTGGCCATTTGGTGTCGTATAAAAGAAAATTTGTATGGTGGCGTCGGGATGGCTAAGGTTTCTTCTAGTGGTGTTCGGACTCATGCCTGACCTTCTATAGGAAGTATAGAAGAAGAGAAATAATAATAGAAAAAAAAAAAAGTTATCAGAGGTGAAAAGAAAAAATATTTGTAGCCGGTGTGGTTTCATACTCTTCTCTCTTAACCAAAATTCTTAAGTTTGAGTATTGAATATGAAAATTTATTAAGAAAATAAGGTTATTATAAATCATTTAAATGCCAATGTAACTCATTATATCTCTTCTTTTTATTTATTTATGTTTTGAATAAAAATATAAGAATTAACCCTTAATAAATCTTTTGAATTTTTTCACGAAAATATTTTTTCTTTGACCTAAAATTATTTTGATTAGCATATATTTTGAACATACGTACTACTTTAATAAATATATGAAGAACTATTTAATTTGTTTTTCAGACAAGAGGGATGAAATTATTAATTAAATCAAACGTGAAGGACTATGCTTCCCACATTAATGAAAAACGTAACTTGGAAAGTACATCCTTAAAAAGGAAAAATCAAAAATGAAATTCCAAAGGTCCTTATTTGATTCTAGGCCATAGATTGTAAAGAATTAAAGTAATTGCATATATACTTTCATCTCTGTTCATATATATATATATATATAGTACAAATTGAAACATTTCAAAAAAGAAAAAAAAAGAACCGTATGGGATGCCTTTGCACGAAGCAGCGAATTAAACATAAAGACCCAACTGTTCTTGCTTCTCCGACGTATTGTAAGTTTTATTATCTAATTAATTCTTTTATAATTTAATACTTCTCAGACATATATTATGAATATTTGCATGTGCATGTATATATATTATAATCTTGCAGTCACTGAATCTCAAGTTGAAGCTTTATATAAGCTATTCAAGAAACTAAGCAGTTCTTTAGAAGATGATGAGTTCATTAGCAAAGTAAGTTTCAAATAATTTCTAAAGCTCATACCATAATTATAATTAATAACTCAAATTATTCTTTTTGTTTCTTAATTAACAGCTACGTTTCTGAAAGTTCTGAGTATATATATTCAGGAAGAATTTCAGCTTGGCTTGTTCAGGAACAGCAAGAAGCAAAGTCTCTTTTCAGATAGGGTAATTAAGCTTTTTTCATTAAATATTTGATATTATAAGCTTCCCATTTCTGATCTTCTTTATCTCTTTAATTCTGTTAAAACAAGAAGATATTCCAGTTGTTTGACTCCAAGCAAGATGGAGTAATAGAATTCGAGGAGTTCATTCGATCTCTGTCTATCTTCCACCCAGAAGCACCTCAAGCAGAGAAAGTTTCTTGTATGAACTGAAATTCTTCTCCTTTCTTCTATTGTTGTTTCCATGCAGGTTATATTAAAAAAGGTTTGCTGTATAATATCGCAGTTGCATTTCAACTATACGATATAAGGCAAACAGGCTTCATTGAACACCAAGAGGTAATTAAAATAGGTTTTGGGCGATAATATGCAGATTAAAAATCTTCAATTGAATTATGAATTCTTTATATTATTTCATAATTAAAATAATTTCATTTGTATATTAAAATTTATTTTACAAATTAATTTGGTAAAAAAAAAAAAAGGTGAAGAAGCTGATCATGGCACTTCTGGAAGAATCAGATTTGATTCTGTCGGACGACATTATTGAAGGCATCATCGATAAGGTATTTAATAATATCTTCAAAGATAATTAAGGAGGAGAATTTCATACTTTTTGTTTTTAGTTTTCTTTTTTTTTTCTTATATATATATAATTATAATTATAATAATCAAGAGGCCCTAAATAATTATAATTTTAATTGAGTTATTAATTAAAATTAATTATGAATAGCATTTAATTTTACATATATAGACATTTGAGGATGCTGATACAAAAAGAGATGGCAAAATTGATTTAGAAGAGTGGGAGCAATTCGTGACTCGTAATCCATCCTTGATCAAGTATATGACCATTCCATATTTGAGGTAATTCCCTTCTTGTCCTTTCTAATCTTTATTTATATATATAATAATTTTTATTTTTCAAATATGAAATATGAAGGAATTAACAATTAGGTGTTGAAATTTTTACTGTTGCAGGGACATCATAACTGCATTTCCCAGCTTTGAATCGACAAAAGATACAGAAGAAGATACCATCAAATAATATATATATAATATTATATATATAATTATGTATATTTGCTATTGTATAGCACATTATTATATCCGGTTATGAAGCAAAATAATACCGATAAGTTAGCTTTTATATCTTATGTCGCATGGAGTGTGTGGGATGCTAGGAACAAATTTCTTTGGCAACAAATGGCTTGGACTCCTTTCAATGTTAGTGCTACAGCTTCTATTCTTTTTCAAGACTTCAAAAATGCCTTGGTAAAGATGCATATGCCTCAGGTACAAATTTCGCAATGAAGCAAAATCAATTACGATTAAGTTAGCTTTTATTTTATCTTATGTCGCAATTGGAGTGTGGTGGGATGCTAGGAACAAATCTTCTTTGGGCCACAAATGGCTTTGGACTGCCTTCTCAATGTTAGTTGGCTACAGCTTCTATTCTTTTTCTAAGACTTCTCAAAAATTGCCTTGGTTAAAGATGCATTTATGCCTCAGGTTACAAATTTCGCAAGTAAACACCTGCTATTATCCAGTGATTGGACTTCTGCGAGCTAGATTGGCCATTGTGGATTTGCTATCTTTTTCTAATATTACGTATCGGCGGGTTAGTTTAGGGGTGTTTTTGAGAGACATATTGAAGGTTATTTTTTGCAGCGCTGTTTCTAGCTTCTATTGCAGGTCAGCCATCTCCACTTATTGGCGGAAGGTTTTGCTCTGCGCTTCGAGCTTACAATTTTATAGACTCGGTGCATACTCTCATTGGTTGCGTGGTAACTATTCTAATAGATTTTCTTCAAAGTATTTTTTTACTTGCCTTTTCATCAAAGACTAGAATATGAGTGAGTTGTGATGGTATTGTTATTTCTTATAATGCATTTGTTATTAGCCTCCAATCATTAGTGTTCAAGGTCTGTTGGAATTAGAAGACACTGGATAATATAGAGTGCTCTATTCATTAGCTAGAGAGTCTATCGGTTTTAATTGTGTTCATATTGGGATTCAGTGCCCGAATGTTTTGATGGATTACTTTTTCCTTGGAGATTAATTAATTGATTAAATTCTTCTTCTTTCAAAAAAAAAAAAAAAAATGTATATCCGGTTATGTTCTCGATTAAATCACACAAAAAAACAATATATTATGTGTTTATAATTGTAATGATTATAATTTACTATTCATATTATTTTCTTTCTTATATCTTTTATTATTATTTATAATATATATAATATTATTATGAGTATATATATTATATAATTATAATATATATATATTTTTCATGTGTGATTGCATGTTATTGTATTCTTTTATGTATTATTATATATTTTCATGTGTGATGCATGTTATTGTATTCTTTTTATGTATTTATAATTTAATAAAATTACTATTCAAATTAAAATAAAATTCAAAATTAAGTTGAAACTTTAAATTGAGTTAAAGTAAAATTTCAAATTAATTTAAAATTTCATTATTTCTCAAGAATAACTTTTTGAAAAATATTTTTCATAATTTTTTAGCATTTAAGACACTAAAACAAAATAAGTGAAGAAAAAACTTATTGATGAATGGAATACCGAATTTGTTCTATTTACGCGGGAGAAATAACTTTTTCCAATCTCACCTTTTCATTACTTATGAACGACTTGTCGTCCATGAATAAGAGGGCATACAAGAAATTATTCCCCCGTCATCAGTGAGTGAGAGGGAAATTTTTCCGTCGTCTGCAAACTAATTTTACACGCCTTTAATTGCCGCGAGAACAGATGGGCATTTATAAGACAACTCAAAGATTGAAACTTGGTGTTGGAGGTAGCTTGGGATCTTGGGTAGTTATATGATACGGCTAAAACAAATGACGAGACTTGAGTCTATTTTTTTTTTGGCAATTGTCGCCGAAAAAAAAGCGTCTGTCCATTGTCCAAGCAAAAAGCTGTGGCGGATTCTCCAAAGCAAATATCAAACCAGCGAACAAAAATCTCTCTTTGTTTTTTCCTTCTCTTCCACTGACAATCCAAAGTTGGAAACATTTTTAAAATCGTTCGACGTTTTCACGAGGAGAGAAGAAATTTTCGGAAAGAGATTAACCAACGGATAGAGATGGCAACCGTTGCCGGTACTTGTTCTTCTAGTGTTCTGTTTAGAAGCCGGAGCAATGGAGCTTCTCTGGCTCAATATAATGGGCTTAGACCACTGGAGACTGTGCAAATGGCTCCAGCTGGGACTAAGTCAAGTGGGTTCCTTTCTACTTCAGGTATGGTTTCTTCTGCATCTTCTCTTTGTCCAGTTTTGATCTATATAATGCATTTTGGTGGAGAATTTCTTTTACGTCAAAGACATCTCCCTTTTCTTGCCTGAACTCAAAGCAATAGTTCAGTTCATCAATTATTCCCTTTATTTCCTTCATTTACCTTGCACATTATAAATAATTTTGTTGGTTCTCTACATTGCAATTCATAACAAAAGAGCTAGAAACGAAGACAGAGCTAAAAGTTTTCATATTTAACATGTATGCGGTGATCCATTGAAAAGAATCCCAATTTCCTATTTGTGATTATGATTGGAAACCATGTCTGTTTGATTCCTTTTCTAATTCTTTGTGCTCCTCATAAATGAAGTTTAGCTTCTTCATATTGTAGTTGGTATTTTGTATATAATAACCAGGCATATCTGCTATCTAACTGCATCTCATACAATTGGGATCAACAACAACCTTTTTAGGTGATAGACTGATGGTTACCTACAGTTTTGCCATACCTGCACCTTTCAAACATTGATTATTAATTTGTTTTTTGAGATTGTTTTCCCTTGGGATCTTTTGTATGATTCTAGATTTGTTTTTTGCTGATTCCAAATTTCCTTAATTCTTTAGAAGAATTGATAGGGTATCCTAATGCCAAATCATTGATTCTCAGTTAGTTATTGGCATCTTCCCCGGGATTCAACTCTAATTTAGTTTTCTATATTCAGTTCCAAAATCCAGAACAATCAGAGCCATGGCTTCTCCAAATGTTTCAGCTCCCAAACGAGAAAAGGATCCCAAGAAACGAGTTGTGATAACAGGAATGGGAGTAGTCTCAGTTTTTGGTAATGACGTTGATGCATTCTATAACAAACTACTTGAAGGAGAGAGTGGGATCAGCCTAATAGATAGGTTTGATGCTTCTTCATTCTCTGTCAGATTTGCCGGTCAGATTCGCGACTTTTCGTCTAAAGGATACATTGATGGGAAAAATGATCGCCGTCTTGATGATTGCTGGAGGTACTGTTTAGTTGCTGGTAAGAGGGCTCTTGAAGATGCCAACCTTGGCCCTGAAGTCCTTGACAATGTAAGTCATATAACTCTTGGTTGCTGAGTCTGATTCACATGTAACCAGAAATTAGTGGTCGATAACTTTTTTTTATTTTTTGTGTGTATGTCCTCCAGATGGACAGAACTAGAACTGGAGTGCTGATCGGAACTGGGATGGGAGGCTTAACAGCCTTTAGCAATGGAGTCGAAGCTCTTATTCAAAAGGGATATAAGAAGATAACTCCATTTTTCATCCCTTACTCCATAACCAATATGGGTTCAGCATTGTTAGCTATTGATACTGGCTTAATGGGACCTAATTACTCCATTTCAACTGCTTGTGCAACTGCAAATTATTGCTTCTATGCAGCGGCTAATCACATTAGACGAGGTGAAGCAGATATAATGGTAGCTGGAGGCACTGAGGCTGCTGTTATGCCGACTGGTGTTGGTGGCTTTATAGCTTGCAGGGCACTGTCTCAAAGAAACGATGATCCTAAGAGAGCTTCAAGACCTTGGGACAAGAATCGAGATGGTTTTGTCATGGGAGAAGGAGCTGGTGTGCTGGTAAACACAAGCTCATTTTATTTGATATCTTATTCTATTGGCAGTTTAACTTAATTAGCTCATTCATATCAGCATCTTGTTTAAGAGGTATAATTTTATTGGCATAAAATTTGTTCGGTGAGAACAGATAATGGAGAGCTTGGATCATGCATTGAAAAGAGGAGCCAATATAATTGCAGAGTATTTAGGAGGTGCTGTAACTTGTGATGCTCATCACATGACAGATCCTCGCTCTGATGGTCTAGGGGTTTCAACTTGCATAACCAAGAGCTTAGAGGATGCCAAAGTTTCCCCTGAGGAGGTAAGACCTCTTACCGGTTTCTTGTGAAAATTTTCACCAACTTTAATAAAATGATCTTCCCCAATCCCCACCATTCTGGATTCTAACATGAAGTTGGCTGAATTTATGATTTACAGGTGAACTATATTAATGCTCATGCAACTTCAACGCTTGCAGGGGATTTGGCTGAGGTTAATGCTATCAAGAAAGTCTTTAAGGACACGTCAGAGATTAAGATGAATGGAACAAAGGTAAGATATATTATCCTGTTTTTACATTGAAAATATTTAATTTTGAATACTGAGTGATGTTATCAAACACCATAATCGTTCTATTCTTTTTTCGACTTAGTCAATGATTGGACATGGACTTGGTGCTGCTGGTGGACTTGAAGCCGTAGCAACCATAAAAGCAATCACCACAGGATGGTTGCATCCAACTATCAATCAAGATGTAAGTACCAAAATACTTACTTCTCTTATTGAAGCTCCATTTTAATTTATTCCAATAGTAACTTCCAACAAATTTCACTACCCATGTATTATTGATTTCTGTAGAACTTGGAGCCTGATGTCACTATTGACACTGTTCCCAATTTGAAGAAGCAGCATCAAGTCAATGTTGGTATGTATTTTTTGCACTATGGGAGCATAGACAATAATCTAGTCTTTCTTTCTTCTTTCTTTCTTTCTTTTCCTCTGTTATATACGTTTTAATGATTGACAAATGAATTCAATAATTCATCAATTTTTGCTGCAGGTATCTCAAATTCATTTGGCTTTGGAGGGCATAATTCTGTGGTTGTTTTCGCTCCATTCACTCCTTAACTCGATAATACTCAGCCCAAATATTAATTCTGTTTCATCTTTCCATTATGTCAAAACGAACCAAGTTTAATGGTAATAGAGTGGAAATCAGAAGCATTCTTGATTTTTGCGGTAATGAGTATTCAGATTATGCAGACAATCGGATCATTTTCATTTGATACCTTGTAACTCTTTTGTAATAAGATTGGATTTGGTGTTCCTTAAATAAGCAAATAAAAAGAATCGACATTGTTTCCTTTTTGTTGTTCTTTTCTCTTCTACTGGCATGAACCTTTGACATTAATTTTGATATTAAGTGAATCCAACAGTAACGCTTAAGAGAGATCCTTAATTTGATGAAACAGATATGAGAAAGAAGTTGGCTTTATGTTCAAAAGTTGCAACATTAATCATGAGTTGAAATGTTAGAGGAAAAGTGCACAATTTAGGAAGAGTCATCACGAGTCATTGCATCTGTCACTCTCAACTTCTTCCTCTTCTTCTTCTTCCATTGACAAAAAGATAACACTAAGAAAAAGCAGAATAAAAATGGTAAGGATAAAGGGAGAACTGGGCATAATCAAGTAATGACATTCCAAGCTTTTGCAAGTTGCACATCACAGAGATTTTGTCCAAAGAATCAGTGTAAAGAAAATTTTCTGGCTGGGGACAGTTAGCTTCTCTATTTGTAGATATAATTAAAATAACATTAACTTTGACACCGACACTTTAAAGTTAGTGATCCCACTTGTGTGTTGCTAATTACTGTTTTGGCCACTGGATTAAAAGAATCACCACCACGTGGGGTAGCTTTGATGTCGACATGTACAATAACTTATGTCTTTTTTTTTTATATACCTATAGTTAGGTATATTCTTATTTAACATAATTTACATTTCTGTATTTGATCTAAAGACACATTTCTTTTTTTTTTTTTTGGTTTTTAACCATCTCGTAGCCGAAGTCCATTACCTCGACTAATTCGAATTCACATCAGACAGACTCATGAAAAGGTGTAAAACACTTTCTTCCGAATATTTAAAGGGACTCTATAATCATGACTCGAACTCAAGACATTTAGTTAATAAATAATAAATCTTTAACATCTCATCTCACCTTTCACAGTAAAAAACCATCATCTCATCTCACCCTTCGAACATAAAAAACACATTTCTTCGTATATCGTCTCGTGAACCCCACTTTATATGAAAATGCTATTGTAATAAGAATTAGATTAGGCTATGATATCTAAAGTACTCTTGGAATTGAATGCCTATGTTACCCTAAAAGCCCATATAGTTTTAATTAGTCTCGTAGAATGCTTGAAGCCTAAGCTTCATTAGCTTTTAAATTAATTAATTAATTAACTAAACCTAGCTAAAGAGAGATTAAAGCATGATTCTTTGATTAGTTATGGGAATATGCCTTTGGGGAATCTTCAACCACATTTTATGATACCCAAATTCTTATGCAATGTTTTAAAAATGTGTTCAACTTGCAATTTTTTTTTTTTTTTTTAAATTTTTCACTTAGCTCTTTTTCTTACTTCCTTCCCTTCTACTCCAAGTTGGGAACAATTGAGATGCAGACTGTCTAATATTTATTGTTCTAAATATATTCTCTTTTGATTCAAATCTTCATGTTGATGGATCATATTAGCTAAGATACGCATATTTTAAATGTTATCACAAAATAATATCAACTTAATTATTATAATTAACTAAGGATCACATAATGGCAAGAAAAATAAATAAATAAAATATCAAAGAAAATTTCATTGGATATTAATTTCTCATAGCAATTTTTGGAGTCAATAACAATTATCAGGTCGATATTAAAATTGACTGCAATCAGTAGCGGATTTAAAAATATTTTTTAGATTAATATATAATTTTAAAAAAAAAAAGGTCAAAGACATAAATGTATTGAACTTTATAAAAATACACACATAAACATTAGAAAATTAATCGAAACTATGGTCAATTAACCACTTGATAAAAATCACTAGGTAGTGGCTAGACACTCGCGTGCAAAATGGAAACCGGCAATGCCGGTTAAGCAGTTAAGGTGATTAGCATCATAATTACAAGTGCAATGTAGGTGGTTGGAACTTAATTAATCCACATTTGGGTCATATTTTGTAATCAACCAAAATTTGACCATAATTTAGCCTGATTAATAAGTTTCAACCACTAATAATTAATATATTTACCTTCAAATTGCTGGTAGGTACTAAGGCCTTAATTTATTATTAATGAACGTATTTAATAATTAAATTTATTTATATTATTATAATTACATATTTTTTTCCCTAATTTTAGTCAACTGTTAAAAATACTTTCTAATTTGAAAGAAAATAAAAGAAAATAAAACTTTTGTATTAAAAAAGAATAATGAAAGGAAAAAGAACAAATAGCTTGACTGTATTTAGTGGATAATTTTTCCATTCCAGGATAGAATTTTTCTACGGTCAGGCCTATTGTGCTAACACCAGTAAAAAATTATAGACACCAATCACCGTTATAGCACAAAGCTTATCACAAAATAGAATGGCAATTTAGTCATTGTCTCTAATTTAGGTAGTCCCATTGACCTATTTTAAGCACTAAATTCAATTCTAATAGGGCATATATTGACTAACTAGATTGTAGTAAGATGGAATTTGACTTGGTTAGTCTAATTGTTTATATGTTTTTGTTTCTCAATCATATATGCATTATTTTTTAAATTTTATTATTTTAAATTTTATTATTTTCAATACAAAATTAATAAAGGCCAGTATATGTAAAAACTAAATATTTTCTAGATTTTTCACGAGTATTCTCATATTTTTTTTCGATATTTATAACTGTCTTTTTTTATATAAATTTTTTATATATATCGAACCTTTGACCTTGCAAAGATAATTCAATAAAAATTAATTATATAATTACATTTAATAAAGGTAACTCTATCTTAAGATGAATGTACTCTTCTTTGTTTTAAGTATCGAGGGAGAAGGGATTCAAATCTGAATCTATTATCAGATAGTATAAGTAATTATCTTCGGATTATGATTGTGTTCAGCAATAGTTTTCTAAGTAATTTTTAGTGTTTTGATATACTGTTTTTTATAGTATTCGGTAACATAGCATTTAAATTAATTTTTACAGGTTAATAAAATGTTAATTCATGTGTAACATTTAACTTTTAGTATTTTATGAAAAGTTAATCACGATTATTAATTTTATCAATGAGATCCTATGTCTTTGTGTGCAAAAGGAATAGAATCTTATTTTTATAAGAAATGGAATAAATTATGGAAAACATAACAAGGAACCCTTCCATCAAACAGCAATTGCCACACAAGATCTTATGTCTTTTTCTATCTTCAGCAAAGAAGATATGATGAGACAAGGGTCCAGTGGATTTCAAGTTTTTTGGACTAAGAAGTAGGAAGTCCACCATCCAAAGGTAATCAAGGCCTTGTAATGAGATCCAACGGTTAGAAAAGCCTCAAATAAGTTCAAAAGGGAGTCAAAATGTAGTTGAAAGGTGGGGACCAAAATCCCACTCAGCCTACCTTCAAATTTACATAGATTTAAGACTTAATTATATGCTTACGTGGAAACAATTGAAGTGTACAAAGTCCACTAATAGAGTCATTTTCATAATTAATAAATAATCCGTGAATAAGATATGATTGTTCTCACATGGATTCCAACCCAAAATGCCACATTTTTAAATATTTTACATTCCAAAGAGATGCATCCACCTAAAATTAATTAAACCTTAATTGCATCCCCTCTTAAGTTAATTAATCAATTTCTGTAGGGTACCCCACCCCACAAGAGAAGTGCTAAATCCTAGGCCAAAGGGGTTTTCAAGTTGTGGGGTCTACCCCATAATATGCAGGCTAAGGGCAGCCAAGGAACACCAACCACATTGGTCTCCACATGGGGCATACATTATAAAAGAAATGACCATTCACAGTACAAAACAGTATTAAATACAAAAAAACATTATAATAATGGGTGCCTTTCTTTACCAAGTCTTTGTTTGGAAGAGACTCATTTAAAGCATATCCTCTAATTCCTTGTTTCAGGGGCTGGTGGGGAATTCCACAGCATGTCCCTTTTGGACATTGTAGACTTTCAACAAGACTCTCAAGAGGAGTTTATTTGCAGAAATTCAAATACATTTTTTTTTTTTATGTATGTTTGTGTATTTTTAATTTTCTTATTAAAATACATTATTTTTTCCAATTTAATAAAATTTTTATATTTTTTCTTAAAAGTTAAAAAAAAAAAAAGATCAAGGTATGCCTTTCATTTCGCAACCTTTCATTCCATTGTAAAATTACTTTTAACAACAAAATACTAAGTATATAAATATAAATATAAACTCTTCAAGGAAGCAAGGGTCGCTATTAAACATCTTCTAATTAGTAATTAATTACCTTAAAGCAATTCTTTTTTTTTTTCAATTAATATCATAATAAAAGACAGGTGTCAAGCAATAAAGTTATGTATAAGAAATCTCCCTTTGTTGAATAATTATGCATATAGACAGGCAAATACACATAAATAAACAGTGATTGGTTTGTCCTTATTCTTCGTTCATCATCTTCCCTATTGAAAAGGGCTTCAAAAGGGTTTTTAACACCTAAGCTAAGAATGCTTATCCACATCATTAAAGTTAATTACTAAACAAAATAATGGTGACGTGGACACGACACTATTTTTTGGTTCCACTTCTATATGAAATTTCTTGTATTCACACCAAGACAAATTCTATAGCTTGGTTAATCCAAGATTTTAAATTATTTTAGGCTTTGGTGGTCACAATAATTATCTAATTCGTCACTAAACACTTTAGGATTAATACTAGATTCATCATGTGTGCGTATATATAAACTAATATATATATATATATATATATGTATAAGAAATCTCCTTTTGTTGAATAATTAATGCATATAAGACAGGCAAATACACATTAAATAAAACAGTGATTGGTTTTTTCCTTATTCTTCGTTCATCATCTCCACTATTGAAAGGGCTTCAAAAGGGATTATTCCCTAACACCTAAGCTAAGCGGAATGGCTCCTGATTTTTTTTTTTCCCCCCCCCCCCCCCCCCACATCATTAAAGTTAATTACTAAACAAATAATAATGGTGGACGTGGACTCACGACACTATTTTTGCGTTTTTCCACTTCTATATGAAATGTTCTTGATTCACACCAAGAAAATTCATAGACATTTGGTTTAATCCAAGATTTTAAATTATTTTTAGGCTTTGGTGGTCACAATAATTATCTCCAATTCGTCACTTAATACACTTTAGGATTAATACTAGAATAGGCATCATTGTGTGACGTTATTATATAAACTAATATATATATATATATATATAATATATGTTTTTGGGTTTTAATCGTGCCGTATCTGAAAATTCACTGCGATCCACCATATATATGTTTTTGGTTTTAATCGTCGGTATCTGAAATTCACTGATCCGATTAATTCAAATTCGCGCCAGACAACCCATAAAGGGCGTAAAGTACTTCTTCTCAAGTGTTTAAAAGCACTTCGTACCCAAAATTTGAACTCAAATCTTCTAATTGAGAAAAAAAAGATTCATATTATCTTATATCACCACTCGAGTCCAAATAAATTAGGTATATTAATTTATAAATTAAAGTATTTTTTATTTATTTGTTTTTTTTATATCTTCAACGTTATGCTCCGTTTGGAAGAGTGATGTCTGCCCCACCAAGGAGGAAGGCAGGGAAGGTTTTTGTCTCTAAAAGCGTAGAGATTTATATATATATATATATACTATCCTCATTGTAGGTATAGAGATAAACATATATGTATGTATGTGTACATGCTTAAGGTTATATTGCTTGAAAATTAGGTCATCAAAAGCTACATTACATCATTGTTAGGGATGGAAGTGGTGCGGGTACCCGTCCTGCTTCCATCCGTTTAAATAGGATATAGATAGTTATAAAGGGGTTTGGAACGGATATGGATAGTGAAATTACTAGCCGTAATAAATACGGGTAGAGTACGGATATAGATCTTTGGATATCTGTTACCTGCTATTGGATACCCACGAGTATCCTATTCACTATTAATAAAAATTATATTTTAAATAAGTTTGGATTCAGGATAGTTAAAATTCGTGGGTACCCTTTTTGTATAAGGGTATTTTAAACGGGGGTTTTGGACATGTACGAATAGTAAAAATTTAAACTGGTTTGGATATGGGTATTTAAATGGATACAGATAGTAAAATTTTAAATAGATATGGATACAGGGAACTTAAATTTTGCGGGTACCCGTCCCACTTCCATCCCTAGTATTACATATTTATACATGATAAACATATATAAATTATCATTTAGGTTGTATGATCACTTAATGTTTTTAATTAAAAGGTTTGAGTTCAAATTTTAATTGTCCTTTCATTAACCTCTTACATTAAGATTAAGCATACTTAGATATTAGATTATAGAATAATCAAAGATGATCAAATTAATGATAATTTTTCTACTTCTCTTCCTTTGCAAAATGAGATTGAATATGTATACATTATAAAAGAAATCATGATTAGATTTTTCTTTATTTATAATATAAATTCAGGAGTTTGAAACTTAAAGTCACTGTTATTATGATGATTTTACTTCAATGTCACATTCAATCCAAGTGAAGAGACAAGGATATGAAAAAAAAAAAAATCTAAATCTTTCTTTGCAAATAACACAATTCAAACTATTTAAAATTAGGTCAATTTTTAAAAAAAAAAAAATTAGGTGGAGATAGGTAAGCTAGCTACCTACCAACATAAATACCAATATCACTATAGTATAATACACATAATTAATATATAAAAAAAAAAAAATTAGGTGGAGGAAGAATAGGTAAACTAAGCTACACCTAACTCAAGCATATGAATACCAAAAATATCACTTAGTAGTAGTGAATACACATAATTAAACTAATATACCTATATATAAAATATATATATATATATATTATATAAATATATATGATTATTTATAATATTATTTATTACCTTTAGCCAGTGCTTGAAGATAATGCTCCTAAAAATAGAATTAAAAGAGTATATATACCTTTAGCCAGTGCTGAAGATATGCTTAAAATAAATAAAAGAGGAGCATATATATATATATATATATCCTTGTTAGTAGGAGACAAATACAAGTGGTTCTTGTGTTAAAGGTGCAATAGTACTATAAACACAAATAATTCATTAATGTAAACTATTGTTTTCTTAAACAATTCCTCGCTTCCTTTCCAATAATGTTCATTCATTCATTTCGACAATCTGTTGTGATTTGATTAGTTTTCTCGTTCATATAAATAAAAAATTTCGAGTTTGAGTTATATCGATAAATCTCGAGTCGTAAAGTGTAAAAATTTTTTATCCTTTCAGCAAATTTCGATTTTCGGGCCCAACGATCAAACTTAAATCAACAACCATGCATTTAATGTGATATGAGGATTCATTCCTGAATTTCCTCTTCTCGGTCTACTTGGATACTATAACATAGACAAAGGGGTGAAATAACAGACATATGATCACTCAATTCATGAGGTGACCATATATACCAAAATATAATTTTGTTATTATTAATAATAATTATAAAATAAGAATAAGAATAAAAATTATTGGAATTCTATTGAAAATATGGTCATGTGAGCCCATTTAATCAGTAGGTTAAAAAAAAAAAAAAAATTTAAAAAAAAAAAAAATTTTAGGTCGTTCCATCAATAACTTTTTTCACATGTTATTTGTGTATGCTTGTACAATATCATGTATCTAAAAGGGATATATATACCTATACTATATATATGACGTGAGTATATATATTATATATAATAATTGCAATTTTTTTATTTCATCTCAAAACATATTATTAATATTATAGTGACCCAAATAAGAAAGAAAAAAAGGACCGACTTATAGAGACAAGAGCCCCGTATACGGATAAAAATGCATATCCAAATCATCACATAACCATTTTTAGTTTATAATTCTTATTTTCATGATTTCATTTGTAGATATCATTTTAACAAGTCGTGCCCCATATAATTGCAATTTTTTATTTCATTCAAGACATATTAAATATTATTGCATATCAAATTTTCACATAACATTTTAGTTTATAAAAGTTTTATTTTATGATTTCATTGTAGATATCATTTTACAAGTTCCCATCACCTGGAATTTGGAATTACACTATAAGAAAACCTAATATATTTAAATGATACAAAAATTCTTTTAAAAATATAAATATCGGTAACATAGTTGAAAGCAATATTCAGTTCAACATATTAAAACGATGAGTTTTATATTTTCTTCTAAATTCTCAATTGTTTTTCAAATCAACATAATTTTTAAAATCATTTTTCATCAAAATTATCGTTCAGATATAATTTACCTGGGTATATATTATTTATGGAGTTATTATTATTTTAGGTGATAATAAAGTTTATTGTTTTATTATATTTGAAAAATAAAAATGACATATTTGTTATTTAAAAAAAATAAAGGTATATTTTTTATAAATTCTAATTCCCTTCAGAAATTTATATTGTTGATATTTTATTTATTTATTTTTAATTTCATTATCCATTCTCCTCTGGGTACTGCACGTTGCTTAAGTTCCAATTGTGTAGCTCATCTCATGACAAACTCTAAAGATTTTGATTTTAATTAGCTCCAACCAAAAATGTCGATTACGTGGGCGATGATGGTAAGTTACACGTGGAATACTTATTTTCGATATTTGCTGACGTGTCAAAACTAGGACCGCCGAGCCGCTCGCAGATTGTCTGGGAAACAAAAGCACTACAACACCATGACATCCGTCACATCCCACGTGTTGTATGGGTCCCACACTCTTCCAATGGCAAAACCCCGTAATAATCACTCCCCCCTAGGTCAAAGTTGATTCATAAATAAAAACTGAAAAAATTGCACACTATAATTCCCAAAATTCTGCCGGGTTAACTCGAGCCACTCCTGTTGCCTGCTTCGAAGCAGACAACGAAAGAGACGGCACTTAACGGTAACGCCAGTCCACCTCTTATACTTCCGTTAACCCTAGCTTCACGCATCCCAAGTCTCCATGCGTTTAACCAATCATCTTCAAACCAGCCTGACGTTATCTCACGGCAGTCATCCCTAAGTTTGACTCATTTTTTTTTTTCGTTTATGCGAGCCGTCCCGTTAACTTCTCCCTCCGGTTAATCTCTAACTACGGTTAGTCAGGTTAGCGTTACATTACAATAAAGCAGACAAATAGGAGAGGGATACAGTTAAAGCAGGAAAGTCGCGTAATATAAGACGCGCGCGAAGCGGTTTTGTGGGGATTCCTTGTAACGGCGTTTTATGTTTGATACTTGTCCAGAGGGAAATAAATATTTTTAGAGAGAGAGAGAGAGAGAGAGAGAGAGAGAGTGGTTTTACGAGTTGGGAAGAGTGGTTTTGTAACGGTTGAAGTGGTTTTGCGTTACGGGTTTGGATCTCGGGATTGTTACTAAGACAGAAATAGAAAGTAACGGGTGTTATAGTAGGGGAAAAGTCGGAGACTTTGTATCATAAAGCGGTATTTAACGGCTTGTTAATAATAATTATTGTTATTATTGAGGTTTATTTTGGGGATTTAAGTGTGTAATAATGAGGTGAATTAAAGGTATAAAGAGAATTTCCATTTTTTTTTATCTTGTGGGCGTTGAATTTATTTGGTGGCTTTCCTTTTGGTGTTGACTTGGTGAGCTTTGGTTCAAAAATGATGGCTGCGAATCGAGGTGGGTCGTTTTCTCAGGCAAACAATGAAGGTGAAGCATGAAACGATTAGTTGATTTTGATTTGAATTTTTCTTTCCTCCACTGTTTGTTTCTCGGAAAAAAAATGTTTTGCTATACGGGAGAATGTTGAGAATTTTCATTTCTGGGTTTCAGGTGGGGGCGGGGATGATCTGTATACCGACCTATGGAAGGCATGTGCTGGCCCACTTGTGGATGTTCCTCGCAATGGGGAGAGAGTGTTCTATTTTCCACAGGGTCATATGGAACAGGCAAGATGTGAATTATTTCTTTCTTTTTTTCTTGGTTTTGATGAAATATTTTTATTTTTCTGATATGAGTTTTGAACGAGCGTTTATGGTTTATTTGAGTTAAAGAAATTATGAATCTGGGGTTGGTTTCTATTAGTGGATATGTTCTATTTTGGCTGGGAATTTTAAAATGTTCCTATTTTTGGGTGGTGTAGTTGGAAGCATCAACAAATCAGGAGTTGAATCAGAGGGTTCCGTTGTTTAATTTGCCATCGAAGATCCTCTGTCGTGTCATTCATATTCAGCTACTGGTATTTCACTCTCCCGTCTTAGTTTCCTTTGTTTTGTTTATGTGTATATATATATATATATATATAATATTCAGCTACTGGTATTTCACTCTCCCGTACTTAGTTTCCTTTGTTTTGTTTATGTGTTAATTTATATTATATATATATATATATATATATATGCTGTATATAATGTGTATATATATATATATATATATATATATATATGCTGAGAAAATAGAGTACTGGATCCCACCTGTTAGATTTTTATGGGATTGATGAACTTAATTGAGCTAAAACCCTTAGTTGCCAGCTTGGCCATATGAGATCACTAGATGAATTAATCGATTATCTTAGGGATTGAATGAGACCATTAAGTTCAATTATCAAATGGGTTTGTTTTGATGGAGTTTATATCTCTATGTCCTGTTTGTGAAGGCGGAGCAAGAAACGGATGAGGTGTACGCGCAAATTACTCTGCTGCCAGAACCTGATGTGAGAACCAATTTTCTTTCTTTCTATTTCTAATATGCTCTTTCTTTCTATTTCTAATATGCTGTGGTTAGGCTGCACATATTTCGATGATGTTAGGGCTTAATTTAATTTTGATGTCTTTAAATTACGTTGTAGCAACCTGAGCCTACTAGTCCTGATCCATGCCCAACTGAGCCATCAAGACGTCCTACAGTTCACTCATTCTGTAAGGTGTTAACTGCCTCTGATACAAGCACTCATGGAGGTTTTTCCGTTCTTCGTAAACATGCAACCGAATGCCTTCCACAGCTGGTAATTTTGTTTGTTCTACTTTGTTTCGTCATCCATTTGATGTCAGTATATTCATTATGCTGATTTCATATATGGATGTACTTCAGGACATGACCCTGCCAACACCAACTCAGGAGTTGGTTGCTAAGGATCTTCATGGTTATGAATGGCGGTTTAAGCATATATTCAGAGGTAAAGAGTTTTCCTGTCTTTTTTTTGCATTTCCTAGTGATGAGAACATTATTTTAAGTTAAGCAAGAATTTCCCTCGTCCCCTTCCCCTTCCCCTGCCTTTTCCATCTAATACGGATTTGTGCTATTTGGGATTGTTCGGCCATTTTTTGATCTTGTACAAAATGGGCAGGGCAACCACGGAGGCACTTGCTTACGACTGGTTGGAGTACTTTTGTTACTTCTAAGAGATTGGTAGCTGGGGATTCATTTGTTTTCCTCAGGTACTGAATTAGTTTTCTGCTCCTCTCTTCTATCTTCTTTTCTGTGATACAAATGACAGGGCTCTTATTAATTAATATTAACTACTCAGGGGAGAGAATGGGGAGCTGCGTGTTGGAGTGAGACGTGTTGCTCGTCAACAGAGTAGTATGCCATCATCTGTGATTTCAAGTCAGAGTATGCACCTTGGAGTCTTAGCAACAGCATCTCATGCTGTTTCAACTCAAACTCTTTTTGTGGTCTATTACAAGCCAAGGTAAAAAAGTGACTTTCTTTTAAAAAAGGTTTTGATTGGCTGTTGTTTTTTGTGTATTTTATTCACTTTATCTTCCGTTCGTGTAATTTATCAGGACCAGCCAGTTCATTATAAGCTTGAACAAATATTTAGATGCTGTTAACAATAAGTTTGCAGTGGGAATGAGATTTAAGATGAGGTTTGAAGGCGAGGATTCTCCTGAGAGAAGGTAGGAAGACACAGATAAGCTTCTGGTTGTTTAAAATCACTGCTGAATTGGTAAAGAAAAACTCTGGAAATTTATAGTTTTGTTGTTTGCTGATTGATCAGGTTTTCAGGAACAATTGTTGGAGTTGAAGATTTTTCTCCCCACTGGGTTGATTCCAAGTGGCGCCACTTGAAAGTAAAAAAATATGATCCTATTTTTTATTCTCTCTCCTTTATTTAAAAATTTATGCTTATTTTCACCTCACTAATAATCTGTTGTTCTATTCTCTTTTTACCAGGTTCAATGGGATGAGCCTGCATCTATTCCTAGGCCTGATAGAGTTTCTCCATGGGAAATAGAACCATTTGCAGCTTCAGTGCCACCAAGCATGACTCAACCGGTTGCAGTGAAAAACAAAAGGCCCAGGCCACTGGTTGAAGTTCACACCCTTGGTATATAAGAATTGTTGTATTCATTTTTGTTTACAAATATGTTGCTCATTTCTAACTTATCATTATCAACCTTTCATATTGTAGATTTATCTTCAACTGCATCGCCACCTTGGAATTCTCGATTGACACAGTCCCATGATTTAACCCAATTAAGTGTTACTGCTGAATGCAAACGAAATGAAAATCATATGATATGGCATCATAAGCAATCAGATATTAACAGCCATAGCAACTCTATATCTAGATCGCCAACCGAGGGGGGTTGGCTATCTTCTCCTCGTGTGAACGTTTCTCAGCATCTGTTTCAGGAAGCAACAGAGGATAGCAAAAGCGTCTCAAACTGGCCTGTTGTCTCAGGCTATTCAACTCCCCAGTCAGCAAAGTTCAAGAATGACCCAATTCTAGAACCAATAGAGAAAGGGAGAAAATCTGAGGGAACTACAAGTTACCGATTATTTGGCATTGAGCTCATAAATCACTCCACAAGCTCACTTCCTATTGAGAAGACGCCTGCACATCCAGCGAGTGTGTCCAGCGGTACTATTGAAGGGCATGTTATGAGTACCTTGTCAGCATCTGATTCTGACCAAAAATCTGATGTTTCTAAAGAAAAGAAATCTGAAGAGTTGCAAGTATCACCAAAAGATGTTCAGAGCAGGCAAAGTTCAGCTTCCACAAGAAGTCGCACCAAGGTATTATAACAAATGTATATTTTTGAGGTTCAAGGTCCTTCTGAAGATTTATCATGAAAATAAAGTTTTGGTGTCAACAGGTTCAGATGCAGGGAGTTGCTGTTGGTCGGGCCATTGACTTGAGCATGATAAAAGGGTATGATCAGCTTTTAGATGAGTTGGAGGACATGTTTGACATTAAGGGGCAGCTTCACCCTCGGGATAAGTGGGAAATCGTATATACAGATGATGAAGGAGATATGATGCTTGTTGGTGATGATCCATGGCCGTAAGTATCTCTATTATTACTAATCACAAAATATTAGAATTCATGCTAAAACATTAGGCATGTTATCAATTGCTGTATGTGACGGATGCATATTGTTTGCTTGTGCTCTAATTTCAGTGAATTCTGTAACATGGTGAGAAGAATCTTTATATGCTCAAGTCAGGATGTGAAGAAAATGACTCCTGGAAGCAAACTCCCCGTGTTTTCCCTCGAAGGTGAAGGGACTGTATTAAGTTCAGAAACAGCTGATAACTGAAACATGGAGCAATCTGTTTCTGCCTTTTTCATTTTTGTCATTTTTAATTTACTTTTATGCTTGCTTTTGTTGTTTGGTTCCGGGGATAAGTAGAGGCATTTAGCGTTTGTATTTGGACTCTGGAGGATGGTTGGAGAGAAGGAAGGAACACTGGCTAATTAGTAAGGCTCAGTTTTTCAGAGCTAACTACTGAAAGGACATTCTAAAAGATAGTTATTGACTGGGTGGGTCTCTAAGGAGTAGTGGAAATTAAACCTTGTAGGGGCTAGTCTGTACATTTTTTTGGCAATTGCTAGTAGTGGGGGTTGAAGGGGTATATGTTTCTTGTGTCTGTAAATATTTTGTGTTTTGGCAATGTAATTTTTTTTTTTTTTCTTTTTGGTTTCTAGAATGGAATTTTTAATGCAAGAAGTTGCAATGCCAGCTCCATTGTACTGGGATTATTATTTTATCACTGGTCTCTACCCAATAATAATGATCATCTAAACAATGCCAACTTTTTTGAGGTGGAGGAGGTTAACATTCAACTCCCATGACCCATTTCTTTTTCTCTGCAGCTTTCCCCATGGCTGGTGTCTTGTGGTGGCCCAATTGCTGAAAATTTTTTGGGGGGGAAATTATTACATGTTCCTGATTTTCAGTTCTTGAATGTTTGTTTTTCATATTTTATTTATTGCGATCTGCTCTCTCTTTTAAAATCTCAAAATATAAGTTAAACTATCTAAAAAATCTCAAAATGTAAGTCGTTTAACGTTTTTATAAAGAGATTAAAAGAGCAATTAATTCTCTTATTATAACAAAAATATGGTTTAATTTTGACAAAAAAAATTTTAATTTTTTAATTGATAAAATTATTTTTATTATTAAAATTATTTTTTTGCTTTTTTAATTATTATAAAGATTCATCTGATAATTCATTCACATCACCGCAAACACCATCTCATCCACCACCTTTATCACGCAGAAGCATTAGACCTACACATGGACCCTCTTGGCTGAATGATTTTGTAGCCAATGTTACCCACAATAGCAATATATCTGTTGCTACTTCTGCAGGTACTAATGAAAAATCTATGAACCAAGTACTTATCAACAGGCTACGCAAGATGCCAATTGAGTTCAAGCTATGCAAAAGGAGCTTGAAGCTTTGGAAAAAAAAAAAAAAAAGTAATAGTTGGTCCCTTACTGATCTACCTCATGGAAAGAAACCTATAGGTTGTGAATGCATTTTTTGGGTTAAATACAACTCAGATGGTTCTCTTGACAAATATAAAACTAGATTGGTAGCCAAGGGCTACAACCAACTTCTTGGCCTCGATTATAATGACACATACTCTTGGGTTGCAAAATTAGTCACAAATAGACTGCTACTTGCAGTAGTTAATGCAGAGGTATGGCCTTTACACCAACTTGATATAAATAATGCTTATTTACATGGTTTTATTGATGAGGAGATATATATGAGTCCACTAGAGGGTTATTTAGTTGCCAAACCTGGCCAAGTTTGTCGATTGCTTAAATCTCTCTAGGGGTTGAAACAGGCAGGTAGGTAATGGAATAAAGAATTCACTGCTACTTGAAATCCTATGGTTTTCATCAATCCACTCATGATCATTGTTTGTTTACAATGAGTGAAGGAGCTAATCTTTTAGCCCTCTTGGTATATGTTGATGATGTCTTACTAACCGGACCAAATGAAGAGCTTATTATTGCAGTTAAACAATTCCTTCATTCTAAATTCACAATCAAAGATATTGGCTATGCTAAATACTTGAGGATTGAAATAGTTAGTTCTGATATGCGAATGTATATTTCACAAAGGAAATTTATTTCAGATCTCATCTCTTGCTGGTTTAGATCATGCTGCTCATGTTCGATCTTTAACTGATTATTGTATTTTTCTTGGTTCATCACTCATCTCATGGAAATAAAAAAAACAACCTACTGTGAGTAAGTCCTCCGCAGAAGCAGAGTATCGTAGCATGGCCTCAACTGTATGTGAATGACAGCTGATTTTATACATCCTTAAAGACTTGCAGCTTCCTTTACATCTTCCTATTCCATTGTATTGTGATAATAAAGTAGCTTTACATATAGCGGCAAATCCGGTCTTTCACGAGAGGACTATACATATCGATATTGATTGCCATATAGTGCGAAATCAGTTGCTTTGTGGATTCATTAAGACTGCTCATGTTTTATCAGCTTTACAACTCGCAGATATCTTTCGCAAAGTCTTTACCCTCTTCATCCTTTTTTTTTCTTTTGTCCAGGCTGGGATTAGTAGATTTTTCTCCAACTCCATCTTGAGGGGTGTAAATTATATCACTGTCATGCTTAGTTTTAATTTATTTTTGATGAACTTGTAATTTATTTTTGGCATCAAACATACAACTCATGGGACTCGGCAATTTAGTTAGATTAGAAAATTTTACAATAGCAACAACTGTATATAAAAAGTCTCCATTCTCATTGAGCTCAAAGCATATCATTTTGTACCCGTCATTGTTAATATATTGAGAATCATTTTTCTCCTATATCTTCCATTAAATCTGTTCAATTCATTGTAAGGATGTGATTGGTTGGAGGGAATTTTCTTGTCATTTTCATAACTGTCGTAACTTTCTTGAGTTTTATTTAATTCCATCTTTAATGTCCCCTAATGCTTCCAAGATAAAAATCAATTTGATGTATCAATAATTAATTAATTACTTCTAATTAATTCAGTAGTACAATTCAATTTGCTCACTAATAAAACATCTGTTTAAACATTAAAATAATATTTAACTTAATCAAAATCTTACTTCATGTATATAAAATAGAAGTGACCAAACATATATGCACCTTTTATCACTCGATCTTAGAAATATAGCACCATTCAAGAACTATGGAGGAACTGAGAGACCATGCATTTCCTCTTCACACCGTTAAACCTATGCCTCAAACAAACTTCAACCGTATTTTTGCCCTAGTTTATGCTTGTGCCATCGTAGCTCTACTCTGTTACCACACAAAAACCCTATTCTACTCCACCACCACCGTCTCTTTTTATGTAACTTTAACCATGTTTGTCGCTGATCTAGTTCTTGCTTTCATGTGGGCCAGCACGCAGGCTCTTCGCATGCGCCCTGTTCATCGTCAACAATTTCTTGAAAACTTAGAGAAGAACATGAAAAGAAGCGAATATCCAAATATAGACGTGTTTATATGCACTGCAGATCCTTATAAAGAGCCACCAATAAGTGTAGTAAGCACAGCTTTATCAGTAATGGGTTATAGTTATCCAAGAGACAAGATTTCTGTGTATGTTTCAGATGATGGTGGCTCAGCCTTGACTCTATTTGCTTTAATGGAGGCAGCTAAGTTTGCTAACCACTGGTTACCGTTTTGTGAGGAGAATAACGTATTAGAGAGAAGCCCTGATGCATATTTCAAATCAAATCAATCTTTTTCCTCAGAAACTGAGAAAATTAAGGTAAGTAACTTTCTTAGATTGTTCTTGATTATTGTTTATCTATAATAATGCCCATGTTTTAGCTGTATTATTCATCAATCATTCTATTCATTTTCCACCTGCAAGTGTCAGCCATTTATATTAGTGCTTTTGTTCCTGATAAGCATCAAGCGGATGTGCTTATAGTTTTATTAGGTCATCAAGCTGGACTTTTCAGTCGGTATACATATAGTGTCATTTTTGCTGACATTTCTTTGTAGGAATTAAGAAAATTTTTAAGATAGAAACTGTAAAATTAAGAAATATCTAGTAAAAGCACCGGACATCCGTAGAAATTAATGATTTAGATATGGTAACAATCTCAGATGTAAGCATAGTTGTCTGTTTGTAAAAAAAGAACATTTCCCTTTTAAAATTTAATTTTTAACTTCATTAATTTGTTGCAAATTGCACAGACGATGTACGAAAGCATGAAGTTTAAGATAGAAACTGTGGTTGAGAGAGGAAAAGTTGAAGATCACTACATAAATGGACCCCAAGAGAAACATGCCTTCGACAACTGGACTGATAAATTCACAAGAAAAGACCATCCTACTGTCATTCAGGTTTCTATTCTTATTGGAATTTTTCTTTTCTTTTTGTTTGTTTTTTAACACGATTGAAATATAGTAATAAAAATTGTGACATGCAGGTTCTGTTAGATAATAGCAAGAACAGAGATATTACTGGCCTTCAAATGCCAAACCTCATCTATGTCTCTAGGCAGAAAAGCAAAACGTCGCCTCATCACTTTAAAGCTGGTGCTCTCAATGTTCTGGTAGGTTTTATGCTTTAAAATCTTTATAATACAGTCCATGAGGTTGAGTTTCAGGTAAGCGGCTGAGATACCTGAGAATTAGACCAAGATTCTATCTTCAGTGACAATAACCTCACGTAGAAGCATTTAACTCTAGTGGTCCCGAGCGCGGACAATTAAACTGACATGGATTGGTGACCATCGGGATACCACACAATGTACCAAAAAAAGAAATCTTTAATAATGCAAAAGTTGATTTTGTATGGTTTGTTTTTTTGCAGGTGAGAGTATCAGCTGCCATGACCAATGCACCTATTATTCTAACACAAGATTGTGACATGTACTCTAACGATCCCCAAACACCACTCCGTGCTCTCTGTTATTTTTGTGACCCTGATCCTGCATTTAGGTCCAACTTAGCCTATGTTCAGTTTCCTCAAATATTTCAAGGAATCAACAAGAACGACATCTATGCTTGTGCATTTAAACGTCTCTTCGAAATCCAATCAATGGGATTTGACGGGCTGTTGGGCCCAAATTATGTTGGTACTGGATGCTTCTTTTCTCGAAAAGCTCTGTTTGGTAGCCCATCAAAACCAGTTCTTCCAGAGATACCTGAGCTAGGCCCATGTCATGTGGTTCACAAACCCCTCCAATCCCAATCAGTTTTGTCATTGGCTCATCAAGTTGCAAGCTGTGACTATGAGAACCCGACTCAATGGGGTTCCGAGGTAGGTCATGAACTAATGTACATTACATTTCATATTGAATTTAGGGTATGGGACCAAGCTAATAAAAAAAAGTTTTTTTTTCAAAAAATGTTATTATTTTATCTTTTTTTTTTTTAATATATAGTCAGAAATACTCTTATTTAAATCAAAATACCGTTTATAACTAATCTGTGTTTAAATGGGATCATACACGGAGTGTAAATAATTCTTTCCCTTGCTGTTATAACTTGCAGATAGGATTTAGATATGGGTCTCTGGTTGAGGACTTCTATACAGGGTATAGGTTGCAATGCCAAGGATGGAAGTCAATATTCTGTAGACCTAAAAGGGCAGCCTTTTTTGGTCATGCTCCTGTCTGTTTGGTTGACCTGTTGAACCAACAAAAGAGATGGGCAATTGGGCTTCTTGAGGTCGCATTCTCTAAATATAACCCAATTACATTTGGAGTTAAGTCTATGGGCCCTTTAATGGGCTTAGGTTATGGACAGTATGTATTTTGGCCCACTTGGTCATTACCAATCATCACTTACGCTTTCCTTCCGCAACTAGCACTTGTCAACAAAGTATATATATTTCCAAAGGTAAGTCCTAAGCTTAATTATATGAGTATGGTTTAATATAGATTACATCTTAAATCTAGACAGTTACATCTTTATCTTGGTTTCTATTTTTGTAAATTAAAAAATTATTTCATGATCAATCGAGCTAACAAAAGAAACAAAAATCAAAATTTTGTGATTTTTCTTTGTTTTGACAATTTATTGTTGTGTTTTAAGATACCAAATAATAAATTTCAAATGTGAAAAATTAAACGAAATAAAACAATTACAAGAATTCCATATCAACCGTAATAGAATTTATTTTTCACGTGCCTTTTTTCCTGATTAGAACTGAAACGTGCAATGTGATGGTGCAGGCATCAGAACTTCCATGGTTTCTCCTTTACGTGTTTCTATTTCTTGGAGCTTATGGTCAAGATTTTGTTGACTTCCTATCCGTTGGTGGGTGGTTCCAATCTTGGTGGAATGATCAAAGAATTTGGCTCATAAGGGGTCTAACCTGTCATTTGTATGGTTCCATAGAGTTCTTGCTCAAGACTCTCGGAATTTCAAGATTTGGCTTCAACTTGACAAGCAAAACAGTAGACGATGAAGTAAGCAAAAGATACGAGCAACACATCTTTGAATTTGGAATCCATTCTCCAATGTTTGTCTATTTTACAATGGCAGCTTTCGTCAACTTGATTTCACTTTTCCGTGGCCTGTTTCAAGTTTTCAAAGATGGCAACTTGGAGGAATCATTTTTGCAGTTGCTTCTTGCGGGTTTTGCTGTTTTGAATTGTTGGCCAATTTATGAAGCTATAGCGTTCAGGACCGATAGTGGGAAAATGCCACTAAAAACTACTCTCATTGCTACATTTTGGGCATCTTGTCTTTATGTAGGGGCTTCTATCATTTTCAACTGAAGAAAGCATCAACAGTGATTGGCTCCAGTGTACAATAAATTATATTAATTATGATGATTATGATTTTTCGATTTTCCTCCTTTTCTTGCTTATTTTAGGGTATTTGTAATAAAAATTTATATTTCTAATTCATGTGAGTTTATGCATACCAAGATTTGTACAAACCAAGATTATAATAGTTGTATTGAATATGGCTTTTTTTATCTTTTTCAAAGAAAATATTGAATATTTTTGGCATCACAGGCCCTAAAGATTGGCCAAAGCACATGAAAGTATAACCAGAAACAGCTATGGAGGGTCTGAGAGGCAGCACCAGCACCACCACCACTAATCCATCCCGTCTTCATACTGTTAAGCCTATGCCCCAAACAACCTTCAACCATATTTTTGCTCCAATTTTCGCCTGTGCCATCCTAGCTCTGTTCTATCACCATATCACTACTCTTCTTTACTCCAAAACCCTCTTCTCTTTCTCTGTAACCCTCATCTTGTTCATCTCCGATCTCATTCTTGCTTTTATGTGGATCAATACAGAGTCTCTTCGCATGCGCCCTGTCCATCGACAACAATTCCCTGAAAACTTGAAGAAAGTCATGAAAGAAAGCGATTATCCAGCTTTAGACGTGTTTATATGCACTGCAGATCCATATAAGGAGCCCCCAATAAGTTTAGCGAACACAGCTTTATCAGTAATGGCGTATGATTATCCAACAGAGAAGATTTCTGTGTATGTTTCAGATGATGGAGGCTCAGCCTTGACTCTCTTTGCTTTAATGGAAGCAGCTAAATTTGCTAGCCACTGGTTACCGTTTTGCCAGAAGAACAACTTAGTAGATAGGGGCCCTGAAGCATATTTCCAATCAAATCAACCTTGTAGTTCCTCAGAGTTTGACAAGATTAAAGTGAGTTTTAATTTATAGTGATAATTTCTTATTTAAGAATTATTTTGAATCTTTGATCCAAGTTTTCTTGTATTTATTTTGCACAGGATATGTACGAAAGCATGAAATTAAAAATAGAACAAGTTCTTGAAAGAGGAAAAATTGATGATGAGCTCTTAAGTGGACATCAAGAGCGTGAAGCTTTCAATAAATGGACTGATAACTTCACACGACAGGATCATCCCACCATCATTCAGGTAACCCAGATCATATCTTAAACTAGGAACACATATATTTTATTGAATTAATTCTAAGTTATGTTCTGTGTGCTGGGTAATTCTTTTTTCTCTTCCTGGTTTACGAAAATATAAAGGTTTGAGCAGGTTGTGTTAGATAATAGCAAGAACACAGACGTCAGTGGCCAGCAGATGCCAAACCTAATCTATGTCTCTAGACAGAAAAGCAAGACATCACCCCATCACTTCAAAGCTGGTGCCCTGAACGTCCTGGTATATTCCTTTCCTATAAAAACCAGGACAAAATTTGATTTATGTCTATTCAATCGACGTGTAGTTTCTCGTTTTTGGTGGTAATTGCAGATAAGGGTATCAGCTGTAATGACAAATTCACCAATAATATTGACGCTAGACTGTGACACTTTATCTAATGATCCAAAAACGCCACTCCGAGTCCTGTGTTACCTCTGCGACCCTGACCTCGACCCTGAGTGCAGATCAAGATTAGGGTATTTCCAATTTCCTCAACGATTCAGTGGAATTAACAAAAACGACATTTATGGTTGTATGTGTACAAGAATGGCTGTTCTATCACCAATGGGGTTTGATGGTTTGATGGGCCCCAATTACATTGGAACCGGATGTTTCTTTAATAGAAGAGCTCTATTTGGAGGTCCATCGAACCTAATTTCACCGCAGATTCCTGAGTTGGACCCACAGCATGTTGTGGACAAAACCCTCCAATCCCAATCAATCTTCGCTTTGGCTCATCAAGTTGCAACTTGCCATTTTGAGACCCACAACACCAATTGGGGCGAAAAGGTAATTAATTTAGCCTGTGAAGTAATTTTCAAATCAATACAGTCTTATTTATTTTTCTATTTGTAGGGCCAACAAATACTATATTACTGATTGTATATTAGCTGTTTTTTTCCTCGAAAATGAGGATAGAGACAGAGAGGTCACGAGTTTGAGTTCTCTCAACTATTATTTTCACTAATTTGGTGAGCTAAAAAAGGATTTTCCTATTTTGTTGCTTGAATATTAATGCTATTTCGACCCGTCTAATCTATAATGAAATTAGAAAAACAAAGAGATGATCCAAAAACTATTTTATTTTGAGCAAATAGTTATTTTGAATAAATAACTACTTAGTTTCTGAAATTTTAATGAGATTTTGATCGCATCTCTACTCTTCAGTAAAATCACTGATTAGTCTTTGAGATTTAACCTAATAAAAATATTGCAATTTACTGTGTTATAACATGCAGATAGGATTCAGATATGGATCACTAGCAGAGGATAATTTCACGAGTTATAGAATGCAATCAGAGGGATGGAAATCAATATTCTGCCACCCTAAAAGGGCAGCATTTCTTGGTGACTCTCCTACCACCTTGATTGAAGTATTGAACCAACAGAAAAGATGGACATTTGGTCTTCTTCAGGTCGGATTTTCTAAATATTGCCCAATAACATTTGGGATTCGAGCTATTAGTCCTTTCATGGCTTTAGGTTATGGACACTACTTCTTTTGGGGCATCTGGTCAATCCCAATCACAGTGTATAATTTCCTTCCTCAACTAACCCTTCTCAATAAAGTCTACATATTCCCAAAGGTATACCCTAAACTCATTCCTGACGATATAACAATAATCCAAATAGTAATTCATATACATTTTCTTGAGCAGGTATCAGAACAATTCCCATGGTTTCTGCTCTATTTGTTTCTATTTCTTGGAGCTTATGGACAAGATTTTATCGACTTTATGTTCGTCGGGGTGTCGTTCAAAGCTTGGTGGAGTGATCAGAGAATATGGCACATAAGGGGACTAACATGTCAATTGTTTGGTTTCATTGAGTTCTTGCTTAAGACTGTAGGAATTTCAAGCTTTGGTTTTAATGTGACAAGCAAAACAGTTGATTCTGAAGTAAGCAAGAGATATGAGCAAGGCATCTTTGAGTTTGGAGTTCATTCTCCAATGTTTGTCTCTCTTACGATGGCGGCTTTAGTTAACTTGGCTTCACTTATCCATGGCTCATTTCAAGTTTTCAGAGATGGCAACTTGGAGGAACCATTTATGCAGATAGTTATTGCAGGTCTGGCTGCTTTGAATTATTGGCCAACTTATGAAGCTATAATGTTCAGGACTGATAGTGGAAAAATGCCAATCAAAACTACAATTATGGCTACGTTTTTGGCATGTTGTCTTTATCTAGTGACATCTTCCATTCTCAAGTCAAATGGGTTTGTTTTGATTTTGAAGGATATGCCCTGAATATGCTTTGATATTTAAATTTTAATTATATATGCATATCTATATAAATAAATGAAATTCTAAGTATTCCTTTTTTTATTTTTTTATATAAAGTAAAAATGTACTTAAAAAATAAGGTGAGTCGGCAGTTTTAGTTGTTCCAGTAACTATTTGCTGTTTTAATAGCCGTTAGTTGTTTTACTGTGGATATTAGCTATTTATATAGCGGTTTAGAATAAAATGTTGGATACAATTAACTATTTGATTAACTGTTTAATATAAACGACAAAAAAAAAAATAAAAATAGAACAAAATAAAGATAAGTGATAAGTATAAGTATCATAAAAAAATTATAAAACTCTAAACGTTAACCAAGATAAAGTTTCACACTTTAAAAATTAAAATAAATATTATATTACCGAATACTATAATTCATTAAAATTAACCAGTAATTATAACTAGGATGACCACCCACTAGACTGACTCTTTATTTAAATAGTCATATGGAAAGTTATCCCGCTTGAGAGAATTGGCCTACCTCACATTAGATTTTTCTAAAATAGCAACGACTCTTCTCTTGCCATTTTCTTTAGGGCTAGAGAAGATTCTTTGAGGTGTAGGAAAAAGTTGAAGTTCGATTATTTCCATTCCCACTGTGATTCTTCTTTCAACGTTAATGCTTAAATGGGATTAGTCTAATCCTTAGTTAAAAGATAAAGACATTACTTTAATTAAGTGGGTGCTGGCCAGCTGCCAAAATGCAAAATTTTCCTTTTTTTTTTTTTTTTTTTTTTACTCTAAACGTTAACCAAGGATAAGGTTTCACACTTTAAGTAAAATTAAAATAAATTATTATATGTACGAATACTATAATTTCATTAAAATTTAAAACCTAGTAATTTATAACTAGGATTGGACCACCACTTTAACTGACTCTTTTATTTAAATAGTCATATGGAATAGGTTATATCCCGCTTGAAGAGAATTGGCCCTTACCTCACATTAGATTTTTCTAAAATAGCAAACGTGACTCTGTCTCGTTTGCCAGTTTCTTTAGGGGCTAGAGAAGATTCGTTTGAGGATGTAGGGGAAAAAGTTGAAGTTCGAGTGTGATTTCCTTTCCCACGGTGTGATTCTTCTTTTCAACGTTAATGCTTTAAAAGTGGGATTGTCTAATCCCTTAGTTAAAAGATTAAAGACATACTTAATTAAGGTTGGGTGCTGGCCAAGGCTGCCAAAATGCAAAACTCTCTCTCCTCTCTCTCTCTCTCTCTCTTTTTTTTTTTTTTGAAGTTTTTAAAGAAGGTTTCTTTTTTTTGAAGTTTTTATTTATAGATCCGGACAATTAGATAAAAACAGATAATTTCTTTTGAATTTTTTATTTACAATTTAAAACTATGATTTCTTACAGTTTTTGAATTGTCTGTATTATGTATATGTGGGAATATTTTTTTTTTTTTTTTTTTTTTGAAGTTTAAAGAAGGTTCTTTTTTGAAGTTTTATTATAGATCCGACAATTAGATAAAAACAGATAATTTCTTTTGAATTTTTTATTACAATTAAAACTATGATTTCTTACAGTTTTGAATTGTCTGTATTATGTATATGTGGAATGAAAGAAGAAAAATTAATTTATGAGAAACCCAAATGATAAAAAAACAAATTGAATGAAGCCGGTTTAATTTCATTCAGTTTAACATTTTAAAAATTCAGTTTAATTTTCATTTTCAACTTGATTTAATTTTTATTACATCTAAATAATAAATTTAGATCTGTCTAAAATAGTCAAAACCAAATCAAACCAAATTGATTTAATTTTATTCAATTTTATACATTATTCGGATTAATTTAATTTTTATTTTAAAAATTTCCAAAACTGAATTCTCCGCTAACATTCTTATAAAAATATTAATAGTGCACGACTTTGACTTCCCAAGAAAAACATCAGACTTCGCATTATCAATAAGTAGAGTTAGAAGCCAATCTACTCGGTCTTCATTATTTTTTTTTTAATGTACATTTTACAGTCTCTCCACTTAGATACCAGGTCATCATCCTTAGCCATCTCCGCTAGACATCATTTGCAGTTATCTTCGTCATTTCAATATAAATAGACATGTCCAAAATAAATTCCAAGCGCTATTAATCTTGGGATCGATAACAATGGAGGCTAAAACCAAGGCACCTCCTCTTCCTCTTCACACAGTTAGATCCATGCCTCAAACAACCTTCAACCGTGTATTTGCTTCAGTCTACGCTTGTGCCATTCTTGCTCTACTCTATCACCATCTCATATCTCTTCTTTACTCCAAAACCATCGTCTCTTTCTCCATAACTCTCATTTTGTTAATCTCTGATCTAATTCTTGCCTTCATGTGGATCAACACGCAGTCCACTCGCATGTATCCAGTCTATCGACAACAATTCCCAGAAAATTTGAAGAAAGTTTTGAAAAGAAACGATTATCCAGGTTTAGACGTGTTTATATGTACTGCAGATCCATATAAAGAGCCGCCAATAAGTCTAGTGAATACAGCTTTATCAGTAATGGCTTATGATTATCCAGTGGAGAAGGTTTCTGTGTATGTATCTGATGATGGTGGCTCAGCCTTGACTCTCTTTGCTTTAATGGAGGCGGCTAGATTTGCCAGCCATTGGTTACCATTTTGCCAGAAGAATCGCCCAATGGATAGAAGTCCTGAAGCTTATTTTAAATCATCAAATCAAATTTTGTCTCCAGATACTGAAAAGATTAAGGTACGAATTCTGATATCTATTTAGATTTAGATAATTTAACTTTTAAATTTTGAGTGTGAAATTATAATAATTTAATAAAAATTCAACTAAACTGAGAGTCTATAAAGTCGAAACATTAGTGTTTTTAATTTAATAAAAAATTAGTTAAACAGACAGTAATTAAATCAGTTAATTTTATCTAATATAATATAAATTTTTTCGAAAAATAATAAATATGAATGTCCAATCAATTTAAATTTTCTTATTTTATATGATCATATCTACCTACCACGACAGAGTGGAGGCCAGGATGGCCAAAACAGAGCATAGAATACCAACAAATGAACCATAAATTATTTCTGGTGCAGTGGGGCCACACAACAGGCTAGATAGGTTAGCCCCGCTTATATATCACATTGTTCTGTGTGTTCTCTGTCTTCTAGTAGGACATTTTTTTTTTCTTTGTTTTTTATTTTGAGGATAAGATTAATTTTATTGCAATTTGCATAGGTTGAATATGGACATTATCAGTTTTTGACTTGCTGAGTAACTGATAATGTAATGGTATATAATATGGTGTCGTTTTGTAATTTCCAATATACTATATCTTATCCTGAGGCTCCTCGAGAAAAATAAAGTTACCAAATTAAGTGAATTGTTATAGAAAGATGAGTCAGACGAAGCTGGATTTCACATGATAACCTATGAGAGATTCATGTTTTTGCTGGAGACAACATTAATCTTTAATTAGATTGCATGAAAGAGACTATATATGATTTATCATTTCAATATATTATTATTTACCAATTTACAACTAGCGTTTACATTTATCTATATTTAAAAATTATTTCCTTTTCTTGATTGATTTTGATCCATAGATAATGTACGAAAGATTGAAAACGAAAATAAAACGTGTTCTTGAGAGAGGGAAAGTTGATGAAGAATTCATCAAGGGAGCTCAAGAGTACGAGGCATTTAATAAATGGACTGATAAATTCACTCGACAAGACCATCCCACTGTTATTCAGGTTCGAATTTCCCATTATTTATATCTCGAAAATCATGGAATTCAATAATTTTTCGATAAAATTAACCAATTCAAGCATAATTAATTAACCAAAAAAAAATTGTTTTCAGGTTTTATTAGATACCAACAAGGACAGAGATGTTACTGGTCATCAAATGCCAAACCTCATTTATGTAACTAGAGAGAAAAGCAATACTTCAACGCACCACTTCAAAGCTGGTGCCCTAAATGTTCTGGTATCTTTCTTTTACATAAAATTTTTAGGAATGCAATTTGCTGATTCTCACGATATATACTATACCTGTCTTGTTACTTGCAGTTAAGGGTTTCAGCTTCCATGACTAATGCACCAATAGTCTTGACCCAAGATTGTGATATGTATTCTAATGATCCTCAAACACCACTTCTTGCCCTTTGTTACTTCTGTGACCCTGATCCTGCTATTAGGTCTAAATTAGGTTATGTTCAGTTTCCTCAAAGATTCCATGGAATTAACAAGAACGACATATATGCTTGTGCTTATAAACGATTATATGAGATTCAACCAATGGGGTTCGATGGTCTTAAAGGCCCCCATTATCTTGGCTCTGGATGTTTCTTTTCTCGAAGAGTTTTCTTCGGAGGACCATCAGCTCTACTTGCACCGGAGATACCTGAGTTGCACCCAGTTCATGCTGTGGACAAACCCCTTCAATCAAAATCAAGTTTGGCACTGGCTCATCAAGTTGCAAGTTCCAATTATGAGAACCAGACTAATTGGGGCACAAAGGTAATCAAACCATGATTTGGTTAATTAATGTTTAAGACATTGTTAATGTTTGATTACTTAGAATAATGAAATTTCAAGCTTCAAAGGCGCTTTAATGTGCAGATAGGATTTAGGTATGGATCACTTTCTGAAGACTTCTTAACCGGTTTTCATATGCATTGTGAAGGATGGAAGTCTATATTTTGCCACCCTAAAAGGGCAGCATTTTTAGGGGATGCTCCAATTACCTTGATTGACTTGCTGAGTCAACAAAAGAGATGGACCCATGGGGTTCTTCAGGTTGGGTTTTGTAAACACAGCCCAATTACTTTTGGTGTTAAGGCAACCGGCCCCTTAATGGCCTTAGGTTATGCACAGTCAACATTTTGGGCCAGCTGGACAATTCCAATCACAACATATGCCTTCCTTCCTCAGCTAGCTCTTCTCAATAATGTTTATATTTTTCCAAAGGTATCTCTTACAACCCATTGCCAACATATATATATATATATTTTGGTTTTAACTATTCGTATTCAAAACTCAAAACTCATTTGCTCGAATATCTGGATTCACACCGGGTAGGTCATAAAGGCAGTAAAACGCTCTCTCTCGAGTGTTTAAAGAGACTTTATGCTCGGTGTTCGAATTGCATAAATATTTCATTTAATGTTTATTTTTATGTGTATATATATTTATAAGAATATGTTAATGTTGTCAAATATTAATAATGCTACTAAATATGTCTTATAATTTAATTATTTCCTGTTTCTGCTAAGCAAATCCATAATGATTAATGATCATAGACTTTTCTTTTTTCTTTTTTTTTTTTTCTTTTCTTGGGTATAGGAACGGTTTTTTCTATCTTTTGTGGACGCTTGATAAGACCAAAAACTACTTTTTCTTCTCTGTCGATGAGACACTCCACGTGAACTTCCTTATCTAGATATCTTTCTGATCAAATATTTGTATATGCATTAATTAGAATAGAAAACTTGTGATGCAGGTATCAGATCAATTCCCATGGTTTCTGCTCTATTTGTTTTTATTTCTTGGAGCTTATGGGCAAGATTTTCTTGACTTTGTCTTGGACGGTGGGTCAGCCAAATCTTGGTGGAACGACCAAAGAATATGGCACGTAAGGGGACTAACATGTTACTTGTTTGGGTCCATTGAGTTCTTGCTTAAGGCTTTAGGACTCTCAAGTTTTGGTTTTAACGTGACCAGTAAAACAGTAAATGATGAAGTAAGTAAAAGATATGAGCAAGGCATCTTTGAGTTTGGAGTTCATTCTCCAATGTTTGTCTCTCTTACGATGGCAGCTTTAGTTAACTTGATTTCACTTGTCCATGGCGTCTTTCAAGTTTTGAAAGATGGTAACTTGGAGGAACCATTTCTGCAGATACTTATTGCAGGTTTTGCTGTCTTGAATTGTTGGCCAATTTATGAAGCTATAACGTTCAGAACTGATAGTGGGAAAATGCCAATCAAAACTATTTACGTCTCCATATTTTTGACATGTTGTATTTATTTAGTTGCTTCTTTCATTTTGTGAAATCTTCCATTGACATTATTTATTTATTATTGAAAATGGACCGCTGTAATTGTTTATGGCTGTAGATCTAAATCCAAGAGAATTGCAGGCTCTGCGTTTTTTTTCTTTTTTATCTCAATCACGGTCTTGTTAATAAATTTTAGCTGGTCGAGATCTCCAATATATACTTTGGGTTTCCATATTGGTTCTTGGTGCGTTAAAGGCTTTAGGACTCTCAAGTTGTTTTAATTGTGACCAGCTTAACAACCAGCATACACATCGCCATAGTAAGTTAAATGGAATATGAGCAAAGGCACATAATTGAGTTTGGAGTTCATATACATCCACCCCATTGTTATAGATACTATAACATTACGATGGCAGCTTTAAGTTAACTGATTTCAAAACTTGTGTTCCAATTGGCGGTCTTTCCAAAGTTTTGAAAAGATTGGTAAACTTGGAAGGAACCAATTTCAATGCAGATACTTATTGCAGGTTTTAATTGCATGTTCAATTTGATATTGTCGGGCCCTTTAATTTCCATGAAACGCCTATCAACGCTTCAGCAACTGATTAGTCGGGAAATAATGTCTCAATCAAAACTTTTCTTTTAGATGTTGCCAAAATAATTATATTTAGTGTGCTTCTTTCGCTATTTTTTGTTGATAAATACTTCCATTTGAATGTTATAATTTATTTATTATTGAAATGGACCGCTGTTGTAATTGTTTATGGCTTGTAGATCTTAAATCCAGAGAATGTGCAGGGGCCTGCGGTTTTTTCTTTTTTATGCTCAATTTCACGGTCTTGTTAATAAATTTTTAGCTTGGTCGAGATCTCCAATATTATTATATATATATATTATTATATTTTTTTTTTTTTTTTTTTTTTGAGCTCAGCTCACTTACATATTATATTAGTCACCCCCATGAGGAATTATATTTTCTCTCTTTTTCTCCGTTCCCGCTATAATAATATTGAAAAATATTATATTCATTATATTGGAGATGTTGAGGTAGGTTCATAATTAGAGGGCCATTTTTTTTGAGCTCAGCTCCTTACTATTTTGTCACATGAGGAATTTATTTCTCTCTTCTTCGTCTCCTGTATATATGTGTATACATATATGAGAGTGAGGTAGGTTCATAATTACCTGCCATTCCCTTTCTGAGCTCAGCTCCTTACTCTTTTGTCACATGAGGAATTTGTTTCTCTGTCTTCTTCGTCTCAAATACATATATATGCGTGTGAGGTAGGGTTGATAATGACCTGACCTGACATGGCCATACCCTTTCAGCCAAACCAGCTCTATGCCAATATCTTGTTTGGTGTATTTTCTTCCAACAATATTTATTACATAGGTCCAAAACCCAAACTGCCACCAACCAGTTACACTTACATATTATATACACATAAATTATCTACTTGTCTGCATATTAACTGAAGAAAAGTTGAACAGTTCTTTAATATCACATGTTCATATCTATACAATCTCTTTGATTGTCTCGGTATATGGTGCTTAAAGATCTTTGAGCCTTTTCTGTTTTTATTTTCGTTTGTTCAATAAATTGATCTACTGAGCGAGAATTGATACGTAAGCCTTAAATTATTCACACGTGTACAGTTGGCACGTCGTCCTCCTATCGAGGCCTTACTATAAATACCACCTGTAGTACACTTGAAACAATCGCTGAGATAGCATCAAAATCAGCAGCTTACCTCTCTCCCGAAGAAATGGAGAGCCAAAGAGGTAGCACCGCCTCCGTCGCCGCCACCACCACCACCACCACGACTAAAACCTCCGATGTTCCTCCGATTCACAAAGTGCAACTAATGCGCCGAACACACGTTAATTGTGTATTTGGCATATTTTACAGTGTTGCTATCTAATCCTTGTTATATCTCCATGCAAAAATGGGTATTTTCAAAAAAAAAAACAAAATTTAGGAATTTACAATAATTGACTCAAATAAAATTACCATGCTTTTTTAGTACCATAATAATTTTTATATTATTGTATAATTAGAATATTATATTGTTTATTAATTGGAAGAAAAACTTTCAATTCTAAAAATGATAATTTATAGCAGTTGCTTGAATGTGACTTGCTAGACCAACATGCACAGGTCCCCACTCACACGCTGAATCATTTAGCCGTGGACCACTGGACACTCTATTTTCATTTAGTATCATGACGTAGACACCTGGATAAGACTTAACCAATCAAAAAACAGTAATAAATTTTAATTGATTGGAGGAATGAAAAGTCAAATATTGTTTTTAGTTTTTTTTGTTGAAAGTAACGGTTTTGGCTTTGTGGTGCTGATTATTTCAGACAATGTACGAAAGCATGAAAGGAAGAGTAGAACATGTTGTTGAAAGAGGCGAAGTGGGAGACGAATATATCACTAGCGAGAAAGAACGTCAAGTTTTCAGCCAATGGACTGATAAATTCCCACGATCATCCCACTGTCATCCAGGTTTCAATACATTTCTCGTATTTTTTTACTTTTAATCATTTGAGAAGGACTTACTTGTTTACACCTGGTGTATGAGCTTATCTCATAGGCTAAATCAGTTAAAAACAGTTTTTAAGTTTAAACGTGATATTTCTGGTTGTTCAGTGAGAAGAAAAAGATAAAACAATAACCATTTTTTGATCGGCTTGGTGTATGACCGGGTTTGCTCCTTTTCTCTCACGTGTGCTTTGTCCACTCTAGTTGTTTATAAATTATACATTTGGTTGGTGAGATTGATCACATAACAAGCTGAACCAAAATAATTGCTTCTGATACGTACAAAGTTCAGATTCATGTGTCAATCTTAAATAAGAATTATACATTTGAATCAGGTTTTATTAGACAACAGCAAGGATAAAGACATTGCAGGCCAATTTCTGCCAAACCTGATTTATGTCTCCAGAGAAAAAAGCAAGTCTTCTCACCATCATTTCAAAGCTGGTGCACTTAATGCCCTGGTATTTATACACATATCTCCCCTTGCTTGAATATTGTTTTTACTTATTTTAAACCCATAATATGGATGATTTTGCAGATTAGGGTTTCTGCTGCTATGTATGCGCCTGTTGGTTTTGGACTGTGATACATACTCAAATGACCCACAAACTCTTGAACGCGTATTGTGTTACTTTTGGGATCCAGAAGTTCGTAAATATTGTGGGTTCATTCAATTTCCTCAGCGTTTTGTGGGATTGAATAAGTCTGACATTTATGCTTGTGAATTAAACGTTTGTTTCAAATTCATTCTTCTGGGTTTGATGGCTTATGAGGTGGTAACTTTTATGGAACTGGTTGCTTCTTCTCAAGAAGAGTCTTTTTTGGAACCCCATCAAATATGCTTACACCTAAACTTCCTGAGCTTAACCCATATCATGTCGTGAACAAGCCCATTCAATCTTAAGAAATCTTGTCTTTGGCTCACCAAGTTGCTGCTTGTAATTTTGAGAAAGATACTGACTGGGGCCAGAAGGTAATAATTAATTAACCCCAATTTACATGCTTCTCTCATCCACGATTTAATTTGTTTTAATTGTAAAATTTACTTGCAGAAAGGGTTGAGGTATGGGTCCCTAGTGGAAGACTACTATACAAGCTATCGGCTACATTGTGAACGGTCGAGGTCTGTGTTTTGTGATCCTGAGAGGCCAGCATTTTATGGAGAAGCACCTATTAGGCTATTAGCTTGATAGATGTGATGGTTCAACAAAAGAGGTGGGCTGTTGGACTTCTTGAGGTGGTTTTCTCTAAATATAGCCCAGGAGCCTATGGGCTAATGCATAATGGGCTCGTCAGTCATGGATATGCACAAATTGGATTCTGGGCCATCTGGTCTATTCCCAAGTAGCTCAATTAGCTCTCCTTAACAATCTCTCCATCTTCCCAGAGGTGATTAATTGTTAATTCTACACTTAGCTAAATCATAATTTTTTATTTTACGTGTATAAATCTAATAACAGGATTCGAAAATGTTATGGGCACAGGTCAAATCGCCATGGTTTCTCCTATATGCATTCCTTTTTCTGGGTGCATATGCACATGATCTTGTTGATTTTATATTGCATAAAGGAACTTCCCATTTGTGGTGGAATGATCAAAGAATGTGGAATCTAAGAGCGCTTTCAAGTTTCATGTTTGCAACTGTTGAGTTCATCCTCAAATCCTTTGGCATGTCTACACCAGGATTCACTGTAACAGCTAAAACAGAAGATGACGAACTAAGCAAAAGATATGATAAAGGGTTATTTGAGTTTGGAGTAGCATCATCTATGTTTGTGCCCTTAGTAATGACAGCTTTAATGAACTTAGTCTCGTTTTCTTGGGGAGTGTCTGAAATAATTAAGGGAAGGAATATGGAAAGATTAGATATCCAAATGTTTCTATCAGCATTTGCTGTAGTAAACTGCTGGCTTCTCTATGAAGGTATGGTGTTGAGAAGTGATAAAGGAAAAATGCCAGCAAAGGTTACTGTTATTGGAACAGTTCTGACATGGGCAATTTATACTGCTGGTTCTTTCGTTTTCTAGTAAATTTAGAAAGGCTTTGGTTTGTTTCTTATTTCCGGCGAGAAGTGTTTCTTTGCCTAACTCAGACTCAGCTGCCAATCTCCATGGACGAAATAATGCCTCTTCACGCTGCTGGCCAATTTCCTGAATTTGCTCTTTGATGTAATGGCTTGATCTATAATATATATTAAAACTGATGTATCTTTGCAATTTTTTGAATAAATTATGTTTCTGTAAAGTTAGTTGAGACATGCTAGCTCTAAATTATGGGTTTTTGTTTCTTTTTTTTTATTATTATTTTTCTTTTTTGAGGGTTTAATAATAATATGGAAGCATCAACCTGAAAATTCTGCTTGTTCCCATATTCACACACTTGAATATTTTCTTTCTTGAGAGTTGAGAATAACACTACATTGTGAGGGCTGGAGGTCCATATTTCGCAATCCAGATAGGCCTGCATTTCTTGGAAATGCACCCATTAACTAGGCGGATAACTTGAATCAATGTAAACGATGGTCCATTGGTGTTCTTGAGATTGGGTTCTCAAAATATAATCCATTAATCTATGGGATCAGACAATTGGGTCCTTGGACGACCTTAGCTTATTCACATTATGCATTTTGGGCCAATTTGGTTCTTTCCTATCATCACATATGCTTTTTCTACCCCAACTAGCTCTGCTCAACAAAGTTTCTGTCTTCCCAAAGGTATGCAATTATGTATTAGAAGTAATTGTATTCTGCATGATGAGAATTTGAACTTAGTTATAGCCTAACTTTAAAAAAGAGAAAAATCTAAACTCTTTTTGCAAGTTTATAAGATAATTATTGGAAAATGCATTGAAGGTGTCAGGTGCATAAGATTCTTCTTAAAAAAAAAAAAAAAAAAAAAAGAAAATGCAAATTGAAGGTTGTCAGGTGCATAAGAAATTTTCTTTTAAAAAAAAAAAAAAAAAAAAGATAATGTGGGCAATTTGGCTATTATTTTGTAGTAATAAGAAAAATTATATTAATTTACATTTATCATCCGATGTAATCTTTAGCAAAAAAAAAAAAAAAAAAAGATAATGTGGCAATTTGCTATATTTTGTAGTAATAAGAAAAATTATATTAATTACATTATCATCCGATGTAATTTTAAGCAATTGCAAACAACTTTTTCCTAGGATTCTGATACAATGCTAGTCCTCCAACCTAAACTGCCTCCAAGAAAATTTTGGGAAATACAATAATGCAGCAAAAAGAATTTGCTCACTTTTACAGATAGTTCATATGTATTTAGTGTATGCCTCCAGGGCTCTTAATTTGCCTATCTAGATACTTTATTAACTTTTTCAACTTCATATAGAAGGAAAAATTTAATTTCTTTAGTGTATTGCTATGTTTGGATATTTAGAGCTACAGATTCTTGACTAGAGCAGCTCCTTCTACTCTCTGCAGAAATGGGAAGCTCAGGACAGCTAGAAGAATCCATTGAACATGTTTCTGTGCTTGATGATCCCTCAATAGGTATAATAAGGCCATCGCAGACCTCTTCCTGCTGCTGCTGCTGCTGTTGATGTTCTGATGATGCAATCTGAGGATTGAAATTAGCATTATCTTGCTCTAATGGTGACTCAGATCCACCAGATTGTACCTGATTGTCAAGTTTTGTGGTGGGGATTACAAAAGATCTACAAAGTGGGCAAGTTGAGTTCGTGTGCAGCCAATGATGTATGCATTCAATGTGAAACACATGTTTGCAGCTTGGAATTTGCAGCAACTCCTCTTTCATTTCGAATTCCCCTAAGCAAACACAACACCTATACGCAAAAAAATTTCATCAGCTCAGTTCAGGTTAAGGACCTGTAACAACTACTACAACAACTAACATCTACTAAAACATCTAACATTGCTAAACCGACCCGAAATATACTATTTCTGTTCCTATAAATATGAGAGAGACTCAAGTTTTGGGATTCTGTTTCTCAGATTAGTCATCATATTTTGCACTTTTGTTTTTGTGGTCATATATAGTTTGAAAATTCAAAGGAATATTCATATGATCATAGCAATCAGATCGAATCTTTCATGTGATCTTTTTGTGAGCATCAATTGAAAATTCTGACAATCTGTGAATTTTTAAGCCTAAAATTAGTTTGTTGAACAACTTTGGAATTTGATGCTCTAGCACTGCACTTGGAGAGCAGTTGTTAGGAATTTTGCAAATTAAAATGGTTCTGAACCGTTCATTTCCTCAACAGAATCTGTATGAGGCACAAAGTGATTCCTATACATTAAAGAACTCTAGAATTGGACATTTTATGTCCTTATTAACATCAACAGCTCTAGTGATACAATTTTTTTGTCTCAGGAATCTTAAAAGCTATTCTGCAACTTTTTCTACCATCAAAGATCGATAGCATAACTGCAAGAAATTATACATTTTTAACCTAATTAAAAAGTTTCTTAAGAGAAGATAAGTTTCTTTCCTAGTCAAATTAAGGAAGGATAGGTGGTTTCATGGGCACTATGCATAGATAAAAACTTTTATATGGGTCATTTTCATTGGTCTGCTTCATTGTTTTTAGTGCATTATGAATTATAGACCGCACTAACATATCAATGCCACAGCCATTTAACATTATTGTATTTCATAAATATTAAGTAATGTGAGAACTTACTGTGATTCTCTTGTCCTTAATTCGTCATCAAATAACACAATTGGAAGCTTGTCTTTAATCTCCTTCTTCAAACCAATTTGACAAATCTATTCATATCATATTATTTAAAAAAAAAGAAAAACTCAATTAGTTGTCTGCACTTGGCTAATTATAAGTTTCAAACAATGATCTTTTATATATATATACTGAAATTACATAAAGCTTAGTATTAATTTCCAGAACAACACAGAATATTCATGTTTGTGATCTTACATGGGTGAGAGAGAGAGAGAGAGAGAGAGTACTTACAGAGTGGATATGATCAGCAGTAGTCTGGCTCGAGATTGTTGGAAGAATTTGAGTAGGAGAAGAAAGTGAAGTAGCCCTTCTCTTGAGGTAAAACAAGTAAAACAAGAGAAAAAGAATAATGGAGAATAGGATAGGAATTGAAAATATAAAAGCCTGGTAAAGCTTAAGTTGAATTGCTTGAGGATAAAGATGGGTTGGGGTTGGAGTAGGAGGAAAACCCATTTGTTCTTCAAGCTTAGAAAAACTAGAGAAAGAAATATAATGTCTAGTTCAGAATTATAAGAGAGACATAGGAGAGATACAAAATAATGCCTGACTGAATGTATTTTTGGAGAGAAGAAATAGTTAGGATAAATAAATCTGTCTCTCAAAGAGAAAGAAAGAGAGATAGTTAAGGATTGCTATTAGATTGGAAAAGAAAAGGAAAAGGATACTTTAATAATTCAACTTTTTTTGTTAAAATATAGAAGGCAACATAGAGCTTTTTGAGATCAAATTTACATGATGGTATATATTCTCTCTTTATCAATGATGGGACAAGCCCATGTCTCTCCACTAAGACATGGGTCCTGATCACCCTAAGCACTCAGATCAATTTGTCTTCATTCTTCAGGCATGGACAACATTATCATTAGGAAACTCTCTTCTCTTCAATTCCTAAGTGTACTATAACAACATATGCTAGACTCAATTGCTTTCTTGAAAAAGATATGTTAAAAATGATTGGTTTAGCTGGTTAAAAACTCACAAACAAAAAACGAAAGAAAAGAAAGAGAACAACTGAAATTAATTCTTGGATAATCATACTTCAAGAAATGATATGATTTAGCAGTAGGTGTTCTCTTTCAGTTGAGCTTTTATCAATGCACGGTTGGCAGGTCACTAGCCTAACAACTGTTAGTGACAAAGGAGGGTTAGCAAGTTAGTTTTAACTAAACTTCAAGTAATTGACATATTACTACATTTTAGGTAATATTAACCATTTAAAAAGAAACAGTTAACAGAGACCAGTAATCCACTGAACATGATGGTTTGTTGGTACTAGATTTATGTTAAGCTAACCTAACAATATCTGTTTTTGATTTGTTAAGATATCATCAGACCAACTAAAAAGCTTTACTTTTTTTCCTCATTCTTATGGCTTAATGTCTAGTTTTATTTTTGAGAAGCTAGAATTTTTATTGTTCTTCTGGATCAAAGTTGATAGCAAGGAACTGAGTGGTAAAAATCTGGGAAATGAATGGAAGATTTAACTCCATTTTCATCATGTATTACCTTCAAAAAGTGAGTTTATGCTTTGAGCTTTTTATCATTACATAAAAACCAGAATAAAGCATTATATAATAACAAAAGCATACACTTGTTTATATGCCAAATAGAAAATAATAAGCTTAAGCTTTAGTCCTATAATATTATGGATATGTTATCAAGATTTTTTTTTTTTTTTCTTTTAAATATGTTAACGCTACAAATAAAATAAAATCTAGTGAAATATCGATTATTTTAAATAAACCGTGATCTTTTACCTGAATACCACCTGATTCGAACAGATAAACATGTGTGTTAAAAAAAAAAAAAAAAAAAAAGTTTTTTTTTTTTTTTTTTTTTTCACCTATCGAAACAGAAAACATGTGTTGTTAAGGGAACCTAAAAAAAAAAAAAAAAAAAAGATTTTTTTTTTTCTTAGAACAAGTTTAGGTTGATATATTTACCTAAAAGATACAGTAAATTTTGATGGTTGTATAAATATCATGGTTTAAATGACTACATTTACTTTTGCATTATTTTAATGAAAATCACATTTATTTAATGATCCTAGTTGGTGCAAGTTGTCCTCTTTTACAGGGTACAGTTTGATGTGGGCATGCCTCTTCACTTCACTTTATAATTGAGAAGATCTCACTGTTGTTGGTGGATCATGAAAGCACCTCTCTCTCACGCACAAAGTGGAAAAAAATAAGATAAGATATCTTTCATACTTCACACCACTATATCAGATTCTTTATTTATAAAGTAATTCGCATGTACATATTTCATGTATATTTTGACTGATCAAAGTGCTTCCCACGATAATTCCTAGTAGAGTCACTTGGAAATGAAAAAGTGAAATAAAAAATTATTAGGTGACGACTGAAAATTCTATCTGAACATGCTTTGCTATGTGAGTTACATCAATACAGTTGGCAGATAGCAGCTCTGCAAAATCTTTGGGATTTGGCCTCTGCAATTAAATCCAAAATGTTTAAGATTAGTGCTTTCCAAGATGGATAAATAATGCATGAATCTTTATCAACATATCTTTTTTTAACATCAATCATAAAGGTGAAAAGGTTTAGATGACTTGCAATTCAATTACTGCGCCTCTCCTCCAATTACCAGATAAGAAAATAATAATTTATTGGCCTTAGCCAGAAGAAAGATCCATAGTGATAACGGGTAGTGACTTGCTGTCTTATCCAACAAAACATGAAATATACATAACTCTTAACACTTGCTGTCAACAATATCATTAGATGACCCAAAAGCTAGACCCAACGTTGCATTTGCTAAACCAGCTAACCAATACATATTGCATTAGACTTAAAAGAGGATTTCTTGGATGACAATTTCAGTCCAAGTAACTAAACCGCTTTGGAAATTATCACACACCCAAACAAGCTCTTAAGAAAGCTGTGGAGTTTCAGACCGCATACTTCTTGAACAGTTTTCACTACTGTCATTGTTGAACAGACTATGTTTACAAAAACAAATTAAATTTCAATGAATTGGAATGAAGAAGATCCACAACATGCAGGATTACATGGCAACTATAACTCTTTTTATCTCCTAACCATCTTCCTCTCAGCTGAGCTGCACCGAAATATTGACAGTAACCAATTCTAGAACTTCCTCCTCCTTACTTTGAAACTCATTGATCGAATGACATTATCATCTGTCTTTAATGTTGCTTCCAGAATTTCAATGGATTCAGGTTTTGTGAAGTAGGTGAAGAGGAGGTAAATACCATCTAAATAGGTATTAGTCTCTCCAGCTTTGTTTTTCTTCTTGATGCTGTAGGCTAGTGGAATGACACCTCTGTTGAATACCTCTACATACATACCACCCCCCGCGACAAGCAACTGCAAGGATACCATCATCAGTGAGGGCTATTAAAGTAACAAGGGATATAAATCTACAAGTTTTATATCTCTTATGCTATTCAGAAGACTCAAGTTGCTGAAATGTACAAGCGATGAGCATGGATGATTTCCTTACTTATTTGTACATATAAGTCAAAGGAAATCTTTCATGATAGAATATCAAGATCGGTATTACAATGAGACAAATAGATATCCGAAGCACGATTCTGATTAATTGCACTGTGCCTAGCATTCTCTCTGATTAAAGCAATTGTCTACCAGGAATTAGAGAATGACGATGGCTGAATCACCATGAAGGCATCAAATTAGTCATTCTCCATTGCCTCTGGGCAAGGCTTTGGTTTCTCAATTAATGCAAGTTTTAGTTAATTATTATTTCAATTTCCATAACTATTAGTCCAAAACCACCTAAAATTCCAAAACTTGACATTTTAACCAAGGAGGTTTAACTCGTCTACAAATAAACAATGATATCTAGATTGTAAAACCCAAAGGGCAAAAGCAAATATACATCTCATCCTTTCATTGTTTAATTCTACTCATAACTTTCCCTATATACAAAAATAACTAAGTCTTAATCCCAAGAGACAGAATATCTTTTGCAACAATTTTCCTCTATGTGGTTTAGGTGTGCTTCCCAGTTTAGCACCCTCCACCATCAATGTATCACACTTGAGGATCTGCGTAAGACATAATCAAATCATCTCAAAAATCCTTTTCTCATACATAGCATTCCCTATATGTTAGATTAAATTCATCTACAAGCCATAATATGTGCCAGCAACAAGCTAATATAAAAAGTACGCATAAAGTGTATAGTTGCATTTCCAGGTGAAATTAAAGGCATAAGGTCAAAGTGATTCATTGAAGCTGTCCAAAGCAACAGATATTAGAAAAGGAAATTCTTCTTTTCTTTCATGAACTACAGATACAAATAAAGACTTCTTCCAAAAACCAGCATAGACTCTTCACGACAAAATCGGTCATCCATTTATAAAGAAGCTACTTATATAACATGCCTCGCCCAAATTTAGAAGACATACTAAATTCTGTACCAATAATGTTTTAGGATATTGTTCATATTGGCTTCTAAAATATATACTAAATATTGGTAACTTTTGGTCCTAGCCTTGTATTTGGGCAGTAGCAAACTAGAGGCTGATTATGATAGTTCTTTTATGGTCAGCTTGATCACTGGTACTGATTTGCCTAGAGGTGGTGGCCTTCCATTAGTCACCCATGCGTTGGACATTCGTCCTGATGGTGGTGTTCCTTATTCTAGAGATTGCTTGTAGTTTCTTTACAGCTTTGCTCCCCATTGTATAAAAAGAAAAGAAAACTCAAAAAAATTCCCAATTAATATTTTATTAAATAGGAATCCTAGAATAAGGAAGGAAAAGAAAGTTTCAAACTTTCATGCAATATATCTGTCAATACATTTATCTATCTAATAGACATTTAACGACCAAAGAGAAAGCGCGAAATCGAAACATTACCTCCTCGTATTTCTGGGTAAGAGCGAGCCGTTCATCTTCCGACATGTCAGGTCTCAAAACCGCCATAGTCTCATACTGTCGGAGCCCCGGTGGGCACTGAGGCGCCTCCGCGTCCTCAACAGCAGTCAGGCCCGAATCAGTAGACGATGGCGGGTCTTCGCTCGAACCAAATCCGCCTCCTTCATAAAAAGAGCCAGAGAAGTCCAAAGTTTGGGCCTTGACAGTGATGCCACCGTTCCTCTTCTGAAAGAGGAGAGCTTTCGAATTTGCGGCAGGGAAAAGCTTGAGGGTAAAGGATAAAGATGGAAATTCGGAGAAAGATTTGGGGCAGAACGGGGAAGAATTTATAAGAGTAGATACAAGTGAAGAAGAAGAAGCCATTGATGTCATGATTTGTTCTCTGTTTGAATAACAGAGCGACTCTGGGTGAGTCAAGTGAAAGGGAAAATCGGATATAGATAAGGAGTGTGCGCTGTGTGCATTCCGCACGTTTTAGCACAGAGTTTGTTGGACCAAATATGGATGTTAAGGCCCACAGAGCCCAAATTACAAAACAGTGGAACACCTTCGGGCCAATATGAATTTGAACAAAGAGTTTTTTGGGCCAAATTCGGGATAATACGGGATTCACTTTCGGCCTCAGTGCCCATCTTAGAACAGTCTGTTGGGCCCATAATAAACATATCATAGGCCTATTTTGGGAGCCTATTTTACTGTTAGATTCAGTTTTTTATTAACGCCCGTGCGCATCAGGCACCTCCTACACTAACACCTGACCCAGTCAACCGGGCACTGTTGCCTGTAGCAAGAACATAAAGGGCAAGTAGGGATGATATTTCACCATCTTTCTTTTGGTGTATAAGAAATTCTTCAATGATAAGTCATATTATGTTACGATCCGTGACCATGAGCCCGATTGACAATAAAATTTAGATGGACTTAAAGTTTTCAAGGTTCGTAATAAATTTTCACCTAACTATAATGATTCAGAAGCAAAACTATGCAAACTAAATTTAAAACAAATAATATCTTATTAGATTCGGTATACAAATTCTACTTGATTGGCAGATATTTTTATTCAAGTAGGAGTTTTTATTTGACTAGAACTTAGACTAAAATACCATAATTATTATGCTTTGTGTCTCTTAAATAATGGGAGTTGAAATGTGACAATCAGTCACAAATTTACAAACCTTCGGACAACGAATTCTCAACTACTCCATTATGTCAACTAACAGCCTCTGCTACTTTATACAAGGTAAGAGAATGCTAAAACTGATACTGTTGTTATGAAATCTGTAAATTAAAATTTTTTTAAAAACAATCAGAAAGATTATAAGTTTTGGTTCTTTTTGGATTAGAACATGAACATCAGTATTGGACAAGACAATTACTTGACATATAAAATATATAATATAATATAATAATACGGTGTTAGTGGCACGTTTTTTTTTTTTTTTTTTTACAACTAAACAGCCTGGCTAACTCTCAGCTATACAAACCCGGTACAGAGAATGCTAAAAACTGATAACTGTTGTTATGGCAATCTCAGTAAAATTAATAATTTTTAAAAAACAAATCAGAGAAGATTATAAGTTTTGGTCTTATATAGGATTAGAACACCCACCACAAAACAAAACTCTACCCGACACACCAACACAGTCAACAGTACTTCTGGACAACGACAATTATTTGACACTAATAAAAAATATATATCAACTATAATAACCTAACTAATACGTTGTTCAGTACGCGAAACGTATACTCAATTTTTTTTTTTTATGTTCTTTTTGTTCACACTACCTGTTCAATAGTCGATGCAGGGCCACAGAGGAGAGTAAGTGGTACCTACTTGTAGAAAAAAAACTTTTCCAAGAAAATAAAAAAAGCCAAGGAAAAAGCAAGATAAGGCCAAGGAAGAGAAACATGATGCCTTAAATAGCCAAAGGATCCATAGATAGTTTTTTTTTTTTTTTTTTGTACAAAAGAAGAAAGCTCGAAAAACAACTAACTATCACAAGTTGTCACATAAGGAAACGTCGCGTTAATTTGAGATAAGAAAAGAAAGAGAATCCATCTCTTGATTTCTTTGAGTTCTCAGCTCTATCATACTCGAATACAGGATTTGATAATTTCCTTCGCTTTTCCCTAAGCATCTCGGATGTGCTTTACCCCAACATATTTATGAGGCGAAAAGGCCCTCCTAGTACTATTATACCAAAGTTAACATTCCACCAATCAATCTTAAGATGAACTGCGATAACTTAAAAATTTGCTCCTCCTTCAATTGTATACAAGGGGCCTCCTATACATGTTCGCCACTTGTCCCCCATCCTGATTCCGCCCACCACATGGATGAGTAGTGGCCATTTACTTGCATATTAGCAGAGTAGATAAACCACTCTTCTTCCTCTCAATCTACTGGCTTTACAGTTAAAGTAAAAGACAAAAACTGTTTAGTATTGTGTGGGTTTCCAAACCGAAGAGAAGTTCAATGTTTCAATACCCCAAAAACAAAGCCTTGAGGTTTGAGGGTTGATGCATTCCCTTACCTCATTGTTTTCTTATTTGTATAGAATATTTCTGTTCTCTTACCAATTTTTTTTTTTTTTTTTTATGCTTCTTTTTGTCAACTACTGTCAAAGTCATGCAGGGCACACAGAGGAGAGTAATGGTCCTACTTGTAGAAAAAAAACTTTCCAAGAAAATAAAAAAAGCAAGAAAAACAAGAAAGGCAAAGGAAGAGAAACATGATGTATGCCAAGATCCATAGCTAGTTTTTTTTTTTTTTTGGTACAAAAAGAAAGGAAAGCTCGAAAAAACTAACTACAAAGTTGTCAATAAGAAACTCCGTTAATGAGATAAGAAAAGAAAGAGAATCCATTCTTGATTTCTTTAGTTGAAATTCATAAATTACTCTCAGATTTGGATAATTTCATTCGCTCACCTAAGCATTCGGATGGCTTTACCCAAACATATTTATGAGGGAAGGTATATATATTACAAAAGTAATTCAACAATTTAGTGACACAACTAAAATTTGCTCCTCAATTTATACAAGGGGGTCCTAACTTTGAACTTGATCGCACCACCACATGGATGAGGTGGCCATTTCTTGCATATTAGAGAGTAGATAAACCACTCTTCTTCTCCAATCTACTGCTTTACAGTTAAAGAAAAGAAAAACTGTTAGTATTTTGGTTTCAAACCAGAAGAGAAGTTCAATTTTCAACCCCAAAAACAAAGCCTTGAGCTTGAGAGTTGAGATTCCCTTTACCTCATTGGTTTCTTTTTGTATAGATATTTCTGTTCTCTTCCAATTATTGTTATTATCATTATTCTCTCTCTCTCCCTCACATAGAGACATACAGACTAAGAGATATATCGTCTTCTTGTGTAACTTAGTCTAGTGACATTTCACTGTCATCTTTTGTCGTTAATTAATAATAGAACAAGAAAAAGAAGAAACACATTCTTTTCCTCTTTTACGTTGTTATATATAAGGTAATTTATATGGAAAAACGACTTTTACTTCTTATTGGAAATGGGTTTTTGGATTGGGATTATTGTTGCTTAGGAACAAGTGTTCAAGACCTGGTTCGTTCATGCTCTGCTTCTTATCAATTATGGATTTTTTTTTTTTCTCTTTTGTAGTATCATTTATTCATTTCTATCATATTTTCTCTTAGTTGAGCAGCTAAAGAAAGGCAGGTTTCACTGTGATGGATGACAAGACTTCGTCTTCTTCTTCAGTTTCTGGTCTTCAAGGTAAAGTTTCAAATCAGGATGAACTTTTCATGCAACAGAGTTTGCTCTTTTCTGAAACACTACAGGTATATGATTCTACCTCTGTTGTCTTTGAACTAGAGGATCAGTCTTTTAACAGTCTTGATCAAGCGATTAACTTTTGTTTTTTTATTTATCTATTTTAGGATTTGAAGAATTTAAGGAAACAACTGTACTCAGCAGCAGAGTATTTCGAAACAACTTACAGGAAAGAGGACCAGAAACAAATGTGAGTTATACTTGAAACATCTTACGGCTTAATAAATTTAAGGAAAGAGTTTAAGGTTTTTTGTTCTACTTATAAAATGTAGAGTGGTGGAGACCTTAAAAGATTATACCATCAAAGCTCTGATCAATACTATTGACCATTTGGGTTCTGTGGCATACAAAGTTAACAGCTTTTCTGATGAAAAGCTGAGAGGAGTTTCAGCCTTAGATCTTCGTTTCACTTGCCTTGAACAGGTATTTCACTTTTCTAATTATCTTTAAAGCTAATAATTAGATTTAATTCTCATATTTAACTTTGTCCTTCAGTTTTAAACTCAGAAATCAATCACAGAACAATCGTGAAGTCATTTATTGCCCTCTATTTCTTTTTTTTCTGAATATTATCTCTCATCTTTATTACTTTGGTGGCTGAAATCTTATCAGAAACTACGAACATGCGAAGAATATATAAACCACTCTGGACTTTCTCAACAGTTCTTGATGGTAGAAACTCCCAAGTACCATAAAAGATACATCTTTCCAGGCAAATATCTTGTCTTGTCATCTATTTATCTCACCAAAAACCAAATGTTTAGTAATATTATTACATAAAAGAAAATTTCATGAACTTGTAAGTAAAGGTTTTGATGAAAATTTTTCAGCTGAGGAGACTTTGGATACCGAATCAAAATCTCATACAAGAAGCTTCAGGGCTGATTACAACTCAGAACAATTTAAAAATGGTACTTCTGACCTTCTTTTATCATTTTAATTGCTTATGTGAGGACGATTACCAGAATAAATACTCAAATATAATTCATTAATCTTTCTTTTTCTGGCAAGCTGTTCAAGCAACAATAAAAGGGACCTCTCCATATACTTTCAGGTAATCTTACAACCCTCATTGTCTTTATGGAACTTATCATCCCTGATTTACCAGTACCAAGTTCGATGTGTATAATTTTAATGTAGAGGACATTCAAGATTGAAGTCTCCACAGGTTTCATCAAGACAAGGAACTTTCACATTTGCAAGTATATCGATCAATAAAAGACCAGGTTTCTGCAAATGAATTTGTTGTTTATATTAAAGAAAAGCTGTTATGGAAGTACCTTACTCTTGTTCTTTTCCTGTTGTAGTCGAAAAAGCTTTGAATAGTTTTAGCACTGGAAATATAGTAGCATACTAATTATATTCTTTAAAATCAGATAAAAGAGCTTCCTCTCCACAGCGATTTCCGCTTTTACGATCTGGAACTCTTCTTCCTAAGAGATCAATATCTCCAAACAATGCAGGAAAACCCCGGGTAAGCACATTATCTAAGAATTGAGAATGAGTACTGTATCTCTTTCTTTTCATTGGCTTCATATTGATCTACTGGTAGAGGTAGCTCTCTTCCTTCTATTTATCCATACTCCCAACTCTAGTAGGATTCAAATGTGAGACTTTCTGGAATTCTAGAAGTCCCAAATTTAACTACAAGAGGATCCACTTGGCAACAGGATAAGTATATAATTGTGGAAATAATGGAAAATTAGACATAACATAGAGAAATCTGTCATTACGAACACCTCTTCTCACTTTAAGATAAACTTTTCAGTTTCCTTCCGAGCCTCGGAGATCGGTTTCATTGTCGGCATCATATCCTGAAAGAGACCGGGCAAATGACATTGAACAATATTCTAGCAAAAGCAAACGCCTCTTTAAAGCCTTGCTTAGCATGCGCAAACCCAGAAAGGATCGCACATTGTACAAATATTTGGATGAGGCTTGAAAGAAACTGGAGAAATGGAAGTAACCAAAGAGAACTTTGTAATTCTTGGCCATATTTTATAAACTCTTTTGTTTTGAAGCTTCATTTAAAGTTTGTTGTCCTTGATGGTATGCTTGACCTTCTCTTTATGCAATTGGGACAAATATCCGCTACTCATCTCAAGTTTTGGTTCGCCAAATAAAAAACAATCCATTCAATGAGCAACAGAATTCATTTTGGATGGTATATCAAACTATATACATTAGACTGGGCTTATTAAACTATTTAAAATTCTTTTTTTTTTCTGCAGCCTTGTTATACCAATTATAGTTGGTATTGGCAAGCTGCTTGTCATAGAGTACAACTGAAGATACAGTTTCAGAACGAAATGACTTAGCTGACTTACATCCAGCATGTAATCTTGCTTCTCACCAAATTTTTTCGACATGAGATCAATAACCTGCAATAAACACACACAAAACATTAGTGGAGCCAATGGTAATATAAGATGAGTATTTTAAGACAATACCAGAATTTGAAAATTCATAAGCTCAAAGGGGGAAATGAGAGAGTCCTGCATCCTTGAGGCATTAAGATATTAGCAACAAATTAGATTTGATAGGACAGCTTGCTTTTGTTGCAAATAGTTAGAAAATTATTATTGAAAATTTAATTGGATCATATTGATGCATGAATACTAGAAATTAATTGGATCATGACCATATCTTGACTAGTCTCTTACTCTATGAGCCATGCAATGACAATTTTATTCCCAAGAATGGGACGTGAAATTGGTCATTCGAATATACGCATATACGTGGCTATATGATGTATGCACAATGTGATGTTGCGGTCTCACATTGACTAACCTGTGCTGTGTGATACCAAGAATCACCATCTATTTATCTATTTATGTATGTATTCAAGATTATAGCAGTCCTTGCTCAAAATCCAAGGTCAAAAGTGGGCCATTCATCAATTTCCATTGCACTCTTGAGGTGCTCGTTACTCTTCTTTTTATCAGAATCAGAAGCTTCACTACCCCATTTAGTCTCAGCCTTTGCATTTTCCAGATGAGACTACACATAAGCAACAAAATCAGGTTTCCTGACCTACGTAAAAAGCTAATTAAAGATAACTCTACTTGTTCTCACATAAAAATATGCTTGTTAAATTGGTAAACAATATAGTTTAAGGCATCAAAAAATATGTTTTTCCAATTCATTTAGGTTCAACGTGTGCTCAAAAAGAGGAACTTAACCCCCGTAATTTAGTTCAGTCACACGGATAGTTTCTTTTTTTTTTTTTTTGTCAATTTATGTTCTCAAGGATCTCTTTAAAGTGCTGAATGTTTTCAACTCATGCAGGATAATTTCTTCTGCAAGTGTGAATTTTTGTATTTCATACATTATTGTATCATTTGTTCAGGAAGAGCCAGTAATCAGATATTTCACACAATCCACATGACAATCAGAAAAAATAACAATATTTTCTAACAATTCCAAACGCAATATGAAGAGATTACAACCGCAACATTATGGATAAAATCAATTGAAGGTTTTTGGAGATAAATCATGAGGCAGAGCATGGAACAAACCTGATCAGAATTTCCAGCTTCTCCGTCACCAGAGAATTGACCACCACTAAGAGTAGAAATTGCTGCAAAAAGTAAACAAACAAATAAGATCTGATTCATAATTTAGAAATGAAATAAATTTCGGAAGATCAAGTGAAGATCACAGGACAATAGATAAATCTTGCCTTTGGACTGCCTGATATTAGTATATTTCTCGGTACCCGAGATTTTACTTGATGCCCCATTATCATTATTTTCACTGGGACCATCATTTGGTACCGATACTCTGGGCAATTCACAGACTCTAGTATAGTCTACCTCTGCATCTGGAACTTGAAGCTTCTCAGCGGAGAGAACGGGTGCATTCACATTGTTGTCATCACAACCCACAGCAACACTCTTCTGAGCTATAGGTTTTTGAAGAATGGACAAGATTTGATGGACTAACAATGATAGAAAACGTTTACAATTAGTTTAAGGATGCAACAGGGCAAGGCATTAGGATAAGAACCAATTGCTAATAAATTAGCAGTTAACCCATTGAAGATTTTTATGTCATACACCTTTTTAATATCATAGAATACACAAGTTTTCATTCTCTTTCAATTCATCGTTTACATACTATGGTTATAGCCTCATTAGATATTAGACATTACTGCTGGCGGTAGTGGTTAAAACCATAAACCAGAGACAAGATCAATGAGGAACTATGTTCACATTATATCACCATAAACCATCTATCTTAGGTAGTATATGCTGGAAGTGGTCTGAAAAAAAAAAAAAAAAAAAAACAAGTTTTTCATTTCTCTTTCCAATTCATCGGTGTTTACATTACTATGCGTTCTATAGCCTCATTAGTATTAGACATTTACTGTCTGGCCGGTAGTGGTAAAAACCATAACCAGAGACAACGAGATCAATTGACGAACTATGTTTAACATTATATCACCATAAACCATCTGATACTTAGGTAGTATATGCTTGGAAGTGGTCTGAAAAAAAAAAAAAAAAGAACCTAAGTATGCTGAACTGGTCGTTAAAAAAATAAGTAACTTACAGTCAAAAGGAAAGGACATCTATATGCCACCACTCGCGGTGTGAATCAATCTAATGTTGTTTGATTTGGACGAGCTTAAGAAGAGTGGCGCAGCTGTCACGTAAGAAGACTTAAAAAAAAAAAAAAAAAAAGAACCTAGATATGCTGAACTGGTCGTAAAAAATAATAACTTAGTGCAAAAGGAAGACATTATATTGTGAATCAATAATTTTGTGAATTTGACGAAGCTAGGAAGAGTGGGCGCACTGTCACGTAAAGATTTGTTTGTGGAAGCAATGTTGCTTATTTTGGTGCTGTCTACGGTGTAGATCTTACTTGAATCTGCATCCTTCCCCAAACAAGCATTGCCTTGAACTGTTCCTGTTTCTCAATCCAAAAGAAATTTCAGAAATTTTCATCTCAAATTACCAAGGGAAAAGCCAAAAACAAATTGACACAAGAAAGAAAATAGCAAACACCCAAACTGAAAGTGTCCCTTGATCAGCCAGGATTTCTAATAATTAAACCTCAACATCCAACAAGATGAAACTGACTGATAGTTTGCACTGCAAAATCATACCTTTGGGATTATAAGGCTCACCAACTTCCACCAGATACTTTGACATTACAAATGCACTCCCTATTCTCACATCTTCAGATAAACTAAGGAACCTACTGCTCATGATGGTTTTATCTTCATTTAGTAAACTGACCTGCCATATTTGAAAGGTTTGCTGAATATCTATAGTAAATAAAAAAAAAAAAAAAATCAAAGATGACTTTTGCTCCTTTAATCATCATTAAAGAACAGGGATAGAGAAAATGGCACTGACAGAACAAGTCCATGGCAATACAAATGTACGGACCCATATTGTTTCATTTTCCAAATACATGGATAATTTACAATAATGATCTTCTCAAATGCACAGCATTTCCAGCAGTTTACAACTTCTCAAATGATCTTCTCAAATGAGAACGCTTTTTGATGGGCAAGTAATGAAAGGTTAACCAACCTGCTTTCTGTAAGAACCACAAGAAGTGAGCCTAAGGATGCCACTATGGTACTTCTTGGCCTTTTGAGTTATCTGGCTAGTGTAAAGAGCGTGCCACTCTGGATGATAGAGAAATAAACGCAGAAGTGAATAATGATAGGAAAACCTCATATGTGTCTTTATACAGAAAGAGATCAAACGATGTTTAGACAAGTGATAATTATAATGACAAAAAGGAGTGATTGAAATGTGAACTATATTCAATTTTGAACATATAATTGCATGCGAAGGAGAATAACTACCAAAAGCTACGTGACCTTTTGCTGGAGAATTGTTGGATTCAAGACTATTCTGATGTTTGTGCATTATCCCTTCTTTATTTCTATTTTTTCCTTCAACATTCAAATCCACAGGAATTTGATTTTCTCCTTCAGGTTCCCCAATGTCAACCAAATGAGCATCAAATACTATTGATTCTTGAGATCTTATTCTCTCATCCCTTTTAAGGAACCTGCTGTCTAAGAGTTGTCTTCTTTCATCATACAGCATGATCTGAATGAAGACCAACAAAATAAGTTGCAGTCAAGCATATCCTTGCAAAGAAGAAAACAAAATGAAAAATGAATGCTTGTATGGAAAATTTATAGGCAAATATACACATATCATCTATTTAGTAAAGGCTGTTGGTACAGCAATTTTTTTGCAGAAGTACCACTCCAGCCAAATAGCTGTATGCTCCCAAAGGCAAATCTACTGTGGGATGCTTTTGCAAAAGTAGCAGAAACAGCAACTCAAACAATGCCTACTTAAGTAGGCTCCACTAAATTAACAAGCAAAATAAATCAATTTATCTAATAGGAATGGAATTCTAATGAAGCAAACGATTCACTAGGATAAGTACACAAGATGATAGTGCTTGAAAAGAGTGGCTGAAAATGTTATAGAAACTTACCTGCCTCCCTAAGGTACCACTATCTGTGAGTCTCAAGAAACCATCATGATATTTCTTGGCCTTTTGAGTCATTTGTGTTGTGTACATGACCTGCCACTCTAAACTGATATAAGGAAAACAATAACGAGGAGAAATTTTCTAACAATGATGCAGGCAGAATAAACAGAACAGAAGAAATGAATCCCCGGTCAACCTTCTCGTGAAGATAGAGAGTGAGGCTTCGAGAAGAGAATGTTAGTATAAGCCATTTCATTGCTTTTGAAAGTCTTGACCTTGAAAATTTTTCCTTTGATAACATTGTGGTTAGGTAAGGTGAGCATTGAACATACATGGTATATCATGAGCAAACAACATACAGATTTTCTTCAATAGCGACTTTAGGTGGAAAGGAAGAAATACCTTCACCAATCCAAAATTCCAAATTCACTAAAGTTGGAAAGGAAAGCAACAAGACACAAAAGTCAACTTTCACTTATACAATACTCCGCAGTTTTTCAGACAGAGAACAAAAATAGGAGAAAAAGATTCAAAAAGCTCTAAGCAGTAAAACAAAGAACTTGTTCCCTGCTGATCAACAACTAACCTTTTACGTCAGAGTTTAATGTATCAGGAGATTCAGGAAAGCTCCGTAATGCTCCATATCTTTGCAGTTCACTCTTTTTGAACTCTGAAAAGTAAGTAATGGTTAGTTGGCTACAACACAATAATGAGAAGGCACAAGCTCAGACACAAACTATTGCTTACTTATGCCCTTTAAAATCACCAACTCGGTAATAGCATCAACCACATAATATTACCTCTGATAATTTTTTGGGACGGGCTTAGACAATTCATCTTTGCTTTGCTCTTCTCTGAAGCATCCTTCTTATCTTCAAAGTGGCAAAGAAAGAGCAAAGAAATCAAATCAGTAAGTTAAAGAAATCCCAAAACGCTAAAAATGTTGGAAAAGGAAAAGCAACATCACTACCAGAAGAAATTGGACTTTTAAACTTGTGCCGATTCATCAAACTAGGCCTAGGCCTCTCGGAAATTTTCCTCTCTCTCTCACGCAAATTCAAACCGGAGACAGGCTTATGATCGACCTCGCCCTCAGGATCCCCAACGTCGACAAGGTAACCATTAAACGCCAGTGTTTCACCGGAGCTAACAACTTCTTCTCCCTTCAATATCCTACATTCTAATAGCTTCTCACAATCATCAAATAGCATGACCTATAAACCAATTCCATAGAGAGGAAAAAAGAAAAAGAAAATCCATTAACAATAATTTGATTATAGCTTCACCACATTAAGCATTCGCCTAGAAACCTATCGATATATAAATTAACTGATTCTACAAATTAATCAAAACAAAAGCGTGTAATAAGAAGAAATTGATCATCAATTACTGTTGAGTGTTGAAAATTAATTGAAGGTGTACCTTGTTGGTTGAGCTGTGAAGGTCTATGAAACCGTCTTGATAGACTTTTCTCTTTTGCTTGATGTGCTTCGTGTAGGTCACACTCCATCTCTTCTTCAAATTTTCCATTGTTTTGATATGAGAGTGCTTTCGCAATTTTAAATCTCAAGCACTGAAAAGATTTCAGTGTCCAAATTTCCAGATGGCGGGAAAGGGAAAAGGGAGGCTGGAAAATTGACCTTTTTTTTTTTTTTTTATGCTCACTGTCATCTATCAAAATGACGTCGTTTGCATGTCAGCTCTGTAATCAGTCATTGTTACTAGTACGACGTCGTTTTTCATTTGAACCCAACCAAATTAAATCAAGCAAGCAAAGAAAAGAGTTCAGTCCAGACGAAACGAGTTAATTCGGTTTCTATCGGGTACCTTCATTGTTACCCATTTTACAACGGACCCGCTTGCGCATATTGCAGGACATTGTCGTTGTGGATTGAATATATTATCTGTACTCTTTAATCGTTTGCTCACTGCACAAATACTCTAGCAATCCTCCTCCGTAATTCATCCCCGTTTTGTTCTTGGAGCCTGGAGGGCCAGATTAGTGCTCGACGCTTCACACCGTTTACCTCTATCTTTAATCTTACACTCAGAAACCCTAATTTAGTTTTTATCGGTGTACAAAACTCTCACGGGTCGATATCGATTTCTTCACTCTTCTGCCAATAGTCGTCAATTTCTTCACTTCTCTGGCAGTACAATATTTTGAGCTTCAGGTTATGGCGAGTATAGAAGATCAAGGTCTATGCTAAATTGGATCTGCTTGTCAATTCTTTTGGTGGGTAAATTCAGTCCAACTTTTTCTTGTTTTAATTATTTGTTTCAGATATGCTATCATGTACGTTCTTGTTTTAGATAAATCACAGCAGTCGTTGATGGTGCCACAATCAGCCCTTTAGAATATAGCTCGAACGTGTAGAATCTCCCTCCCTTTTTTCCCTTAAATGTCCTTGTTTCATCTACTCCATTTTTATGACCCTCAATCCTGGAATATTCGCGCAGTAGTCTTCCCTGCCCATCAATTCAGTAGATTTGGCAATGTAAAATTCCCTCACTCGTGCACAAGTTTCATTATTTGTTTGATTTGAAATTTAAGATTCTTTGTGATTAATTTTAAATCTTTTCCTCACTTTGTGTTTGTGTGTGTGTTTCCATGTGGGAAATTTGGAAACTTGTCATGTGTTAGATATCCTATTTGGAATGAACCTATGCTTTTGGGATTGCTTAATTTACCAAATATAAAGAGACTGATAGTTAATAGTTCAGGTTTCACTTGTTAAGCAGTATATTGAATCAATACAAAGCTCAAAAAATCATAGGCTTGGCAAGATTAGGCCTCCAAAGGGTACGAGAAAAGTTTTTTTTTTTTTTTATGCAAAAAAAAAATCAACCTTAATTTGAGTGTTGAGCAAGGGTTAGCTAAGTGCTAATGCTTCAATTTTTGAACTTGGCCAGAGCTGGCTTGAATGACAGAAATTTTGTATTGCACGTTGTTTAAGCAGACTCAATATTTACAATATGAGACCTTGTTATTACGTCAGATATATGTGTCATTTTAATTTTTTTACTATATAGGTAGCTGGGATAAATAAATTGTTATTGGTAATGACTCTTCCATGTTGCCTGCGAGCCACCATGTTTCTCTCAATTTTGTGCTTGTCTATGTTTGAACTCTAAAAATGCTGCGTTTGACTTTTTGAGTTGGAAAATGCAAAAAATTGTTAAGTATGATAGCTATGCTTTTGTACTTAGATTACATAAATTGAGAAGGAATGTCTTTATTTGATGATTAATATAAATCACTCTGGAAAGTTTTGGATTGCTTGAGCTATGTAAATAGCCATTTTCTATTATCATTTTTGTTTATAGCAATTTACAATATAAGTAAGAATTTTTCTTAAGGGATTCAATGTCGTTTAGTTGTATTCTTTATGAACATAAGTTTTCAATGCTTTTGCAGAATATTTTTTCAGTTAGGTGTTATGGTCTAGGATCCTAGTACACATGAAAACTACGAAAAATTTTTGGGTTAAAATGTGGATCTTTTCTATCATTTTGACTTCCATTAATTATCTTGATAATTTCACTAATGAAAATTATTTCCTTGCAAATCAAACTGCAGGGAGTGTTACAATTACTATACAAACAGCTGTAGCAAACTGCTGCACCTTTTGGTTGTCAATTACAGTTTTAGTGAGGTATCCTATTTTATAAGGCACCTAGAGCCAAAGCTGTTATGCAGAAATCATGGGAGATGGCAACAGCACCACAAGCAACAGGAGCATCGCAACTAACACAAACAATAGTGAGAAGCCAGAGTGGCTACAACAATATAATCTGATTGGCAAGATTGGTGAAGGCACTTATGGTCTTGTTTTCCTGGCAAAAACAAAGTCTAATCCTAATCGTGGAAAATCTATTGCCATCAAGAAATTCAAGCAGTCCAAGGATGGAGATGGTGTATCCCCAACTGCCATCCGTGAAATCATGCTGCTTCGTGAGATTTCACATGAAAATGTTGTAAAGCTTGTGAATGTACACATTAATCATGCTGATATGTCACTGTATCTGGCTTTTGATTATGCTGAACATGATCTTTATGAAATCATTAGGCATCACAGAGATAAGGGTTCCCATATTATCAATCAGTACACAGTGAAATCATTGCTGTGGCAGTTGCTCAATGGACTGAACTATCTTCACAGTAATTGGATCATACATCGAGATCTAAAGCCATCAAACATCCTGGTTATGGGTGAAGGAGATGAACATGGGGTTGTCAAAATTGCTGATTTTGGACTTGCAAGAATATATCAAGCTCCCTTGAAGCCGTTGTCTGATAATGGTGTTGTGGTAACCATTTGGTATCGTGCACCTGAGTTGCTTCTTGGAGCAAAGCACTACACAAGTGCGGTTGATATGTGGGCTGTAGGATGCATTTTTGCTGAGCTTTTGACCTTGAAGCCTCTTTTTCAAGGGGCAGAAGCTAAATCCACGCCAAATCCCTTCCAGATTGATCAACTTGACAAGATATTTAAGGTCTTAGGCCATCCTACGATTGAGAAGTGGCCAACACTTGCAAATCTTCCGCATTGGCAATCAGATCTGCAGCATATTCAAGGGCACAAATATGAGAATCCAGGACTGCATAATGTCGTGCATCTCTCTCCAAAAAGTCCTCCATATGATCTCCTATCTAAGATGCTTGAATATGATCCTCGAAAGCGGATAACTGCAGCACAAGCTCTAGAGCATGAATATTTCCGGATTGAACCTCTACCAGGCCGTAACACATTGGTGCCTTCTCAACCTGGAGAGAAAGTGATCAACTATCCTATTCGTCCAGTAGACACAAATACAGATTTTGAAGGAACAACTAGTCTTCAACCTCCGCAACCAGTATCATCTGGAAATGCAGTGTCTGGAGGCATGGCCGGTGCACATGGAGTGGCAAATAGATCTGCTCCTCGAACAATGCCTATTGGTATGCAGAGGATGCAAACTCACCCCATGGCTGCATACAATATTGCATCTCAGGCAGGGATGGGTGGTGGAATGAATCCAGCTGGCATACCAATGCCACGGGGTGTTGCCCAGCCCCATCAGCAGCAACATTTGCGGAGGAAAGACCCACCAGGACTGGGAACCAGTTATCCTCCCCAGCAGAAATCCAGGCGCCAGTAAGCAGATGACATCTTGATTGACAGTTCCGTTTAACTACTGTTGGAGCACTGAGCACAGCCCTGCCCTTATAGAAGTATACTATTTAACTATGGCCGAGAAGTTTTTTCAATCATGCCATGTATGGGACAGTTGGTCAGCTGCTGAATCGTTTACCTCCTCCTACTGACGGGCATCTTCATCTGTTCTTGATGAGGAAATTCAGTTTATATTTATGAAGAGAGATTCTGAGATGCGTATCCAAATGGCAAGGTATCTTACTCGGGAGAGGTGCAAGAAAATAATCAAAATGACAATGAAATGAGGAACTAGTGATGCTCGTGGATGAAACGGGATGGAAAATCGTGTACTCATAATCGATGTAAACTTAATTAACGATTGTTTCTTGTTGCTCTTGAAGTATAATGCATTTCGATTCTTGCTCTCATTTTCTCCGTTGACTGTGCTAGACTGTGGATTATGCTATCGTATTCTTCCCTGCCCCATGAAGTTTCACCTTCCGTTCCAGTGTTGATAACTGTGTTTTAGAAATTTAGTTGGATATATACTACAATGGGTGAACTCTTGAAATTTGGCCGTTCCCACAGGTTTTATGTTAACTCGCATTACAGCTTCAGTGCAAAAGACAATTGCGCTCTAGCAGGTTAAAAATCACGGTTACTGTAAACAAAACTGTAAATCTCTCGAGTTGATCAATTCATGAATATTTTAAAATTTTAAAATGAAAAGAGAGAGAGAGAGAGAGAATTCTGAAAATGCAACTTGCAAGATAAGCTTACAGATACATACAGCTAATTGCAGTGAAAATAGATAGATGACGCTACATGGAAGCCGCGTTTCCAATACTTTTGGGAAGGTCAACAGATTAATATTGTTTCTTTGATTATTAAACTCTTCATTTGCTATATGTTTTTGGTTTCTTGAACAACTTGCCAAGCTGTTCTTCATTCATTTCGTTTTATATATAAATATATCCAAAATCATTCATTTAATATTGTAATAATCTTCAAATTGTTGTACCAGTTGATTAACCTGGGTTTTATTTTTTTTAATCAGTAAATAATATTTAAATTTCTTAGTTGACCCCAAACTATTGGAATATAGATACAGTTCACATCAACCTGTCTCCATTACCAACACCTTTAAGTGCTAAATAACCTCCACCAGTTAAGTTTATGGAACATATTAATTTAATTATTCTCCTTTATAATTTAGAGAAATCAACGAAAATTAAAAAAAAAATTAATTTTTAATATTGATATTTAGCCAATATTCTTTTTCATTTGAAACCGAAAATGATATTCAAATAAAACTCTTTAATAACCGTATAAATTTCGAAGTCGGGATCTTGCAATTATGATTCAACATCTTACTAGAATTGCTAAAGGGTTTTCCATTACATCAGTAATATGTTTTTTTCTTGATGTGGTCTGGCACTAGCAAAAATTATGGAGGCGGGCGGCACTCAGTAAAGGTGGGGTTCCCTGCATTTTCATTCTGTATTTTATTCATTCTCTTCCTTTATCACCTGCCGCCGACTACTCCTATCTATGTGATGTCTGTCGTTTTATTTGTATTTTACTCGTCGTCTTGTGTTATTATCTTTTACCAAAAAGACCCAAAACTATAATTGGTGTTATTATTTATATGAGAAGAGAAGGTGGATGTCAATGGAGGCATACGATTGGCTGAGGATGAATCAGATTTCAATTCATGAAATTGTTTAATTTAGTTATATTACGTATGAAGTTCGTAGTAGGTTTAAAAGTGTAAGATATAGTTATTAGTATAATAATAATCATTATTGCTTGAAATTTTCAATTTTTATATAGCTAAAAAATTTATGCTCATTTATATAATATTCATATTGGAAAATGATAGCCTTCAAAATATCGCAAATTAGGGTTTTATTGCATGGTATATATAGAGTTCTCTCTTCGGTCTCTAAATTAGTATTTCTTTTTGCTAATTAATATTTTATGCCGAATATCAATATTAATCTTTATAATTATTGGAGGTTCACGCATAAATTATCATGAGTTTTGCATAAGTACATACAAATGCATCCACAAAAATTGTGAATAGACGTTGTCCACGATTCATGTTTCAGAAGAATCTTAGAAACTTCCAAAAAATGGGACATCAATTGGGTCGACAGCTTTGGATTAGAGAAAGAGCTGCAATGTTTAGATTCCTTATTCTACAAAGATTCTTTTATGTCGTCATTATTCTCAAAGAATTTAAAAAGTGAGTCAAAATCACATTTCTTCCCTTTTTTTTTTCTTTCATGATAATTTCCTTTAAATAACATTTATGATAATTTTTTTTTTTTTATATTTTTTTATGATTACATATTCATAAAAAGATCAATAAAATCACACGTGATTAACGATCGTGTCCAAAATTTACCGCTTAATTGAATATTCATGGACCCAAAAATGAATATTAGAACTAGGGGATGGTGCCCCGATAGAAGACAAATATTAGAATAGGAGGGTAGGCTTTGGTGCAAAAATGCATCATCAAACAATAAATCCCAATTTGGATGGGATCCACCTCCTTTTTACTGGGTTGATGTCACAATTTGGTTTTGAAAAAAATGTTACGACCAAAAGTTTTCTAAAATATCAAGCGAAGAAATTAATTTTATGGAGAATTGTGTATTTCTTATTGATCATCAACACTAATTTATACAGAGATATATACCATATCATCTCCTAAACATCAGCCTATCATTAAGCTATTTACAGGTAATTGATTGTCTTTACAAAATAATCACATATCTAAATAGGTGCAAAACATCCATCATCAAACATAAAATCCGCAATTTGGATTGGGATCACCTCCTTTTTTACTGGGTTGAATGTGCCACAATTTGGTTTTGAAAAAAATGTCTACGACGCAAAAGTTTTTCTAAAATATCAAGCGAAGAAAATTAATTTTATGGATGAATTTGTATTTCCTTATTGATCATCAACACCTAATTTATACAGAGATATATACCATATGCATTTCCTAAACTCAGCCTATCATTAAGCTATTTACAGGTAATTGATTGTCTTTACAAATAATCACATATCTGTAAATATGGAAAAGATAAATACAATATATTTTCCTTAATACTGCCACCTCAAGTTGGAGAGTGAATATTCTTGCAACTCCAACTTGCCTTTCAGATTTTTTCAAACTGATGCCGTCCTAAAAGCGCCTTTTGTGAAGATAATCTGCAATGCTGCATTATTTGAGTTGGAACATAACAAGGCTGAATGGGACCCAATTGTAATTTTTCGCGCACAATATGACAATCAATCTCTATATGCTTTGTACGCTCATGAAAAACCGGATTAGCTGCAATATGTAGAGCCGCCTGATTATCACAAAACAACTTGGCTGGTTTCATTAATTTAACGCCCAAATCACGAAGAATATACTGAAGCCATGTAATTTCCAAACATGCATTTGCCATCGCCCTGTATTCTGCTTCAGCAGATGACTTGGAAACGTTTGTCTGTTTCTTTGATTTCCATGAAATCATTGAGGTACCCAAAAATACACAATATCCTAAAATAGAGCGTCGTGTCATACGGCATCCTGCCCAATCTGAATCACAGTATGCCTTCAATTCTAAGTTATTTGTGGAAGGTAACAATAGACCCTGTCCCGGTGTGCCTTTGATATATCTCAATAAACGGAGAGCAGCATTCCAGTGCGGAAGTCGTGGCTCTCCGTTCGCCATCAAAATTTGAACTAAGTCATTCCGCACGGTGTACTACTATATCAGGCCGTGTTACTGTCTAAGTAAATGAGGCGACCAACAAGCCTTCTATACTTGGCTGGTTCATGTAGTTTAACTCGCCAATCAAAGTTGGCATTGAGCTTCATTTGCTGCTGCCATAGGAAATTTCTGTCTGGCTTGGCTCCATTAAACCTGCAATCCTGTAGTATTATTCGACGTGTATACTTTCGTTGAAGACCATAAATAATGCCTTGTTTTGGATCTGGAAAATCTATTGCCCAAAAGTATTTTTAAAGGACGCCAAATCTTTGATGTGAAATCTGTTAAGTAAGTTTGTTTAAGTTGGGCTTCATTTGCTTGTAGACTGTTGGGCCGTGTCAATAGAATGTCATCACGTTAATGAGTACCGGAGTAAAAGACAATTCGCTTGACTTTTGTGAATAAACTGTAGTCGGCTGGAGCCTGTTGTGAATCCAGCTTGTTGTATGTGGCGATGGAGAAGCGTGGAAAACCAGTTGGCGAGAAGCCTGTTTGAGTCCATAAAGGGACTTAATGAAGCGCGACATACAAATTCTCCCCCTGTCGGCGACAGTCCGCTAGTGGAAGGAGTCCATATAGACAATCTTCTGCAAAATCACCTTTGTAAAAAAAGCGTTTTGGACATCCACTGATGGGGTGTACCCATCCTCGGGCTGCGGCAATTGTGAGCAGGCATCGCATTGTCAGTCAACTTTGCTGTTGTGAAACAAGTTTCCCGGTAGTCCAATTCCCTCGGACTTGTGTAATAACTTCTGGCAACAAGACGGGGCTTTATAGGCGCTCATAGGATCGTCAGAATTGTATTTAATTTTATAAACCCACCGGCAACCGATAGGCTTTTGACACTGCGGAAGAGATAACAAGAATCCATGGTATGGTACGTTTCAGTGCCTTGTAATTCGAGAATCCATAGCTTTTGCCATGGGGATGTTAGGACAGCTTTCTAAGAAATTAGGTTCTACCTGCGTGGTAAGGTGAGCTAAAAAGGTTCTGTGTTTAAGTGAAAAGTTAGAGAGTGTCATGTAATTAGTAATGGGATACCTGGTATTTTGAAGTGGACTTGCTTCTGGGGCAGCGTGATTGGCTCCAGGCGGCATAAAGTACTCCTGATGCCAACGTGGTGGATGTTTTGTGCGAGTCGATCGACGAAGTGGTTGGTCGTCGAAAAGAGTTGCGGAAGGTGTGGACACAATTTGAGAATGTGATGAAGAATTATGAGGTGAATTATTTGAGGAAGGAGAAGGACTGGTAGAGGAGTCTATAGTTGCTGAAGGTGGGACATTACTAGTGGAAAAGGAAATCTGATCAGCATCCATAATTAATTGCGGCTGAGGTAGGTTTTGTGATGTTTGTGAAGTATTCTGGGCAAAAGGGAATATATTTTCACAAAATTGGACATCACGACTAAATTGACATCACGACTGACAAAATATTGATGTGTGTAAAGATCATAGAGTTTTATAACGCCTTTTGTGCCGTTTGGGTAGCCCAACAAAAATACAAGAAGTAGCAGCGTGGAATCAAAATTGAGATTTTGGATGAACATTGGTGGCATAACATTGACAACTCAAAACTCTTAAGTGGTAAATAAGTTTGGACGTTTGGTTTATATAAGCGGCTCATGATGGAGTTTGATTGGACAAAATAGGTGT